ATCAAAGAGTAGGGTCTTAAGAATACTAGGACGTCGAGGGAGGCCTTTTAATGCAACTAGATTGGACACAGTGGCCGCCCAAAGTCAGCAAAATCAGCAAATTTACGAGATTCGACCGCTTTTTGACCAACTTTGGTCCCAAAATCGTTGCGGTCAAAGGCAAAATCGTTGTGGTCAACGTCTTCCCGATACATGGCATGAAAGAGTAGGGTCTTAAGAATACTAGGACGTCGAGGGAGGCCTTTTAATGCAACTAGATTGGACACAGTGGCCGCCCAAAGTCAGCAAAATCAGCAAATTTACGAGATTCGACCGCTTTTTGACCAACTTTGGTCCCAAAATCGTTGCGGTCAAAGGCAAAATCGTTGTGGTCAACGTCTTCCCGATACATGGCATCAAAGAGTAGGGTCTTAAGAATACTAGGACGTCGAGGGAGGCCTTTTAATGCAACTAGATTGGACACAGTGGCCGCCCAAAGTCAGCAAAATCAGCAAATTTACGAGACTCGACCGCTTTTTGACCAACTTTGGTCCCAAAATCGTTGCGGTCAACGTCTTCCCGATACAGGGCACGCTGGCGGTGCTGGCCCGGGCCAGGCCTGTGATAGGTGCACTGCTCTTACTTGATCGCGTGCGTTCACGGCGCCCTGCCTATTTTTGGCCGCGTTTACGCCTGGCCATGGACTGGCCCGACCGGCCCTCGCGCCCCGCGCCCACCGGGAAGGCAGTGGCGCTGCGGTGGCCCTTGCCCCGATGGCCACTCTTGGGGTCTTCATCCTTCCTCCCGGCCCTTTGATTTGCCTTTCCCCGAAAAAGGATTAAAGCCTTTGATTGCTCTACTCCGTGCCGGCAGGCCTGGCCAGCGGGTCAGCGCATCTGCCCGCGTCCTTCCGACATTCATTCCATGTCGCTCCGTCTCTGTCGCACCATCGCGCCACGCCGACACGCCCACAGGGTGCGAGAGAGACAGCCTCTGTGTCTGGAAATGCTCTCCTCTCCGGCCGGCGCTGACTGCTGCAGACTGAGTCTGTCTCTGTCGCACTCGTGGGGCGTCCCGCTAGAGGTGCGAGAGAGACAGAGCGACGAGAACGACTCTGGGTCCGCTGTGCGGCGCAGGCGCACTCTCCGCCCCTCCGGCAGTGCCCTGGCAGTGGCGTGGCAGTTGCCGTGCCGTCTCCGAGACACTTAGCGCCTTTTAATAAACTCCTACACCAAATGAAAATTCCTGGGGGGCGCTGCCGCGCTGCCTCGACGCCTCGGGAAAGGACACAAACAGGGACGCGGGGAGAGGGGAGGGGGAGGGGAGAGGGGCGTGTTCTTGTTGCTATCTCTGGGAGTACACGCGGCCGGGCCTCCCTGGGCCCTCCTTCCCTCATTCCGGCAGCGGGAGGCACGACATTCATTCATGCATTCATTCATTCATTCATTCATTCATTGGGATGCCGTTCGTTTGGGAACAAGTTCGTTCGAATCGTCCTCGTCGTCGTCCGCCGGCCCTAGTCCCTGTTTCCCTGCTCCACGCCTGGAGGGGAACGCCCTTTTTAAAACGCGGAGGGGCGGCATTCTCTCGGTGTGCGGTGTGCCTCGCCCTCACGCCTTTTCCGACCAAACGAAGCTAGCCTTGCAGTGTAGCGACTCTATACAGCGACCGGCTGCATTCTCCGTGAGCAAGACGATTAACTACTGCTAGAGTTAGTCCATCAAACGGCAGTGCCGGGCCGTGCACGCCACTGTAAGAACTGCACTCCCCCGCCTCCTGTGTGGCTCCTCGGCTGCTCTCGGCGCGACCGTTTCCAGGGCCTAGAGCACGGCCAGGCGATATGTGTGTGTGTGTGTGTGTGTGAGAGAGAGTGTGTGTGTGTGAGTGCTGCTGCACCCGTTTACCCGCTCGCGGCAACCGCCGGGCAAGCCTGGCTGCAGTTGCATCCGTGGCCGGCAGCTCGCGATGCAATCAATGGTCGAGAACCGAACCGGTTTGCGAGTGTGTGTCTGTGTGTGTGTGTGTGTGTGTGTGTGTGTGTGTGTGTGTGTGTGTGGGTCGCGGACGGGCCGTAATGGTCCGTATAAATGCACGCGAAATCGGCTTGGCGACGACGCCTTCAGCGAAATGCATAATAAAAAGGGGCGTGGCATGCGACGCGATGCGACGCGAAGCCGGCCATTCACGCAAGTTTTCGGACAGGGCAGGGCAGCCACACACACACAGACACAGACGGGCACACCGATATCGACCGGCAAGCCGCGACCCTGTAGTTCAGCCGGCCGGACTAGCGGCCCTTGCATAGCCGTCAACTCCACGACTCCACGCCACTGGGAGTGGGTCTCACTCACTAACTCACTCTCTCGCGGCGGGGGCGTGCCGGCCGACCGGCCGGGGCTTCGACCCGCGGGCCGCACGGCGCAACGGGGGCCGGCCGTCGAAGCCGGCGCCGCCGCCAAACCACAGCACCGCCAACAAGTCTTGCTTCCTTTATGCCTTTGCAGTGTGGGACCAGAACCTTCCTCTCGGAGCGTCCTTAGCACCGGCCAAGGGGCACTGTTTGAGCTGGAGCGACTCGTCAGTGCGTGTGAGCGGCGAGCACTGGCGGAGCGGTGCCCCATGTTTGCGTTTGAGAGAGCAGAGAGAGGCATTGCCAGACGCCCACGCCCTGCCTGCACAGTGCACCGCACCGCCCCGCGGCACGGAATCTGCCCGCGCAACAGGTCCTGCAGGCGGGGCTGGCGGGGCTGGCGGGGCTGGCAACTGCTGAGAACCCCATCCCATCCTCCCATACCGGTTCGGCATCAACAGTGCCGCCGAGCCGAGGCATACGTGATGAATCACCTCAAGTCCTTCGCCTCCAGAACAAAAAAGAGTTACGCCGGCCGGCCTACATTCGGAGCTTTGTTATTCCAGGCTGCTTCTCCAGGCTGCTCCTCCAGGCTCTCCTCCAGGCTGCCCTCCTCCAGGCTGATTCTCCAGGCTCTCCTCCAGGCTGCCCTCCTCCAGGCTGATTCTCCAGGCTCTCCTCCAGGCTCTCCTCCAGGCTGCCCTCCTCCAGGCTCCTCGCTGCCTGGAGAATCGCTTTGTTATTGCAGTTCGCTCCAGCTGCAGACTGATTCCGGGAGACGTTGTCGTCGCTCTGTCCCTCTCGAAACTATGCAGTGCGAGAGAGACAACAGTCTTGGCTCCAGCCGTTGCTCCAGCAGGATGCAGCCCCGAGATGACCTGCCCCGCCCCGCCCCGAGCATGCCGGATGTTGGCGCCCCGGCTCGGCTCGGCCGCTCGGCGCGACACGGCGCGGGGCGCGGCAGGGCTCGAAACGAGCAGAGCGTGCAGAGGGCTCCATCTCACCTGGCCGCCGGACACGGCCGGACACTGGAGAGAGACAGAGAGAGACTCCAGCGCGCTCTTCTCTCTCGCTCCAGCCGACTCCAGTACAGCACGGCGCACCTCAGCGAGCCCGCCGAGCACCATCCATGCCGTGCGTGGCGTGGCGCGGCGGGCGCGCCAGCAGAGACCACCTCACTCACCTCAGCGGCCACGCCACGCCACGGCGGGGCGACGCGGCGTTGTCAGACTGACTCCGCTGGAGGCAGCACACACACGCACACACAGGTCGGCCGCGCGAGCCCAGCACGGCCCGGCACGCAGAGGACAGGACACCCGTGCTGTAGGACAGTACCCGCATAACACCTGCCAAAGTGCTACTCGCCGCCCTCGCCAGGCTAGCTGCCTGGCTGCCTGCCTCTGGCGCGCGCGCGCACGCGGAACGGAGCCGGAAAACCCCCGGAAAGACGCCGGGCAAGCGTCGGGAAAGCGCCGGGAAAGCGGGGCCGCCAGCGACTTGAACGCTGGAACGGCGCTTAGCCTAATTGGGTGCCTCTAGAAACCACTCGCTGGAGCGGAGCGAGCGGAGGAATCTGTCAGGCAGGCCGCGATGCTGCGATGCCTCCGCCCCGATCTGGAGGAGGGCCTAACAGCCTGCCGGTCTGTAGTCCGATTCAGAGAGTCGTTTTCGTCGCTGTCTCTCTCGCACTCAAGGGGCGTCGCGTGGCGGTGCGAGAGAGACAGAGCGACTTTCGGAATCAGTCTGCCTGCTGGCTGGCTGACTGACTGACAGTCGGAAGAGTTTCTCTCCCGTTGACGAGGTGGAGGCGATGGAGGTGCCGATCTGATGGCGGCCTCGGGGCAGCTTCACGCCCGGCCAAGGTCACCGTGCCCCTGTCTCTCTCGCACCTACAAGGAGCGCCCCTGTGAGTGCGAGAGAGACAGAGCGACGAAAACGACTCTCGGAATCGCTGGACTGTCTTGTGGTGCTGGATCGCACTCGTCGCGGCCGCCTCGCCATCCCCCTTTCCTCCTTTCGTCGCCGTGCCGTGCGGTGCCTGCTTCGCCTGCTTGGGGGAGCTTGGTTTTGTCCCCGCCTGTACAGCACGTACCGTCGCAGGGGTCACCGGACAGAGACAGCTCCCGCCAAAACAACGCGCCCAACTTTTTCTGCCGCCACAACTTTCTCGCAGCAGTATACCCCGTTTTGTTTTGCTTCGGGACAATACGGGCAGAGTCCCGCCCGCCCCGCCAGTGTCCTGCCCGTCCCTCTCGCACTCACAGAGCGTGCCGTTAGGGTGCGAGAGAGACAGAGTGACAAGCCTTCAGGCTGTCCAGCTGCCAGGCTGCCAGCAAGGACCTGTTGTCCTGCCGATTGCCCGCTCGAGACACAAAGTCCTCGGTGAGTACTTGGGGCCTCTTGGAACCCATAATCGACCGACACCACCGCGTTGATCGAATCACAGCACGATCAAGACGGACCACCGATCCATCTTTGTTCTTGAGTGACTACAGTTCAGTTACACGTGTTCCGGGGAAGTTCAAGGAAGGGTCAGTGGAGGGGGTGGGGGCAGAATGAACCCTCCAGACTCGCTCCGAGAGTCGTTTCCGTCGCTCTGTCTCTCCAGCGTCGTCCTGTAGGTCTGCCGAGCCGAGGGCGTCGAGGGCGTCGATGGCGCCCAGACACTTACGGACTGTGACGAGCTTGGGGTCGTGGGCGTCGACGCGTTCCTGTACGCGGCGGACGCGCTGCTGCAGCGTGGTGGCGCGCTCCGCGATGCTCGTCATCTCCTTGGTGAGGCCGGCGAACAGGTCGTCGGCCGCCTCCAGCAGCGAGGACAGCTGCCGGATGGCGCAGCACAGCGTGCCGTTGAACACCGCCTCCAGCTCGTAGTCCTGCACCAGGGGCTTGCCGTCCGGGCCCGTCAGCTTGGCCCTGCTCACGTAGACGGGCTGCACCGTCCTGAGGACGAACGGCATGGCTAGGCCGGCACTGCTTGGTGCTGCGAGCTTCACGGTGACATGCTGCACTGAAATCCACGCGGCATTCTCACAGGACCACTGCACTGTCTCACTCGCGCTCTCGCGACATGGTGTCCACCGTGTCCACCGGGTTGGAGCAACCGGTGGCCCGCGCCGCGGTCGGTCCCGGCTAGTCCCGGCACCGCGACCACGACCGTCGGACCGGAGTCCTGGGGCGAGGCACGCGAGGCCCTCACTGCTTCGTACTTGCCGGCACGACTGCTCGACAACAACTACCACCACCACCACCGCGTCGCCGCCGCGTCGCCGGTTGAGCGGGCGCGCCGTTGCGTAGAGTTCCGAGTCTCTCCGCTAGAGGGCGGTCAAGTCGCTTGGAAAGGTGGGAGAGCGGGAGATTCGAAGTCATGTTCGTTGAAAGGGTTAGTCTCTAGGGTAGGCCAGGCTTCCCTCCCTACCGTTCTCCGAGTTCCGAAGCTTTCTAGTGTCGAAGGCTTATTGCCCGGGGCCACATGATGTTCCCTTGTTAATTTCCGCAAGGTGTCTCAGCATATGGGAAGAGGTCGAAAGAAAGTGATATCAGAATAAGAAAAAGGGCATTAGGCTACTCTTTATTCAGTGAGATACATCAGAAAAAAAAAAAAACACAGTATAGCACTACACTTTTTTTTGTTGCTTTTGTTCTTGAACAGGTAGTGACTGAAAATGGGTGTAAAATACACAATTTCACAAGAGATACAGAAAATTCATGCACATAAACTCATTATTAGGCATCAGACAATGGGCACGTACTTAATGAGAATGTACTAGCTATATACTGTACTTACAACTCATACAAAAATAATAAATGACACTTGCCAAATTACAAGTAAAGGCACAAAATAGGGAAAAAAACTAAACAAAATGACCCTTAGTTTTTTAATTAAATTAGTTCCACAATTCATACAATACCAGTTTAAAAATTACGGTTACATATAGCACACCAATGAGACATTGCGGGGGAAACACTTCTTGTTCTTAGTAAATTATTCATGGATCCTTACAAAGATGAATGTGAGAAACAATGAGAAATAAAGCATCACAGATAATGTTTAATGAAGAAGGCAAGTCACTCATACTCATAAAATTCTGGAACTGAACAATGAAGTAGTTCAACCACGTGTTTGATGTTTTACAACAGGCCCAAAGCAAGGGGAATTGGAATAGTCCACTAGATCTCAACAATATAATTTGCAAGGATTCATCTTTACCTTGACTAAAATTTCCAATGGCTAAGCAGAAAACGGCACAGGACATGCAAAATTAAAAAAATTAAAAAAAAAAAACAGCCCAGTAGCTGAACAGACTCATTCTCACCTTAAATGAGATGGCTTCTAAAGCGTTCTTTGGCAAATGGATAGTCACTGGACATGAAACCAGGTCATTCACAGCCTTGGAACTATAGTACCACCTTCAACAACATGTGGACATAGAAGGCGATGCAAGTACTGTAAATGGACAGCCTTCAATTCCCTTTCATGGCTGCAGACCTGGATATCCTTCTAAGTGACAATTAACAGAGATCTGATTTATTTTGGAAGCTAGCGACACTTAATGGAAGCAAATTAAAGAATGGTACATATAAAAGCGATAACCTAACAAATCACGCAAACTTAGATAATAAAGTGGATGAGTAAATTACCACTTATGAGACAAATGTTGGTTGGTAACTTTTTCGCTTTATGGTCTACAGAGGTGAAGATCAGCAGTGCAAGACAAAGGGATTTTGACAAAAAAATAATCTGGTAACGTTTCAGTTACACACACACAGTTGTGATCTATGAATCTGAACTGAGAAATGACCAAAAGACAATGAAAGTTGATAACAAACAATAAAAGTAACATTAGGATAATATTAATAGAACTATGTTTACAAAATTAATAGTGTTTATGGTGGTAATACAGGATTTAGTTACATAGTGAATAATTAAAACACAAAAGGGAAAAGAAAAACAGGAAGTGCAATTTCAATTATCTGCATGAAACAGCAGCCTCTCAAGCTTATGTACTTTCGCAAAACAACCAAAATATATGCAGCAATTCTCCTGAATAATCAAGGAGAAATATAATATTTTCACCATAAAAATTAACCTTGACAGTTGTTAAGAACCCAAATTCATGCAGTGCCTGGTGTAAAATAAATTGTTATAAGTAAGTGATAAATTATGAACTTTCCTGGAAGAGAGCTTGAGAAGCTACACTGTACTGCAAAAAGCACTCAATCATTTAACATTACCCTGTTACGCTTGAGTACCTTGAGTACCTGCGCAGGACATTTATAACTCACAACTCTAGTCTGTCAGTCTACTAACAACCAACCTGATTGTGCTTGAGCAATACAGTACCTAGTACAACAAAATCACTAACTACATAATTGGACGAAACACAATGCAATGTATATACCTTGTTTCAAATTTAGAAAACACTTACAGACCAACACACAAACTGCACCTTGCCAGAAATGCCTCACTGCAATCTTCAAATGAAGTTGACACTCCAAAGAAACATGAAATATTGGCACACATACTCTGAAGAAAAAGCAGTACACGTCAGAAGACTTGGGTGCATAGGAAATGTTAACAAATAAAAGTTGCATGGATGTAAACCACACACATATGCTTCAGAGCATTCTGATAATAAAGTAAACCGATGAATCTAGCAATCACAGCACAATTACTCATAAACATTTCAAGCAGGAAACCACACACATACAAAGCAATATAATCACACATTCACTTACAATCATACTGTCTTATGCACAGCACGGCTAACATTGCTGAACAGTTTCTCTTATCTGCATGTCCAGTCATCACAATAGCAATGCAAATGAGCAGACAGGATGAATAAAATACACAATACATGGACTTTAAACTTCAATCAAATCCACTTTGTACTATAGAAATGAGTGCTTTTAGCACAAAACATTAGTTAAGATTATTGTTTGATGCAACCTTACAGATAAACTACAAATTTTTTAATAAAAATACAACGTTTATAATAAATCAAAATAAGAGTTTTGCATTTAAAACATAATAAAGGTTACTGTTATAGAGAAAACAATATACTTCAATATTTAATAAATCCTAGAAGGCGAAAAGTGCACCTTAACTATATAAACTATAATAATAATAATAATCATAATAATAAACTGGGAACAAGCAGGATATTTAAATTCACACAAGTGCAAGCAAAGCTTCATACACAACATGTAACACAACAAAGTACCGCAATGGTAAGGATATATATATCTGGTAGGAATCGATTTGATCTTCATATCCAGAACAACACCATATAAACCAAATTTAAACTTCAAAAAAGTAACAAGGATGAAGGAAATTATAACAAGATGAATGAGAACTCAAAACTGCCATGATGTATCAACAGATTTCAAGCATGAACATATGGGGAACAGTTCATGGATTCCATGGTTTATCAACTGTCCCCATAAAGCTAAGGGCATGTAGCATGAAAGCAAGGACAATCATTCTCTTAAAAATGGAAATACTGCGGCAATGGAATAATTGTAAAGGACCCCACCCCCACCTTCAATAAATGGAAAGCAAATTTAATGAAGTTATTATTACCAACTCTCAGTCCTAGCAAAGGACAGAAAAGCAAAGTACAGCATCATTCGAGCAAAGGTATTTTAACTTCTGTTTTCAGACAAATACCAATGGATATGATGCCTTGAAGAATCATAGATGCTGCTAGACAGAGGACCCTTAGATTTCTAAATATTGCTTTTTTTCCTTAATAAGAGAAACAGAAAAGAAACACAAAACAAAACCCCCTAAACAGTCCATTCACATTTCAGCCACCTAAATTAGAGACATCGGTTGAAAATGTTGTTAATATTTGGCAAAGAAGGCAATGTTCACTCATAAACACTCCAAATAAAAGATTTACCTTAAAAAAAAAAAATAAACAAGCTACAGCGGTAGATTGTGCAATTCAGTCTCTTGACTTCTTGTAATGCAGAAGCTGTTGACTGCTGTCTTAAAAGGAGCACTTCATATGCATGAAACTCATACAGTAAGCAGACCTACCCCACATTACTTGAATCACTTTTGTAAAAAAAAATACTAGAAGAATCACAAACCCTAAATTTAATGAACCAATGATATGTGCATAATTTGGCACCATCAGCCTTTGAGAAATTCAAGCAGAGACATGCTCGGCAAAATTTAGTGCCAAAAAAACTTGAGACTGTCTTTTAAGGCCTTAAGCAAACACCAAAACCATGATACTGCTTGTAGAACTCATGTCTGTTTCAAATTATTTTAAAAGAAATAACTAATGATGGGCCAGATCTAAGTTTCTACATTAAAATGGCTATTATTTCATTACAAGGGGGAGGGACCTCCCACCGTCCCTCTTCAATACCAGTTAACTACAATACAATCAAGGAAAATGATGCCCTATGGCGGCCATAAGTTACAAAAGATAGGAACCACTTTTTTCCGACCATTTTTGAACCTGTGAGCCAGAGGTCTACCTACAGATCTAAGCCCTACAAGCTGTATTGCTTACTGAATGTGGACCAAACAAACAGGGTAGAAGTGCCCTTAAAAGTATATACCATTCCTTCCCTTTCAGTATCTAAACCTGTTAAAATATCACCTCTTACTGAATCTTAAACCTAACAATCCTACAATCAACTGAGCTAAAACTGGACATTATAAAAGTGAAAGCATTTTACATCCCAAGCGTATGTACACTACACAAACACATTACCATCAATTTCAGCTTCACATCATAGCTCTGAGGTGATTTAAAATGCTCTGAGGAGAGGATTGAAGTTAAGAAAGGATCTTCAACATGTTCACATTTGTGAAGAGGTTTCTTCCCTTTAAACAATTCAACATCCAATAGCATCACACCAGATCACCAACCTCACTTCCTCATTCTTGATAAATCCTTTTTCTTGCTGGTTCAGGCCTTACTCAGTTTGGGGTAAAAACGCTGCAGCATCACCTCGGCAAATTGGACACGTGCGATTGGTCTGGAAACACAATTGTAGTTTTTAGTTGCAGTTTAAGTTATTTACTCTACAAACTCAATTTTCAAACAGAAAAAAACAAACACAAGTGAGGAACGATGCCTATACTTACCTTTAGCCATTTGTCAACACATTTGGCATGGAATTCATGTGAGCAAGGTAAAACTCTTAGAACTTGACGCATCTCAAAGTCACACATACAAATGACACAAGATGTTTGATCACCTTCGTGAGTGTCAACATTGTACCTGTAAATAATAACAGAAATAAACAATAATGATTATAATTAGAAAACATGGCAACTACAAATGACCTCAAATAAAGCAAGGAATTTCATACTTGTAAGAGGGGAGTTGATCTATCTCTGGCTTATTCAGTCCTCGAGGTTTAGCTTCTCCTAAACGTTCCGCAAGATTCAACAGGGCTTCGTAATTTTCAGTCTCCATAGATTCACCTGTGCCTAAATCACCTTGATTGTATGGTGAATTAGTAGGTGAAAGCATAGCTCTGTAATTAATATTAAAATAATAATAATAATAATATAGCAGTTTGATTGAAAAAAGTGCAAATTTAGAGCAGATTCAAAGCCATACATGAAGTGCAGGAGAAGATTAGGATATGTAGTAGTTCCTGTCGACACAAGATGAACTCGACGGGCAGGGGAACGCCGGAATGCACGTTGTGTCAGAATTTCTAAAGCTCTGTTGTGCTGCATCGAGAAAATAGTATCATTTTAGAATTCAGGTTACATTAAGCCAGACACCAAGTAATTTTGCTTTGTTGATTTGGTTTCTTACCTCAGGCAAAAACACTGGTGGAGTTGGAGGAGTTGGTGGAGGTGTGCGTAAAAGACGCAGCACAGACATTGGAGAAGGAGTGACAGGGGGCGGCAAATAGGAATGAGCATGGGTATGTGAGTGAGCATGAGGATGAGGTTGAGCATGGGGGTGGGGATGAGGGTGGGGGTGAGGTTGTTGATGGGGATGTGGATGGTGGTGGTGGTGGTGATGCGGATGTGATGGGTGGTCCCCGACTATAGTAGGCTCCATGTCAGGATTTCTCTGCAACAGAAACAAAATGTCATGATCATGTCTCATTCATGGGAAGGATGGTGGCAGAGACAGAAAGAGCAACAAACCTGTGAATTTGGGTGAGGGTGATAATGTTGCCCCCGAACCATAGTTGTACTGATTTGCTGCTGCGGTCCAAACAGAGCAGCCTGCCCAGGCGGCATGAAGGGCCCCGGACTGGGGTACCCTCCGTGGTACTGATGGGAGTGGGGGTGTGGGTGGGGGTTGGAGTGGGAGTGCGGATGGGGGTGGGGGTGGGGGGGACCGGGCGGGTAGGCGTGTGGATGGGAGTGAGGAGGAGGGGCGTACAAATTGTGAGGGGGATGCTGCTGGCTAGGATGAGGACAGGGGTGGGGGCAGGGGTGTGGGCATGGGTGGGGACAGTGATGGGGGTGCGGAGGGTGGGGGTGGCCACCGTTGTGGGGGTTGGGATGCATATTGTGGATGTGGCTCGGGGGCGGTTGGTGGTGGTTGTGGTGCAGGTGATAGACATGTGACGGATGGTGTGAACTCACAGAACCACTGAACTGTGTCACCTGCAACAAGACAATAAAATCAAATGAGCTATTCAAAACACAGACATGCAAAGTTAAATTTAAATATCGGCAGCAGCCTACCTGACATGATGGAGGAAATGGCGGTGGCGAGTAGAGCCCTGCTGGCAAGTGGGGCGGAGAGGAGCCTGGGCCAAACACAGGGACAGGCACTGGCACTGGAGGGCCAACCTACAGAGTAGACACAAGTTTTAAAACTGGACAGGAAGCAACAGGGAATGCCATTTGCCGCAATAGACACTTACCGCTGCGACTTCAACAACAATGGCCGATTGATGATTGGGGTTTGTAGGGACCGTTGATGCTGGAGGTCCATAATTCCCATGAGGTGGTGGGTGAGGCAGCGCTGAGTGAGGTGATTGAGAGAAGTTGTCCTGATTCCAAACCGACCCATGATCACGGAAACGATTTCTCCTAATAGGAGGGCTGAAACATTTAATGTGCGTACAAAACAAATTTTTGAGCCAACTCATTTACAGGTAGGAGACATGAAATGTTAAAGATGATGTACCTTCCACGCCCTCTTGCTGCTGAAGTCAAACGAGGAGAACGGCGAGGAGGTGGCTGAACATTGCTGGAATAATCCCACTGGTTTGCACGGACATGAGGGGGGGAAGGAGGGTTTGGCACTGACATCTCCACTATTTGGCTGTGGGATAAACGCCGTCTCTTGGGAGTTGGACTATCACTCTGTAAACAAAACGAAGCGGGTTGGAAAATCTATACACCAAACGTCAATGTCTGGAGGTCAACTATAATGCACAAAAAAATCAAAACAAACAACATCAACACTGAGGGCATGAGATCCTGGGATAGTAACTTGAAACTGCCTTAGAAATGTACGCTAATTTGATAAGAACATCTGACAACACAAAAAAATTTTAACACTGATTTAACGATGTCATAAAAATACATAGGGAAGAGAAAAACAGACAATTCTGGTAGCTTGTACATCTAGGTAGCTTTAAGTTGCATTTATGTTTTCCCTTCTTGAAATCTACTTTTTTTTTCTTGGGCATAACTCAAACAGACAAATCAAGCAATCTTACTTTTTGGTCATCATCTCTTCCAGCATTGTTATGGCAAAAAATTGAAGAAGAGAGTGTTGGACTTAACCTCAATTCTGTGAAAAGACAAACAATGCAGAAGTCACAATATCAATTGAATTAGTCAAATTATCAAATGTGACCAAAAGTTGCTCATAGCAACTAACCAGAATTTTGAAAAGGTGAAAATCTTGACTGAGGTGGCATGCGGACATCCACTGATGCTGATGCTAAGTTGTCAGAAGAAGGGATGTTCGACCTTACTAAAGAGCCCTCCTGAAATTGAATGAATTAAATGAAAGTGCTCTGAGGAAAGACTTTTGAGTCCTTATTAAGAAGAAAGGAGGCACTTACCTGGGCACAACTATTTATCTGCTGTGGGGGCGAGTTTCTGTGCAAGTCCTGGGTGTCTGCATGCTGATTATTTGATGCAGCTCCACCTGGACTTCTACTTTGCTTGGGAAACCCTTGACCTAAGTATGATGAGTCCTTTGGGGACAAGCTTGCTCCTGCATTAGGAGGGCAATCCCTGAAAAAAGGACAAACATTGTTATAAATACTTTCAAAAGCCTGTCATGAATCCAACAAAGCTCAAAGCAATTTTTGTAGCAAGTACACACCCTGAACCTAAGCATTGGCGAAAGTCCTTGGGGCGGTGAGCACGATTTCCTTGCCATTTTGGACGGCTGCTACCATTGCTACTATGATTAGGAGAGTGGCGATACGTCCCACAACCCCTCACACTATTTCCACGACTGCTTGAACTCATGGCTGGAAAAAGAAGACGAAACTAATTAGAATAGAAGCAACTAAATAAAATGCTGACTAAAATACACCTCCATTGGTCAAATAGAACATAGAATTTATTAGGGGAATTCCCACATGAAAGAATAAACTATGAATTTCTCAAGGCCGCATACAACAAACAATGTACTTTGAGGAAAGGCAATAAGGAAATTTGAACACAGCTCCAACATGAACAAAAATTTTGTGAACCTAATAAGGAAGATTCGCTAACATGACAGGAATCATAATAAAAAATTCAACAATTCGGACCCCTTTTAATACTTATTAAAATGATTCACAAGCTGGTTGTCATGGGCAAGAGAAACAGAACCTAGTGGCCTTGAGAGGTTGGACTTTCAGGGGCAGAGGCCCGCATCTGCTTTCGAAATAACGACGCAATTGTAAAGAAAGGGAAGAAATACCAAAACCATTCAAAGGCTTTTCTTGAACTTCAAAAATCTCGGCCCCATCTGAGAATTACAAGGCAAGACTGCAGCATAACCAACAATTCGCATGTCCATAACCCGCACGGTGGCCCGCTAGGGCGTGAGCCTCTTCCAACAGCGAGCAAGCGGTTGGCTAAAGTTAAAGGGAGCCGCCAAACCAAAGCAAACGTTCGCTTGACGGGCTGGGCGATACGACGTCGCAACGCCCAGCCAGCCACAAGGATACCAGGGACGAGGACGGCGATGAGGCAGCCCCAGCGGCCCCAGCCCACCAGTCTTGTGAAACCCGCACCCCGAATCACACTTTTCGTTCCAAATTGAAACGCACATAGTTACACAGGCACTGCACAGCGACAACCTTCACCGTCAACGTCGCACGAGCCTCACTGCGAGCATGAACATGAATGCACGGCCATTGCACAGGATTCCAGCCTCATGATGGCTTTCAATTTCATTGTTTTTCTTTCTCTCTGTTTTCACACAGCTGTCGCTCTCTCGCACTCATGAGAAAAGTTTCCTCTGCCTGTTATCGGCAAGACAGCCAACATAGGAGACACACCAGCTCGTCGAAAACGAAGCCCGCGTGAAATTCGGAGCCATGGCGAGTGGTCATGATGTACCAAAGGACATTTCGCTATCGTGGCGACACGCGAGCCGCACGCAATTCATAGCAGACGAAATTTGGCTATCACTTTCGGCGAAGCAGAGTTACATCACGGGGATGCAGACGATAAAAATTTATGCACCGCCCCTGACTTCCCCCCTCTACCGGGCCCCCGAGTGACGACACAGCGCCTCAGCCAATCAGAGAAGAGTTGTAGTGTTTTCTACTACGTGAGCTTCTCAAGGCAATCACCAAACAGGGAGAACAACCACTATTTCACCACTTTTTAACACTCATCAAAAATGAGATCAGTTTTTGTTCCATTTTCGCTGTGTTGAGGGCTTGCTTAATAAATTTATTAGTGTTTAGCAGCACTCAGTTGTGTCATGAAGTTGACTCACATGGTGTCACGTGACGGAACGGAGCGCTATCATTGGCCGAATACTGGCTGTTTACTCGATTTCTCTCCAGTGACGTCTGTTCGTTGTTGTTCGTTGTTTAGAGGAAGGTGAAGGTGAGAGAGGACGCGAGGAGTGCGAGTCCGCCATGAACAAACTCAAGTTGTGATTTTACTTTAATTTAGTCAGTATACCTGGCCAAGTATTTCAAGTTGCTGCGTGCCTGAGAGCTGAGAGACAGTTGGGAAGTTGCCCTGGTGTTCGCCGCTGTGTGATGCCGAGGACTGCAAGTCCCGAACTTGGACTCAGAGAAACTGGGACAGACGCCATTTTGGTTGTGTGTAAACTGGTGATCGCGCTAGAGCTCGAGCTCGCGTCGCGTCACGGCAGCTGTTTCATCCTTGGACCGTCAGCAGCCAGCTCAAGTGTGGAGAGGCGTGTTGGAGATAACAGTGTGGGTGACTGGACGGAGAATCGGAGGACTTTTGGGTGTTGTGGTGTGACCAGGGACTTGTGACGCAGTTGTCGAGCCGTTGGAAGCACCATGGGAGAGAAAGGCACAGACAGGCAGAGAGGCCCCAACGGCGCGGTCTTCAGCAAGAGAGGCCACGTCCGAGTGATCAAGAATTCGAATATGAACCATGCCCAGGTTCAGGGAAGCTTACGGAGCTTGGCCGCTTCCCCGATCAAGTCGGACGGCAAAGGCAGTCCCAGTCCGGACTCCTTTGTGTCTGGCGGGTCGGCTGGGTCTGCGAAGAAGGGCAAGAGGTCAATTGACGTGCCTCGGGAGTCTCTGTCTGTGTCTCCCACGACAAGGAATGGTGCCTTTGGGGGCAACACGTCCCCTAAAAACATTACTCCGCGGTCTTCGCCCTCCTTGGGCTGCCACTATGCGGGCGCCAAGTTCAGCGAGCCCCCGTCCCCGGACGCACTGCCGAAGCCCCCTATGCACTGGGCCCCACTGGCCCCGCTCCCCCACAGCGGCAGGGACCAGTTCTTCGAGATCTCCCAGCAGTTGAAGATGATGCTGAAGGTGCAAGCGTGATATCTGTCCAAGCTTTTAAATTTCTGTGTACTTTTATTTGGTCTCATGATTATTGTAAAGTGTGAGCAGTCCAAGTTCTACAAATCTCATATCAGATTGACTTTAGTTACTGAATTACTCGCATCACCAGCGTTTGTCGATTGTGATTTTTGTTTGTCACTGGTGAGTCGAGAATAGGATGGTCTCACGAGCTTGTAGGGTTTTATGATTGATTGCTGTCTGAAGTATTGCTCTTGTGATATGGGATAGTCAGTGTTGAAGCCCACTGCTCTCAATAATTTGGCTACTTAACTTCTGAAGTACTACATGCCCATTTCATTATATGTTTGCCTTTTTCAAGGCTTGGCACAATTTTTGTTTTTTCCAATCATTGTAATCATTGAATGCTCATCGTTTGTGGAAACTTTGTTTACATGATTTGTCAGAAGCAATAATGGCATGATTTTGTTATAGTTTTAAGGCCCTTCCAACTTACATCATAGATTTTGTTAACTTTTAAGTTTTGACTTGGATTTCTTTTATGTGTTTGTGAAATTTTAACTATCACATGTAGTACTCACATTTACCAAATCCGTTCATTTGTTTGTGGTTTTCATATCTTCATCCTTATTGTTTGAATACCAAATTTGCCAGTCCCTGTGGCCTAAATTGTCAGTTTTAACTTTTATGACCTTGCTAATCAATTGTTTCCTGTCAGTTGTGGATTATGATTATTCGATAATCTTCATTCTAGTGAGGTTAATGGAGTCCCATCAGTTCTGTGATGCAAGTTGCTGCCATTCGCTCGTCTTGTTTTTATTGTTCCTAAATTTCTCTGAAGCTGAATGTGAACGGCCCTAAATTTTATTTTGACTGTGACACAGCACTGACATCAAGTTTAACTTGTCAGGATATGTCACGTCCTTTGATTCATGTTCATCAAACAAGACGACTGTCTGGTAGGGGCACTAGGCTGCTCAACTGTTGCTTTCTCTGTTTTCACACTTCTGAAGTTTTAAGTTGTTAATGAAGTTTCGATAGTCTATTTGTATGGTAGGTTAGTGTAGGTTTTAGTGATTTTAGTCTTAAGATGGACGGTCTATTCATACTTCAGGCATCAATAAGGGTTAAGATTAAGGGTAAACATAGTTCAATTTTATTTTAAGCTGTTTTTCCTTATGATCTCTGTAAAATTTTATGGTTCTCCTATTCACATTTAATTTAAAACTCTGCATAATCTTTAAATTCTGTTGGCTGCATGTCGACATGTCATATGCATGCAATTGTCATATCAGTCAAGTTTACCCTTAACTTAGTGCCTTACCACATTGAATTCATTGGTCATGTCCTGTTTATTTTTTTAACTGATATTGTGATGAGGATAATGTATTAAAATGCGATGCTGGGAGTATGAGGACCTCCAACATAAGTAGAGCACTTCCTTTCAAGAGCCTGGATGCTGTTTATAGCATGAAAGCCAGATTTTTGACTTGAATGCATTTGAGATATTGTAAAGCTTTGCCAAGTGACTTGTTTAAAAAAGTGTGAGGTTTTGTGCTCAAAGTGGTTGAAAAGCTTTAGTCTAGTTTTCGTTTTGGATTGTGGCCTTTTAAGGAAGTGATCACCTTATGTTTATGTGTAACAATTGTTCAGATGTCTTTCTGGTTACCAAAGTCAACATGTAATTTTATTGATGTGCCAATATCAATTGTCCTGTATCTGGTCATTTTGAACCAGCAAAATTTGTACACAGTGATTTGTAATGTGTTTATGTGATAATCATTTGTCCATTCCCAGTCAAATTTGAAATTGTAAGCTTGCGGTAACCAGTAGGCATGCTGTGTGGTTATAAACTGTGTCTTAAATGTTAGTGTTTCATTGATGTCTGAAAAGTGACCTGGAGAACCTGACAAAAGAATTTTGTATAAGAATCTAGTCAAGGTGATTTTTCTATTGTGACATGTATAAATGATATAATGTGTAAATGCTTATTTTTTTTTAATGAAGTGCCTGTGATGTTATTTGGTAATCACTTGTAAACTTGTTGAGATCATATTATAAGGGAATCTTTCATTTTGCATATTCCCCCAAAGAACTAAGTGCAATGGTGCTCAGCCGTGATGCTTGTCCGTACCCAATTACTAAGTTAACCAAAATGTGATATTATTTTAAAATGGACTTACTACCAACCACCATTATTGTTGAAGAAATCTGTATGGTTTCCCCAGAATTGTCATGAGTAATGCACCCCAACTTGAAAAAAAAAAACTACTCCCAAAGGGGTAAAAAAATGGAAAAAAAAATAACAAGTTGGGGCAGTATTGTTTCATGTTGAAATGAGTATTATCTACTGTCTACCATGTTAATATGCCTAGAAGGTGTAAGCATTTTGTGTAAAGGTTCCATGTGGGAGCACTCCATGCTTAGGCTCCCACTGCAAGTTTACAAGTGTACTATCCAAGTGAAGGACCAAGTGAAACACTAACTCTCAACTCATTATACCACAGTACAAATGTTAATGGAGCTGTATCAGCTTCCTTCACCAATTAGGGAGACTGTACTGCTGTGCCTAATAGTGGCATCTCATGAAATGAAATTTGTCTTCCATGACTGAAATGTTGCCATGTGCAATAGGATTAAGTTAAATGTATGTATAAAGAATTCTTTTGTACATTCAGTTTTCAAGTTATCAGACCATTGTGAATTTACTGGTGTCAGCTTTCCCTTGTCTAAGCCAGTATTTCTTTGATCTCCACAATGTCTTCATTTTCTCATTACTGTACCAAATTATTGCATTTCTGTAGCATGTTCAGTTTCCCGGTCATTCGTTTTGTCAAACATTTTGGGTAATTCAAACTTTAGTGTAGTGTTCTCAAATTAGATCATTCAAAAAAATTGTGACTATATCTATAATGATCAGTATGAACTCCATGGTTAAGCAACTGTGATTGTGAATCATTGTATAACATCTCCATTGCGCCCATCTGTTAACTGTAGTTCTATTACTCCAAAAGAAGCCACTTTTTGAAATCTTTCTATTTGTACAAAAGTGTATTATGATATTGTGTACCATCCATGTCACTTCCTTTCCATCTTTCATTGTACAATCCATCAATTTTCATTTGTCATCTCATTCATCCTTCTTTTACCCTTTCTTGTATCTCTTCCCCTCCTTTCCTCTCCCCTTCTCCTTTCACCCTTTCCTTCTCCTTTCCCCCTCCTCCTTTCCTTTCCTTTCCCGGGCCCTTTTTAGGGCCCACCAATTATTCTGCAAAGGATAACTTGATCAAAGACAAACTTGCACCTTCCGAGGTGTACAACTAATTATACTTTCTCTTTCAGGATCCTTTCCTCCCACCTCGTTTTCCTTTTCCTTTCCCCGGGCCCTTTTTAGGGCCCACCAAGTTTTCTGCAAAGAATAACTTTTCCAAAGACAAACTGGCACAAATGTGCCCTTCTAATTATTTTTCCATTTCAGGTACTTCTGCCTATCATCTGCAAAAGCTTAATAAATATTATTTTCCCTCTCTCCCCATGCTGGCACACACTGAGAGATAGATATCAGTGGGACCAAAGCTGGATCAGTTAGCAAAGGTTGGGGGGATAGAATTAATGGGTTAACGGAATGCAAGTAAGAAAAGTATACATTTCAAACTTAGCTACATCACATAAACAACTCTTCAAGGTACTCAGCAAATTCTTCTTCTCTCGCTTTCTCTTCATCAGGCTTTGAAGCATCTTTCCAGATATTTGATGCCTCTGCATCAACCTTATCTTCTGACTGCAGTTCTGATTCCACAGATTCTGTTGAATGTTCATGTTGCCTTTGTTCACTTTCCTCATTTTTCTTCTCTGGCTTCTTTTTTGATGTCTTCTTTTTGTGTAAGCGTTTAATTTCCCTTTTTTTAGAGCCATAATTAAGCTTTCCTGAGCAATCTGGGCACAATCCTAAGACAAAATGTTTTGTTAAGAAACCAAAAACCAAGTAAAGTAGGAAACATTAATTAGCTAACAACTTACGCAATTTGACAAGGGCATTTTTTTTCTCCCCAAGTTCTACATATGCAAAATTAACTTCCCATGTTCTTAATCCATCCCGTCCAGAACACCGTTTTTCACCACAAGTGAACTGACCTCTTCCTGAAACCAGTTCAGGCTCAGTTCTCCACCGCATAGCAACCTTATGAAAATACAAATGTTGTGACGATTCAAAGGATGCATTTCAACAGAGACACTCAAATACCTCATTTGATTATTACCTTGTTAGACTTGTACATCGTTAAGTCACAAATGCAATACTCTTTGAAAAGTTTATCATAGTATTTCTTTGCTAGTTGAGCTTCCCAGGTATCAGGATTATCTTCCTCATCCCATAAAAATCTGTGGTTTTCACGGATGACATCATGGTCTGTTCTATCACGAGAACTTAACAAACACAAACAAATTATTAGCAACTAAAATAAACAACAACATTTCTTAACAGCAACAACGGAAGGAACACTTACGTATCTCTTTCTAAAAGGGAAGTTGCACCTTTGCGGCACAATAAATAATCATTTATAAGACGTTTGTGAAGTTCATATGGAGCCATTGATGACAAAAATAAACGAGCTGATGAACCAGCCAAAGCAGCTGTCTTGGGTTGCATTAGTTGTAAGGAATGTCGGCCTGCAATATAATTAATTAAAGTAAATGGAGCTTCAACAAGTATCGGACGAATAAATTTTCATTGAGAGTCCAACTTACTGTGCTCAGCTGTATCCCATGGCTTCAGTCGTGCCTCCATTTTCTGAAAATAATTCAAAAGCGCATAAATGAGAATAATTTTTAAAGACGGAACAGATTGGTAGGTAGGATAAGGTTTAATTCAAAGTATCATACAGGACAGGCAAAACACTCCTGCACAATATCAGCTGAACATTGTGCAAAAGAATGTATGTAAAAAGAATTTTTTTTTTTTTGAAGTAAACAAAAGGACTTGTGCACTTGCACACGAACCTCGACGGACACACACACACGTTCACCCACGACGCTTCTCGACGTTCTGCGAAGTGCCAAGCGAAAGCGAAAAAACGGCCAAGACTTGACTCGGTGGACTCGGAAAACGCTTCGAGGCTCGTTCGCTTCACCTTCGGCCACCTTCGGGTGACGCGACACGGCGTTCGGGTCCGTTCGGCTCGGTTCGGCCGCTCACTCCACGGCCAACTTCGCTTCGGTCAACTTCTGTTCGGCTGTGGCCGCGTCGCCTGCTCGCCTCAACGCCAGAGTCTATCATTCCCAGGGCAGCTGTGTCCGAACGGCTGAAATGGCTGAAGTAATTTCATCCGTTGGTCTCGGTGGATATGAGGTGAGTACCCAAGTAAAATGCTTTCCTTTAAATGCCATTTTAGCCCCTCAAGCCGTGTATTTTACCACCTTCTCATGGTGATGTCCGTGGCAAGAAGCTCCGAAAATTTTCTAAGTCCCAACATGGCGTCGACTTAACACGTCTCTCGCCCGAGTCTATCCTCGCTATCGTCATGTAAAGCTATGGAAGTAGATGCAGTAAGGGGTCGCCAAATTTTGATTTGCTCAGTCAAGGCTTGGGATTGGCCTCATTTGTTTGTTGAGTGAGTTTTGTCTTAAATACCAGTTGTTCTTTTCACAGGAGAAGTATGTCAGAGAGTACAGCAACGGGACCTCAACTGAAGGTGAGTAGGCTTATACGTGTATTGTCGCCTTCGTGCTGTGTGAAAATCGTAATTTTGTATGGACTTGTTCCGTATTTAAAGGCCTTATAGCTTCGTGTTCGTTAGATGTCTAACTTACCATGGGACACCTAACCTCGAAAGGGGAGCAACAATGCAGGCATCGCCCGGGCTCTTGTCTTCTTGTTTGGAGAAATTCACCTGTTAAATTCCCGTGCAACTCACTTTTTTCCTTCTCTGTTTTTTAAGAGCCTCGTATTGCCTCCGTTTTCACGATTCCGTTTATGAGTAGTTAGGTGTAGATTTGCAACAAATGTTATTTTTGGACATTCTATCAAATTTGAGGCTTTCTTTCAAATGCAAACAACTGTAGTTTTAGTGTCTTTTGCTTCATCTTAAATTTTCGTTTTAAATTTCCCAGGATCAAATCATATTCAGATGAATGGAGTATCTAATGGGCACTCTGGGGATAAATCAAAGGACAAACACCGTGACAAAGATCGAGACAAGGACAAGCACCAGAAGGACAAGCACCGTGATAAGGATAGGGACAAGCACAGAGACAAGGATAAAGAAAGAGAAAAAAGCAAACACAGCTCCAGTTCAAGTTCCAAGGTGGGTGCAGATGATAACATACTGGAATGATTTGTTATGTAGTATTTTCTTCCATTGTCTTGCTCTTTTCATTTTTTAGGATAAAGATAAGCATAGCAGCAGCAGTAAGGACAAGGAAAAGTCGAAGGATAAGGACAGGGAGAAAAGCCGTGACAAGGAAAGGAGTGAACACAAGAGCAGCTCATCGTCATCCAAAGACAAGGACCGAGACAAGAGCTCAAGGTACAATTTTTACTTTGCATTGGGTTTAAATGTTTACATAGCTTTTTTAAAAAAAAAAAAAAACTTATATTTGTATTTTTTACTATTGCAGCAAGGACAAGGAGAAAGACCGCAGTGACAAACACAAGAGCAGTTCTAGTCACAAGTCCTCATCTTCATCAAGCAAGGACAAAGAAAAGTCCTCCTCCTCCTCTTCTAAGGATAAGTCTCATTCATCTTCTTCAAGCAAAGACAAGGAAAGGAGTAAAGATCGAGACAAGGAAAAGAAATTAGACAAAAGTAAGGACAAGGACAGGAAAGACAAGGATAGAAAGAGCAGTGATGGTGATCGCCACAAAGATAAAGAACGAAGCAAAGGTGAGTTGATGGCATGTAATGTACCTAACACTTTGACTTGAATTTATCACCTGATCATTCTTTTTTTCTTTTCTTAATTTTGCAGACAAGTCGAAGCATGATGGAGATCATAAGGACAAGTCTAAGGTTGTTTCATTAGGAAGTCATTTTTTTTTAAATTTTCCTCTTAAGTTTCAAGTTTTAACATCTCTGTTCTTGTTTCGCAGGAAAAGGAAAGGGAGAAAAAGCATGAGAGCAAGGTTGAAGTTAAACGAGAAATAACTTCTCCCATCAAGGAAGAGATACGTTCTCCTAGACCTGCTGCACGTGTTGATACTACAGATGACAGTTTGGATGATACATCCCTGATCATGGATAGCTTTAAGCAAGAACCAGAAAGTTCTTACAATGACTCATCCCGTTTCAAACAAGAACCTGAAAGTATGGATGACACCTCTTATCAAAATCAATCTTCAATGTTGTCTGCTTCAAAGTATGAGAGCGATGGTGAAGATTCAGATGCTCCACTAGTAAGTTTTCACAGGTGGATGCAAAACTGTCTTTGTTTGAGAATTGTGACTTAAATCTTATCATATCCAGGCGGCCAGGAAGTCTACTGACAAACGCAAAGCTGAGAGTGACAGCGAAGAAGACAAACCACTTCTTGCTCGTGCCCCTCCTAAGAAGGTGAAAAAGGAAGTAAAGAAAGAGGTCAAGAAACGAAAAAGTAATGCCTATGATGATGATGACGAGGATGATGAGGACATGAAGCCGGTAAGAACTTCAGTGTTAAAGTTTGCATGGCGTGCATTTATGATTCTGCTGGATCCTGCCAAAAGGGGTGTTCTTGCCTTTGTTCTCACGTTTGGTTCCTTTTAAATTCAGAAAAAGAAGAAGAAAGCTCCTGTGAAAAAAGAGGCTCAGCAGGTGGTCAGCCCTAAGAAAAAGAAGAAAGAAGAGGAGGAGCAACAAGTATGGAAATGGTTAGTTCTTCAACAGTTTCTTCTTCCTTGGGTTGCTTTTGTCAGCTGATTTCGAACGGTGCCGCGCCATCTTCATGGGGGCACGAGCGGCGCCTGTTTCGGGGCATCGCCGTCAGAGTGCGCTACCGTCCAAGATGGCGCCGATGGCGGCGGCAGTCCGATCGCTGCTGCGAAAAGCGGCATGGCTCCTAACCTGTCATCAACCTCCCCCTCTCTCAAGCAAAGTATCCCTCTATTCAACTGCTCTCTCTCTTCACAGGTGGGAAGAAGAAAAGAAGGAAAGTGGTGTCAAGTGGAATTTCCTGGAACACAAGGGGCCATTGTTCGCACCTCCTTACGAGCGACTGCCTGACAATGTCAAGCTCTCCTATGATGGTTTGTTGCCGTTCATTCTTGTTAAGTGTTTGTTTCTTTGTGGATTCTTGTGGATTCTTGTTACATATCAATTTGTTTTACAGGAAAGGAAATGAGACTGTCTGAAGCAGCAGAGGAAGTTGCTACCTTCTATGCCAAGATGCTTGATCATGATTATACATCCATGGATGTATTCAACACTAACTTTTTCAAAGACTGGAGAAAAGTTATGAATGAAAAAGAACGAAGTACCATTACTGATCTGAAAAAGTGCAACTTCAGGGCTATGGCAAAGTATTTCCTAGAACAGACTGAAATAAGGAAAGCTATGAGCAAGGAGGAAAAGGCGAAGATAAAAGCGGAAGCTGATGCACTTATGAAAGATATGGGTTTCTGCACAATTGATGGCCATAAAGAAAAGATTGGTAACTTCAAGATTGAACCTCCCGGCTTATTCAGAGGTAGAGGTGAACACCCTAAAATGGGTATGCATAAGAAGAGGGTAAATCCCGAAGATGTCATTATTAACTGTAGCAAAGATTCAGTAATTCCCAAGGCTCCACCTGGGCACAGGTGGAAGGAGGTTCGCCATGATAACAAAGTTACATGGCTTGCCAGTTGGACTGAAAATGTGCAAGGTCAAGTGAAGTATGTTATGTTGAATCCTGCATCCAAACTAAAAGGAGAAAAGGATTGGGCTAAATATGAAACTGCCCGCCAATTAGCGAAATCTATTGACAAAATTCGGGATGATTATCGTCAAGACTGGAAATCTAAAGAAATGCGTATCAGACAGCGAGCCGTGGCCATGTACTTTATTGATAAGGTGAGCTTTGGCTCAAGAAATGTTGTTTTGTTCATTTTCTTTTGTAGTATGGTTAACAACTAATGTCATTCAAATTACAGCTTGCCCTTCGTGCGGGTAATGAGAAGGATGAAGACCAGGCTGATACAGTTGGTTGTTGTTCGCTGCGAGTTGAACACATTTCCCTGGAGGCTGAAAAGAACGGTAAGACTTGTTCTAGTCTGTATATTAATGTTGTCATCCAGGGTGTTAGACAATCATGCATCTGTCTTTGTTGCAGGCAAGGAGAATGTTGTTGTATTTGATTTTCCTGGTAAGGATTCTATCAGATACTACAATGAAGTGCCTGTTGAAAAGAGGGTGTTCAAAAACCTGCAACTTTTCATGGATAAGAAGCAGGGTAATGATGACCTGTTTGATCGTCTGAATGTAAGTGTGTCTGCTTCCTCTTCAGTATCCTGTGCTCGGCAAGATTCCTTGTTTTCACCATTTCAGTGTCTTACAGACCTCAATCCTCAACAAACACTTAAGTGATTTAATGGAAGGCTTAACTGCTAAAGTTTTCCGTACCTACAATGCTTCATGGACTCTCCAAGAACAACTGAACCTCTTAACAAATCCAGATGACACTCTTGCTGAAAAGGTATTATTCATTTTACTATTAATTTCATAGTTCCTGTGTTTCAGTTAACTAACCACACTGATTTGTTTCAGCTTTTATCTTACAACAGAGCCAATCGAGCAGTTGCTATCTTGTGTAACCATCAGCGTTCAATCCCTAAAAGTCACGACAAATCCATGGAGAACCTCAAAGCTAAAATCGAAGCCAAGAAAGATCAGCTGGCCGAGGCTGAGAAGGCATACAAGGATGCTAAAAAAACCAAAGCCGCGTAAGTACTAATTTATTTAGATCTAGATCACTTTGCTCTTTGAGTTTGGCAGAAAAACTGATCATTCTTTTTAAATCTACAGCAACGTTGAGCAAAAGAAGAAAGCAGTTGCCAGGTTTAGAGAACAACTCAACAAGATGGAAATCCAGCAGACTGATAGGGATGAAAATAAAACAATTGCTCTTGGCACTTCCAAGTTAAATTATTTGGATCCCAGGATCACAGTTGCTTGGTATGTATGAGAAATTTTCTTTTAGACCTTTCTTACTTACTTACTGAAGGTGACATTGTATTATTAAACTTTTGATTCTACCCTCTTTTCAGGTGCAAGAAGAATGATGTTCCAGTTGATAAGGTTTATAACAAGACTCAGCGTGACAAATTCCGATGGGCCATTGACATGGCAGGGCCAGACTTTGTTTTCTAAACACTGCCTCAAAACCTGGTGATATGAACTTTTAGCTAAATTGACTCTTTGCTGAGTCTTGACTTAATTGTAAAACTGTGGATGAACTTAAGTTGTAAATTTTTGATTGACTTACATTTGTTGCAGTAAATTGTTCTGTATTTTACTTATCAAGCATGAGGCTGGGTTCATCTGTGTTTGTGTTCCTTGGTTTCTTCAATTTTATTTAAGATAAATGGTCTGTGTAAATGTGAGATAATTTAACAGAAATGTAAGTTATTATCTATTTGTTACATTGCAGCTGAAATGTACTTTATGCACAAGTTCCTTAATCTGCTTATGAGATGTGCCTCACTAGGTGGTTGGTACACCATATACCAATGATAATTGATCTGTGTCTTCTTGCATGCAATGCATGTCTAAAAAAAAAGGGAGAGAGAGAGAGAGAATATTTTTATTAATATTGAAATTGAGTGAAAGTGTCTTGTACAGTTTTGAATTATATTCATACCAACACACTATTCTACTTTTTTTTTTCTTTGTACATAAGCCTTAAAGACTATCCAGACAAATTTATTTATGAATGAACTTATTAACCAGTAGCAGATTTTGGAGCTGTCGCATCTTTAATGTATTCACTTGGCTCTAAACCAAGACTTTTGTAAAAGTGTTTTGTTTTTTTATATCATGAACAATATTATCAATTTAAAGAATATTTTGTGTGTCTGACGTCTTAATTTTAGCCTTCTGGTGATCGTTTGTGCTTTGATTTGAATGAGGGCTGGAAGCCATTGATTGTGATCGTCTTAAGAAGCCTGTTCCAGGTATTGAAGTGTGCAACATTTTGTTCAGAGTGATTACTGATACTGTTTGTCTTTATCATCCAATAATTTCATTGTCACCAATTGATTTGTTGTAAATGACTTAAAATGTGCTGGGTGTGCAATATGTGGTTGTCATGTTTCATAATTTTGCTAGATGCGAGTACATCTATGAAGCCTGATTCACTTGGTGTAGAAAAGGTACAGGTTATAAATGAAATTTTATTTAGCATTTCACCTTTCTTTGTACAAACACCTTCAAGAGAATAAAATTCTAGTACAATTTTACCATAGTTGTGCTTTCAGTGTCGGAATCCCTTCACCCTCAACATCTTTCTTTCTTGAGGTCCAGGGCATTTCCGGCTCATTCCTTCAGCCCTTTACAAACATGTGACAGAAGACGGAGGCCACAAAAACTCAGGAAGATCGGATTCACCTATGCAAGACGCCACTACGGCTGCTCGAGCAGCACCACGTCCGTCCATCGCCGACTGCCCATAACGGGTCACTCCCTATCCTGCAAATAGTGTTATTGAGCCATACCATAACATAACCTATGAAACTTGTGGAGTGAGGTGTGACAGCACAGCAACCTGGACAAGGGCCCAAATTGATGCCGAATGGCTGCGAAAGCGGAAAATGACGTGAACTCTGCCTTCGATGACATTTTTCGGACGGAGAGTCGCCTCTCATCCGCGGCCTTCGAAGACGGCTTTGAAAGTGGTCGCCTGAAGGGTGCCGAAGAGGGGTTCCACTTGGGATACCACAGAGGCGCAGAGCTGGGAGCAGAGCTTGGCTTCTATTCTGGAGTTGTTGAAGCCTGGCTGTCTCTTGAATCTAACGTGACGTCAGAGAGAGCACTACAAAGCTTACGTAAACTCCAACAGCTGTTGAAAAATTTTCCTCGGACAAACGTTGATAATGTTGATATTATGGCTTCCTTCGATGAGATCAGAGTCTCCTACAGAAAAGTTTGCTCTCTCTTAAAGATGAATTCTTCTTACCCAGAGGCTTCCAAACTGTCCTTTTAAAGTGGAAGCCCTAAAATGGGTGCTAAGGTAGATACTGTTCGTGAGAAGTTAAAAGAAGTATATATGTTTTTAGAACCTTTTAAAATTCTGGCGAATGCTCACATGACTAGTTTCATTACTGGGAATAGTTGGGAAATTCTACCAGAAGATTTACGAAATGAAGCGTCTTCACTTTCCATTCCCGAAATGTATGAAATTTTTTGGAACTGGGGAAGTGATCCAGGGAACTTTCAGCAAACCAGTGCTATCGGCAAATTCTTAAATGCGTGCTGGCATTTTTCTCTGGCCTCACAGAATTTCAAAGAACTCATGCTATCTTACAAAAGTTGCCAGACCACCTCCAATAAATCAGCTAAATGTATGTCACTCAAAAAAAGCCATGAAGTAGTAACCTTAAAAGAAATTGTGGCCTATTTGTGTGATGATTCCCAGTCGAACTGTGTGGTGGATGTAGGTGGAGGCAAAGGATATCTTGGAGCATCATTAGTGCTCGAAAGCAAAATGAAAGTCTTGAGCATCGATTCAAAACCACTTAACACTGAAGGAGCCATGCACATCTTTGAAAAACTTGAAGTGAGTGTAATTGTGACTCTTCCTTCACATTTCTATAAATGGATGTTGTTAGCAGTGTGTAAAATTTATTTTCCTCTTTTTACAGAAACATGAGCGTGTCCAGGCTGATTCAAGTGCCTTTTATAAGCAAGTCACAGCATTTGTGACACCAGAAACAGATATCATTGCAATTGCTAAAGATAATTTTGGGCCAACCTCAGAGTACAGAATTTGTCTGACAGGTTTGCATGTTTGTGGAAACCTTGCCTCAACATGCATCAAGCTGTTCTCCAAGGCTCAAGATATTGCGTCAATCTGTAGCATTGGCTGTTGTTACAATTTACTGACAGAGAGGTTTGAAACAGAGTCTGACGTAACAGTTGACAAATATAATTGTGGTTTTCCTTTGAGTGATTTCTTGAACAAGAAAAGCTATTGCTTAGGACGTAATGCTAGAATGATAGCGTGCCAACCTATTGATAGGATTTGTCTGGAGAAAAGGGTGAGTAAATTTTCTGTAATAGAATTGATCTTATTTCTTTTAAAAAATACTAGAAGAACATTCAGTTTGTACAGGGTGTCTATCATCAAGGTGTTTCCAACATTGCAGGAAATGAAGCCAAGTATATTTTGGCGTGCTGCTATTCAGACGCATTTTCAAGAGTTGCTTGGGCCTGGATGTGATGTTTCAGTGGGTCGCCGGTGTTCCAAAGCTACAAGTTTTTCTGATTACTGTCTCAAAGTGGAACAATCACTGAAGATAGATTTAGAGGTGACACATTGGATAGCTAATGTACCCAATTATATGCACCTGTTTCTTATACAATTTTTTAATATTTTGTTCATTCCAGCTTACAGAAGATAAGATGAATAATTTGATCATGCAGACTGAAAAACTCCATGCTGACATGATAAAATTCTATTGCTTCAGACTAGCACTTGCCCCTGTTGTGGAGGCACTGCTCATTTTAGACAGACTGCTTTTTCTGTATGAACAGGTATTATGCTCAGCAAGTTTCAGTAAAAATTAAATTAGTGCACAAATTTGCACCTATTTCTTGTCTTTTTTTTTTTTTTTTGGAACAGGGTTTGGAGACATCCTACATTTGCAAAGCTTTTGATGGGGCTACGTCACCCCGCTGCCATGCTGTGATTGCAAGTAGGCCCAGCAGATAGTGGACACCTCTTCCTTTCATATACTTTGTGGTTATTAAGACTAGGTATTGAGTAAAACGCTCCCAATCTACATAAAGTTTTGTGTTGTTGTTTTTACATAGAAGGTTTGCTGAGCTGGGGGTAAGCGAATCAGAAAGACAAAAAAGTGATGTAAAAACATGTTATTTGGGCCATGCTATTCAACAATACTTCTTAGTTCATAATACAGATCGAAATATGAAAAGAAAAAAGTATCCATATTTTGTTTCAACATATTTAAGATGCACCGGCAGCTTCTTTAACAAAGTGATAAAAGGAATTTACACATAAACCTACAAGATGTCTGGGGAACCAGTTCAAAAAGTAGTGAGAACATTCTCCTTGTGCATATGCAAGCTGGCTATAAACAGCTGATACAGGAGTAAAAGTTCTTAATAGTTCATGAACTGTAAATCGTTGGTAGGGCTACTGATGGCTCACTATAAAAATACAACATAACAACATTCCATAACGACAATAGACTATATTGACAAACTTACTCCATTTTGAAGAATGGATATAAAAATAAGTACCCATTTTAGCAGTGAAACATAAAGTTCAAAATTAACGAGGTCGTTATAGATGGTACTCTTGCATTAGGTCCCAGCATGGCTTGGTGAGACAAAGTAACAAGGAACAGAATTAGAACAACATAAGAGATGCATTATCAACAAACTGGCATTAAATAACCCTGTCTCACCTGACCTACTATACCCTACCCGGGAAGCTAAATAGATCTCTCAATCGAAACATAAATGCACAGCTGTAAGCAGTCCAAGTGCTAGGCAACAAATAAAACACAGTTATAACCTATCTAAGTTGAAAGAAATTATGAGACCATAACAATATACTCCAGTTAACAAATTAGAAGGAAGGCACTTTGGCTAAAGTTGTTTTCTTGTATAGTACTACTATCTACGCAGGGCAAACCTTTCAAGCAAACAGAGACAATGCATATATCTTGGGAGCAAAATTATAAAATGTTAACGGTAGGGCATTAAGTGAACAATCAGCCTAATGGCAAGATTTATGTTGTAAAAAAAGGGGGGGGGGTTAACACCTCAATAGATGGAAACATGTGGTGGTAGACGGCTGCTTGAACAGCTCGATCAGTTTAAAGGATGTCATCACAGAACAAAACAAGCATTGCTCACCAAACATCTACAGAAACCATAAAAGAAATGCATCAGTATACAGTTTTAAACATCCTCAAATTTCATGCAATTTGACAATACAATGATTAAGTACAATAAAATAGAACAAATGGAGATTAATGATATTCTTCCTCCCCGCAATCCTGCCTGCACCCTTTTGAGCAATCATGATAATTTTTCTTCATTATGTTACACTAAGTAAATAAATAAATAAATGAATGAATAAATGAAAATACAATGACCCTTAGTCAGGTTTTAATACCGCTATTGTTTAAATCCTCAATTTTTAATTGATGCTAAGTAAGGATAACTTAAAAATGAATGTCTTAAATGAAAAGAAATGGGTGTCAGAAACTAGGCAATGGTCAAGTCAAATCACTCAATTGCAAATTGAGGTATTTGTAACAAATGAAAGTAGGTTGCTATCATCTCAATGGGAAGAGACTCACAAATCCAAATCTCACCATTGAGTCAAAAGGCACAGTTTCACAATATTACAGGAACTAATGAACTAAAATTTATCGTTTTCTCCCTTAGCACCAGTCTAAGACCTACAGGAAGGCATCATGGATTGATTTTCTCAAGAAAAATGACACCTAGGGTAAAAACAACGAAACAACAAAAAACGAACAAACATTATTTGTCAATCTACCATTAGACATTTCAACAACTACAGGTACAATAAACTTGTGCTTAAGCACATTCTAAACATTCTAAAAAAGACAGTATGCTTCCTCTGAAGGAAGTTTATAATTGATACAACTGCTGATATTAGTATCAAAACAAGAAAAAAAGGAGAATTTTTTAATTAAAAAAAGAGAAACCCCAATAAAAACATCATTAAAAACAGAAGATAAGACTCTTTGGCTGTAATGTTACACTCTAATTTAAAGAACCATGAAATCTGTATCCCCATGACACAGAAAGAAGTAATAAAAACACTGAGACATGAGTAAATGCTTAACTGAAGCAAATAAATAGCCAAATTAAGAAACAAGGCCATTGATTGTACCATGGAATTTGAGACTGTTTCCACTCAAGATCGATGTCTTCCCCTGGCTCTCACACTTACTTCAAACATAAATGATATGTTCAAGTTTTCAAAACTGTCTGCCAGTCAAAAATTTTACATCAATTGCAGAGTAGATCCAATTAATTTACAACAATAGCAGCAGATTTGCAACCACATTAAACAGACCCTGTTCCTGTTAGCAGGGCTCTTGGTCTTGTGGCAGCAATGATTTAAGCTCATCTGCATTATCTTCTACAGTAGACTTCTTGTCCCCGGACAATACTGATTTTGACTGACTGTTGCTTCTTGACAAAGCTGTTTCCTGTTTTCCAGGACTTAATGGAGAATGAATACTGCCATTTGGGCTAGTTTCTTTGTTGACTGGAGCAGAAGATGAAACATTGTTGTGTTTATGGAGAGAAGACCTATCAGTCTGCTGAGAAGAAAGGAATGGAAAAAAAATTATACATATGAAAAAGAAGAGCTTAAAAATTAGTTTTAAATCAGATTATTATTATGAGATGAGATTACTTACAGGACTGTGTGTCTGTGATTCCAATTCACCACGACTTCTTGCTTCATCATCATCCATAGCGTGCAATAACTGAGAACAGAAAGATTTTTTTTTTTAAATGAACCTAACAGGTTGAAGAGAATGGCATAAATTACATATGCTGAAACTAAATACCTTTTCAACCTCATCATCAAAATGCTCATCAGTTGAATCCTTCCGACTTATAGCCATTAGAGTGGCCTGCTTAGCTGCAAGGTATGCCGACCTCCTCACTCGAATGTAGAGAACATCCATGACAGCCCGAACAGTATAGTCCGGTACAAAGGTGTGACGTAGCATGACATCCAGATTCACCGACTGCAGACTTCCCATATTGGTAGGAATAGAAGGTGACTCAGCTGGAAAAGTATTCCAATGTTCTTTATGCAATTAAACTGGCAAAACTTGCATAAACTCAAGTTGGATGTGACTAACTACTTACCAACATTCACACTCTGCATGAGCGCTTGAGTGCCAAAGTAAGTGAATGGACCACTTTCAAACATTAAATTTTCCTTTCCAACTGTAACTTCAACACGTCCTTCCAGGATAAGTACGAAATAATCAGACGGTTTCCCCTGTGCACAACAGTGATAAAATTAATGTCAGGAGGAGAGACCATAAAATGTCTGAGAGATAGGTAACTAATAAAAAGTTAGTGGATTATCTTACCTGTTGGTAAATACAAGTAGCAGGATCTTGTCTGGCCTTTTCCTTATTTTTCACCTTTATGTGGAATATGACATCATGTCTCAACAAACGACGAAGGATTGTTTCAGAGACATTATGAGGCTTGAAAGCTTCCACGCCTGAAATTTAAGTGCAGTATTAAAACCTGTCATTTGCATCAAGCACAGCAATTGTGTACCCTAGGCTGGGACTTACTGGCACTCAGGTATTGGAACGTAGCCAAAGTTAGCTGAGGGGAAATGTGAATGTGCTGGTTCTCCCGGCGTTCACAGAATGCTGTGAAATCTTGTTTTAAATTCTGCTTCCTACGTTTTTTGGATTTGTTATCAGCTGAAAGATAACAAAAATTGATGCAGGTTTGTTAGAAGAAACACTCCCTTCAGAACATAAATGCCTTGACAGCAAAACTAATAAACTCACTGAACACGTCGGTTTCATCCATGATCTCAGCCTGAATAAGTTCTTCAATGACGTCCTCCAGAGTAATGAGACCCACTGTCTCATAGAAAGGATCCCCTTCACCCTCGCTATTCACCTTGTGCACTAGTGCCATGTGGCCCTTTATACCTATGACACAAAAGGTATTTTCAGGTTCCCCAAAGCACTAAAAGATAGTCTTGACAATGCTGGCATAAAAGTCAACTCACCATCCTTGAATTGCCTGAACAACACATCCAAAGTAAGGTCCTCGTACACGAAGTTACACTCATTCTGGTAAAACTGGCAGAGGGTCTTCAGAGGAGTCTCATCATCAGGGTCCACAAAGGCGAGATCCTTGATGTACAACATTGTAACAATGTTGGTTCGCACGCCTTCGTACACGGGCACTCGTGAGAATCCTAAACCCAGAACAAGAAAAATCACAACATTAATCAGTCCAAACAGATACTCGAGAAAATTTCCCCCTCATCTTTTGGTTCCTACCTGACTTCATGATCTCCGACACCGTCTCGAAGTCCAAGATGGCGTCATGAGGCAGCATGTACACGTCCTCCAGCTTGGTCATGACGTCCGCCACGGTCTTCTTGCGCAGCTCCAGGGCGCCGGCGATGATGTTCACCTCGTCCTTCTCCAGGTCGTTGAACTCGGTCGTCACCTTCACCAGCTCCTTGATGCGCTCCCGCGTGTACACGTTGCCGATCTCCTCGCCCAGGATCCAGTCCAGGATCTTGGAGATGGGGAAGCTGAGCGGCGAGGTGAGGCCCATGAAGAGCTTGGTGATGTTGATGGTCTTGGCGCCCACCTCCAGGCCGTGGCGCGAGCACACCGCCTGGGGCGTGATCTCGCCGAACACCACGATGGCCAGCGTCGAGCTGATGACGGCCACGAGGCCGGACGTCAGGTCGTCCATCAGGATGGTGAGGGTCGAGTTGACGGCCACGTTGCCCAGCAGGATGCTGTCGCGGAAAGGAACAAACGTTTAGCATTACACACAGGTCGGATCACCCAAAAAATGTTTTCTTGAGACAAGAGTTTCAGGAACTCAATTCTTTATTTGTTTGATTTTCTTTTTTTTTTTGCATGTTTAGGGAGGCCTTTAAAATCTCCCGTTTAATCATCCCATCCTCCAAAAAAATGTTCCGACCCATTAAAACAGCAACCTGACACCAGACACGTGCCCGCCCACGCTCCGCATGCACCACTTGCTGCACTCCCCGTGGGCGAGGCGGACTCCGGAGCGATTCCGCAGCCGTCTCTCTCGCACTCACTGGGCGTGCCGTACAGGCGTACGGGAGCGAGAGAGACGGAGCGTGCAGGACACTGCATGTTTAATTACACTTGAAACTCGCGGCCGCGCGATGCCACAGTGCAGCGGTGCAGCGTGGAGCACGACGGCCGTCCCGTCCCATTCATCCTCCAAGTCGACAGTGCATGCAGCCACCAGTGCAGCGGCTCGGCCCGTAATCTGTGCGGTGTTCGGCAGCAGGCAGATACCGATGCTCCGTCTCTCTCGCACTCGTGGGGCGTGCCGTTTGGCCGTTTGGGTGCGAGAGAGACGGAGCGGGACAAGTGTACAGCTCGGTGCGGGGAAGCCCGGCCCGTCACCGCCAGCGCCATGCAGCGCCCCCCAGAGCACACAGACCAGACACCGCGCCGCCTAGCTCTGCGGACTGATTCCGAGAGTCGTACCCGTCGCCGTCTCTCTCGCACTCACGGGGCGTCCCGTGTGGGTGCGAGAGAGACAGAGCGACGAAAACGACTCTCGGAATCAGCCTGCCGCCTAGCTCCACCAGCGCCTCGCGGTGCGCGATTACGCCATTAAATTCTCGCTGGGCAAACACAAACCACACAAACGCACGCCGACGTCGTCGTCGTCGACGCCGCCACCGCCGCCGCCCAACCGCTTCGGACCGCTTTCGAGCAGTTTCGAGGCGGCGAGGTTGACATGCGTTGACACGGCAGACGCACGCACTGCTTGGTGGCCTGGCTGATTTACAGACCGGCAAAGACAACGCGGTGGCGTGGCGTGGCACGGCGGGGCAGGGCGTCAACAAAGCCGCACTAGACGGGGTGCGCGGAGAGCGGCCCTCCTGCCCTCCATGCACGCCGCCGAGCGCCCTTTGACCTTTTTCTCCCCTTTCCCCTTTTCACAGTGCCGCGGCCCGCGCGCCAGAAGGGCCACAGCCAGAGGGGCCCAGCCTGGGCGACAGCCAGCTCAAACCCCAGGACACCACCACAAAGCCCCGGCCACGCAGGACTGCCACAAACTAGCACACTGCCAGGCTGACTTGAACGGCGTGAGCGCCTGCGAGGTAGGCCGCCCATTGGGCCCGCAACGCTCCGGTGTGAGACGGTGGCCTACCCCGCCCCTGGAGACGGCAGGGGCGAGGTAGGCCACCGTCTCCACTCCGGTGCGTTGCGGGCCCAATGGGCGGCCTACCTCGCAGGCGCTTTCTGAGTGCGAGAAGCAGGCACGGCCAAAACGGCATTTGCAGTGTGTCGGACACCCCGGCCAACGCACCTGCACAGCAAGAAGTTGCCGTGGTTGCGGACGGGCAGGATGGCGCGCGCGTACTGCCGCTCGCGCTCCGTGCCCGTGTTGCACACGATCTTGAGGTCGGTGCGGTCCAGCGACATGAGGCCCAGGTTGAGGCCGGAGAAGAGCGCCGAGAAGCCCAGGCAGGTCAGGATGATGACGATGGACAGCCAGACGGGCAGCAGGCGCTCGTACGAGCGGAACGTCATGTACGTCTCGGAGCCCTGGTGCGACCACTGCGCCGAGGCGTTGGAGGCGCGCAGGCACAGGAACTGCGGCTTGCCCGGCAGCGCCAGGGCGGCCGGGGGCATCTTGACCGTCACCAGCGCCGACGTCCGCGAGGGGTTCACATCGAACAGCTGCGGAGAGAGAGGCAAGATTCAAGTACTCGCAGTACAACAGGCGGCGCCATAGCCACACTCTAAAAATAATCGCTATGCGGCGCGTCGCGAAATTTTCAATCAGCCAGAGCAAATTCAAATGCAAAAACAAAGCGCCGTCGTTGTTTCGCTCCTCAGAATGCCGTGACTCAGCGCGCTCACGCGCAACGGCCGCCGCGTCGCGGCCTGGGCGCGTTTCCGGTGTGGGGGCTTCTTTAATTTCAGCCAGGTCAGCAAACAAGCGGCGGCAGCGTGGCGCGGCGCAGCGCAGCGAAACAGGACCGTCTGTTTACTCCTTCGACGGGCGCGACGCGTCGTCGGGGAGAAAGACAGCCCGCTCCTTGTCCTTCTTCCTCTCCTTCATCTTCTTGTTTTCGAACTGTCTGTGGCGTTGTGTCCGCGAGGCGCCGCGAACCTCGCCGCGAACCCACCCCACCCCACGGCCGCCACGGCACAGCCCGCCAGCCGGCCGGGAGCCCCTCGTCGGCAAGGCTGGGCCGTCCCGCCGAGCAGCGCTGTCCGACGGGACGGCCGCCACCCCTGCCACCGCGCTGGTGGGAGTGGAGGGGGAAGGGGGAGGCTAGGCGCGGAGCAGTCGCAGCCCAGCCTGTGCAGCGTTCGTCTGCGGTGCTGTACCGCTCCATCCACTCCACGCACCGCGGCCAAAAGCGTTCCCGCTCCGCCTTGTTTCACCAGCGCAGACTCTCTGCGAATGAATGGTCGCCGTGTCTCCGTCGCACTCGTGGGCCGCCCCGTGGGAGTGCGAGGGAGACAGAGTGGCGGCCGAGCGGCTCGACGGGGAGAGCGCCGGTCAGCCGATCCATTACAGCCGGTCTGCTTCATCGAACTGACTGTACCGGATTTATTATTTTCGGAAGGGGCCGACTCGAGGCAGTAGGCCAGTGGCCAGGGGGGCCTAGGGGGGCCCGTGGTCGCGGCGAGCTCGTGACCCAGAGGCCCGACGGCCCCGAGAAACACAACGAACGCACCGCCAATCCCATTACGGCCTTACGAGGCTCACGGCGCCACGCGTGTCCCCCGCAGCCCCGCAGCGACGAAACCCTGTCAGCGCGTCAAGGGACACGAGGGGGCCGCGGCGGGTGGCAACCCTACCTTCAAGAACTTGGAGCGAAACCCTGTCAACGTGTCAAGGGACACGAGAAGGTGGTGCCGGGTGGCAACCCTAACTTTGAGTGCTTGAAGCGAAAACCTGCCAGCGAGTAAATAAATTAAACAAGGGGGCAACCCTACCTCCGAGTACTTGGAGCGAAACCCTGTCAGCGCGTCAAGGAACACAAGAGGCCGCGGCGGGTGGCAACCTGGTGGCAACCCTACCTTGAAGTACTTGGAGCCGGGGTAGAAGTCCTTGCAGTCCTCCCCCACGTCCGAGGCCGTGTACGTGACGCCCAGCTCGGCCTCGTTGGAGAAGCGCTCGCCGAAGAGGCGCAGCGTGATCTCGGACGCCACCAGGACCTCGGGCACGCCGTCGTCGGCCGTGTGCACGCCGTGCGACGACCGCTCCACCCGGAAGCCGAGCAGCGTCGGCGCGGGCACGGCCTCGCTCACCGTCCAGGCGCGGCGCCGCCTGCAACAACAACAACACCATGACGCACTGCACTGCGAGAGAGAGAGAGACAGGGTGGCGAAAAGCTCCCGAGGTGAGGTGTGGCGTGGCGAAGAGCCGTCTCAACAAGCAGCCATAGCCAATTTAATTCCACTGCCTTGGGAGAGGGTTGGGGGCGGTTCGGGGGCGGCTTGGGGGGGGGGGGGGCACAGGGCGAGGGGACTTCTCGTCGAGCTCGGCACAATGCAGAACGGAAAAAAGGGCGAAGGGTGGAGAGGGAAAACCAGCCCCCCTCCCCTCCCTTCACGGTCAACGCGTAGGTTGCGGGCCCGGACAGCGAAAGCTGAAGGGGGGTGGGGGCTGAATGAACACAGCGTGGGAGTGCAATGCGTTACTCACTGCGCAAGTACAAAGTACACACCCCTGGAACGATCTGTGGCCACGCGGCGGGCGTTTGCGGAAGGGGTAGGGAGTTCCCCACGCCCCCCACCCCAATGGTCTCATTTCGACACGACAAAGGGGAGTGGGGGCGGTGCGGTATCGCACGTCGCAGCAGGCAGGCAGGCAGGCAGCCAGGCAGGAGGCGCCTCCATGGAGATCGCCCCTATCGCCCTTTCAGTCGTCATGGGGGAAAGGTGCACCGGGAGGGGGCAGAGGCGGGGGGACTTGAGGGAGGGGGAGGGGGTGGCTGTGGCTGGGTAGGGCATAGGGTGGGTCATGGCCAGGGTTGCAGCCAGAGCTAGGGTGGCCGCGCGGCACCAGAGCGGGTCGATAAGAAAGCAATGCAGACCGTACAGTGTACAGCAGCTGAGGAGAGGACCCCACGCTGCCCTGCCCGTCCAGAGGGAAAACAGCGCCGCAGTGGACTTGCCGTGGGGGCGGCCGAAATCCCGGACGCGTTTTGAGCTCCAGAGTCGCTAAATGGGACTCGAACCGAACGAGTGACCCCACCAATGGATCGCTCTCCGAACGAGGAGCCCATTGTGCCGCGTCACGGCGTCGCCGCGTCTCGCGACCGCGCCACCGGAAAACGTCATTGGGCCAGACCCGCGTCCCGCGTGCGACTTTTAGCGACGGCAAGACTGGTGCCGAACGTCCGCCGCTCGCTCCGTCTCTCTCGCACTCGTTGCGGTCCGTCGAGAGTGAGAGTGAGTGAGAGAGAGAGAGAGAGAGAGAGAGAGAACGCGACGCCGCTCGGAGGCAGCGCGGTGGCGACGGCCTTCCCGCGCCGCCTCGCCCCATCCGGACGCCGCGGCCCGCGGGCAGACTTGCCTCCTCATGGTATTTATAGCAACCCCCACGCCGACGGGACGGCCGTCTGTGTGTGCGTGTGTGCGCGAGTACGTGAGTGTTTACGGTGAGCACGCAGCAAGGAGCGCAAACACCGCACAGGCCGCAGCAAGACTCATTCCGAGAGTCGTTTTCGTCGCTCTGTCTCTCCTCCACTCAGAGGGCCGAGGAGAGTCCTTCTCGTGTCTCTCTGTCTCTTTCGCGCCTTTGCGAGGGACCCCGACGAAGGACCCCGACGAAGGACCACCCCGTCGTCCGTCCCAGGCAAGAGTCCAGAAAGTCCAGGCCGAGATGCAGTAATCGCTCGCTCCGGCTGCGCAGGCCGCGGTACGTAAACGTAAGCCGAGATGCCCGAAGGCCTAAGGCTCGTTCACTGGCCGTGGCATGTGTGGTAACCCGACACGCTGTCGCCTCATTCCGGAGCATCGTTCCGTCGCTCTGTCTCTCTCGCACCCACACGGAACGCCTGCGGGTGACGTCATCGCTACTCTACCTTTACGACACGGCTTTCCGCAATAACACTTTACCTGTTGCTCTTGAAAACAACGAGCATGAAGCGTGCAGGGCAAAGGGGGAGGGGGGTCACATTGACTTTCGCTGTCGTTTTACACTGTCGAGTTCCTGGTACTGCCTTTTGTCTTCGCGATATAAGGCCGTGCGGCCGAGCGGTGGCAACTTTACGGTGGGTTACACACGTGACCAAGTTCACATTGCTCACATTTCTCAGACTGGATGACGATTTGGATCCTGCAGGACTGAGAACCAGCTCAGTAAACATGACTACATCATTCCTCAGTGTAGGTTCCTCGCGGTAGGAAATCGAGAAAGGGTGTTGTGACGCCCCCTCCCCACCTTTCCCTTTCAATGCCGGCCCGGCCGAACCGAAACCCCACGAGTGTGCGAGGGGGACAGAGTGCGACAGAGCGACAAAAGCGCAGACCGTTTGGAATCCGCCGCGGCAGAAACGGGATCCATCCATCCAGCCTCGCCTCGCCTCGCGTGAATCATAAGGGAATGCCACCGAGGCGTGTGGTATCAGTGACGACGGAGGCTCCACACACTATCGCCGGCCGCGGTTCCGTCGGAAGGACGAGCCCGCCAGAGTGCGTCACTGTGTGCGTGGGCGTGTCCGTGTGTGTGTGTGAGAGAGAGAGAGTGTGTGTGTGAGCAGAGTCACTGCATCGCCGCAACGTCCTGCAAAGCAATAGGGGTGACGGTCGAGACGGGGCGGCGCTGTGGAGAGGGCACCGCACCGCACCGCCCGCCCCGCGCGGGGGTGCAATGCCTGCTGACGCATCGCGGTGTCATCGCGCGCCTCTAAGTCGCACCGCGGGGCGTACCCGAGGGCGTACCAAAGGGCGTTCCCGAGCTGGGGCGTACCATCGGGGCGCGGCGGGGCGTGGCCGGGCAGTGCGATCCGGTACGGACTGGCGAGCGAGCGAGCGAGTGAGTGAGGGAGCGACGCTCCAAGGTGGGGCTGGCGGGCTGGGGGCTTGTGGCGGTGGCGCCCTGCCAGGAACCGAGTCGGTTCAACCGAGGAGAGGAGGGGCTCTAGGGAAAGTGGGTGGCGGGGCGGCGTGGGGGTTGGGCTGCCTAGGGCTGCCAGCCCCGCCAGCCCCGCCAGGCCGCCAGCCCCTTTGGGCCGCCAACGGGGGGCAGCTGGGGCCAGTCAGGGAAGGGCGATAGCCTGCAGGCCGAGCACTGCTCTCTGTCTCTCTCGCACTCGTGGGGCGTCCCGTAAGGCCCGTGTGGGTGCGAGAGAGACAGAGAGCAGTGGTCGGAGTCGGCCCGCTGGTGGCAAGACGGGGACGTCGCCTCGCCGGCAAAGCTCGCCGGCCTCGCCAGACACCAGAAGGCCCGAAATACAGTCGGCCCCGTTCCGTTCCGTTCGCGGAGGATTCGCCATGCTTCGCTTGCTGCGCGCTGCGCAGCGCCGAAGCTTCGCCGGTCTTCTGGCCCACTGCGGCGTAGACAGTCCAGTGGGTGGGGCGGCGGTGGGGGCGGCAGCGCCGCTACGCCACCGGGTCAAGCCTCCCGTCCCAGGCCGCCTCGCCCTCGCCGCCTCCAAACCTTTCAAGCAGGTCGGCCACCCCAAGGCATAACATAACTCCATTTCCCCGACCCCCCACCCCCCAGCCGCACCACCGGGCCACCAGGGCCACCAGGGCGTGGCGGGGGGTGGGTCCCAGGGTGGGCCCCATACATGGGATCCTAGAGCGTCGCCCCACCCGCCTCTGATCGGGAGCTGTCTCTCTCGCACTCATGGGACACCCCATGAGAGACCGACCGGAACCCCCGTTCGTCCCTACACCGGGCCAAGGACAGCTGTCGCGCCCTTCTAGGAAGCTCGGGCCCTTGTTTCGGCCACTCGAGCAGCGCCTTCGGGAAAAATGAATCAGAGACCCATTTACAATTCCACGTAACACGCTCGCCGCCTGGAGACAGAACCGCGGCAACACTCACTCACACAGCACCACTTTGTTTGTGTTGAGACTGCTGCGTCGCGTCGCGTCGTCCGCGTCGTCCGGCGGCAAAACGCTTGCGGAGACAGAAGTGTGTCAGTCGTGTCAGGCATCACACGGCGAGCCACCGCCAGAATTCACAGTGTCGCTGCGGTGTGTCACGGTCAAGTGCGTCAGCGGCAAACAAGTCACTTTCTGGTCCTTCAAATGCAGGCAATGACAGACTAAACTAAGTCCAGAAATGTTGGCGGTGTGGACGGCCTGCACTCCAGCCAGAACAAGACGCCTACTTAGCAACACGACCACGCCAGCATCCTCGTCGACAAACGCGACCGGAAAGCAGTGTAGTTATCGGTCTACCCGAGCCGCGCCTCCCCCCCTCCCCCTCCCCCGCAAGTGACGATATTCTTCCTGCCAGAGAGGAGCCCCGGCGGCACGCGACAACAGCCGGGACGCGCCGGGGCAGCGTCCTGCACTCTGCAAAACAACACGTCGAGCGCCACGCCAGACGGGTTCGTCGCTCCGTCTCTCTCGCACTCACGGCGCGCCCCGCTATAGTTGCGAGAGAGACAGAGCGACGACTCTCGGAATCAGTCCGCAGCCGCGGCTGGCACTCCCCCGGTGCGCCATTTTTCCCTCGACGGGTACCCGATTCCGTTCCAAACCGCTTTCGCCCGATTTGAACCGCTTTCATCCGCTTGTAACGACTGCCAACCGGCTGCACCGGACGTCGGTTCAAAGACACCGCGAACAGCAGCTGCCGCCACGCCGGCCGGCCGGCGAGAAACCCGCCCAGCCACGCCGCCACGCCCACCGCCGCGGGGTTGCGGGTTTCGAACCCACGCGCCTCAAACCCTGAAACCCTGCCGCGGGCCCGCACGTCAACACACTGACAATCAAAAAAGTCTTGATCGCAAAGCCATAGCCAGAGACAGAGCGAAGGGACGGACGCACCTCGTGGCGGCGGAATGCCACCCCCCGCGAACAGACCGGCAATGCCCCGGCAATCCAGCGCATCTCGCGATAAGGCTTATCAACGCGGCCCCGCGGCCGCAGCGATACGAATTAGCCAGCCCAACACTCGATGCATTCTCCTTTTTTCTCGCTTCTTTTTCCGCGGAGTCGCTCTGCAGATGGAGCGGCAAGGAGAGGAATCCGGTTTAGGGCAATCCTTCAAGGTGCCCTTCAGACGCGGCCGGTGTGGCCGTGGCCGTGGCGTGGCGGCCCGGGCAGGGCAGGGCACGGGAGCCTCTCCTATCCCCTCTCACCCCCTCCCCCTCGCCGCACGCACCGCGTGTACCCGCAACCCGCACATACCAGCGACCGCCGAGTCGCGCGCAGGATGATCCGAGAGTCTTTTTCGTCACTCTGTCTCTCTCGCACTCCCGGGGCCTTCTTAGGGGTGCGAGAGAGACAGAACCCCCTCGGCCCCCTTCAGAGCACCCCTCCACTGCTTTCAGTTTTCAGGCCTTCCGGCACTTCCAGTGTGGGGCCGCGACATCTCATTTCCTCCGCCACCCCAGTCTCACGCTCACCGGACTCTTTGGCGGCTCGCTTTGGAGCTGCCCTGCCAGGCACTGCCCTGCCCGCATAGCGTCATGTCACCGCGACCATTCACAAGGCCCTCCCCTCCCCTCCCTCTCTCCCCCTCTCTCTTTCTCTCTCGCCGACGCGTGTCGTTAATCAAATCGCGGCACACAGCGATGCCAACTTCAGTGCAGACGGCACCGCGGGCCCGCACTGCAATCTTCCCAATCGAAAGGACTGGGGGGGGGGGCTGCAGACGACACGAGGGGTAGCAAATGTGCAGTCGCGAAGGGGAAGGAGTGATGGGGCTTTATTTTTAGAGCCAGAGGCCCTTTTAACCTGCTTGGAGTCCTTATCAGACATTAGTCAAACATCTCAGAAAGGTAGACTGAAGAACAGTCCCCAACCCCTCCTCCTTTTTTGCCCCCAGCAATGTCCTTTACTCAACTCAATCCACTCAAGCAAATCAGTGAGGAGGAGTGAGGGAAGCCCCTTAAGCAGAAAGCAGGAGGCTTGCTTGTTAAGGTCCCGTGCACATGTCAATGTCAAACAGCAGAGGGGAGCAAAGGGCAGAGGCGAGGTTGGAGGTGGGCACTGGAGCTCAAGGCAGTGCGGACAATCAGACAATCCAGGTGGAACGGAACAGGACAGCCAAAAAGGCTTTTGTTGCCGACACATGAGACAGAGTTGGAGCAAGGCCTTTATGTAGGGCAAGGCTCCCTTATCTCACAGGTCCGCAGAGTGTACCATTGGGTAGATAACAGCAGGAGAAATTAAAATTACTTTGAAGCAGGAATGACAGTGAAATATAGGACAGCTAAGATGCGACTAATATTTTTAAGTGAGCATAACAGTGTACACTTGATGCCGCAGCATATCAATCATGCCCAGAGTGAATGGATTAACTTATCAAGGCAGACGGGTCTTGAATCATCTCACTTATCACAGCCGTGGGACCCTTGTCATACCAGAAATTAACACCACAATTAAAAAATAAAATTCAATTATGCCAACTATCATGATTGAGTGATGTCTATCACAAACAAAACGGCAGGCCATCAACAAGGGGCTCAATTTAACCAAATTTGCAAAGAGCAATTTCGCAAAATTAATTCAATGACGACATTCTAATTGAATGAATGAATGAACGCATACCACCAAAAACATTAAGTCACCATCATAAAATCCTCTCTTCTATGACGTTATCTTTACCAATGAGTGGCCCCTGAATGAATGGACTTGAGGAGGCCCACAATGTAAACAAATGCCAGCAGCAGCCCATTTATTGACACTCATGACAGCCACAACAGTGTCGCCGACAGGCCGACACACAGGTGCGGACACGGGTCCAGGCGTGTCCTGCTGGCTGGCCAATCCGATACGCCACGTTTTCGGCTGCTTTACTCACCGTGTCGGCAGGACGGTGGCCTGGGCTGCCTGGGCCGGGGCCCCGGCAGCAGTGTGCGCTTCGCTCTTCTGAACCGCATCGCCGACAGGGGCCGGCAACTCTAGCACTACTTGGTCACCCTGGTGAATCCACACTATCCGTTGGCCAGACGTCCTGCCACTGTCAGTGCTGGCGGGCTCCGCACTGGTCCACGTCCGTGGAGGAGTCCGCGCACTGTCACTTCCCACACACACGTACAGCCGTCTGGCGTTGAGGTTATGTGTCACCGTGAACCATCGCCGGACGGTTCTAGTCCTCGTCGGTGCGGACACACTGTCCACACCGGTGGTGCCCGCGGCGCCCGCGAGCACACTCGCGGCCTGGGCCACCACGTTGGCGCCAGGGCCGGCGCCGGGGTCTGGCGGGGGCTCCCCGTCATCCAGGACGTCATCCAGGACGCCGCCGAGGCACAGCGCCGGATCCGCGGTCAGCAGAAACCTGACCTCGTTGTCCTGCACGGTGTCGGGCGCCGCGACGCGCAGCTCGGCCAGGACAACGTCGCGCACCAGGCCGTCAAGCTTGCCGTGACGGAGGAAGACAGTCTCGTCGGAGGTCCTCGTCGCGTTGATGAGGGTCGCCGTCAACACCTTGGCCCCCGCGGCCCCGGCCCCCACAGCTGCCCCCGACCCGGCCGGCAGGGCCAGGGCCAGGGCAGCACACACGGTCACAACGGCGGCGGCACCCAGGGCGGCGCGAAGGGGGCTTTGCATAGTGACACGACCAGAACCCGAACCGCGCCGTCCGCTCCTCTCCTGCACGGGGTGTGTTCCGCACTACTGCTGGGCCAGGCGGCGCACGCGCCTTTATAACCTCGGCCGCCTCTAGAGAGCCTCGCCCCCCCGCGCACCGCGCCAGCGCCGCGCTCGGCTCGGCTCCCCCCGGCTCCCCCGTGGCGCGGCTGGGCTCCGCTGCGCGGGGCGGCTCGGCTCGGCTCGGCTCGGTTTGCGTCAGAAACGCCAGCGCGTCGCGCGGTCTCTGTCGTCGGGGCGCCGCGCCGCCCCCTCTCTCTCGCACCGCCGCGCTTCGCGGCTGCATGGGGTGGGAAAAAGCAGGGCAGGGGGTGGGGGTGGTGGGGGCGCAACGGGACGGATCTGGATCGGACGGCGGGACGCGCGTCGACAAGCTGCACGGGGCGACGCACCTGTGCTAATGCGTGGCCTGCGTGGCCCCGTGCAGCTGCAGCACCGGACTGTCTCTCTCGCACCGCAACGGGACGCCCCACGAGTGCGAGAGAGACAGCGCGATGTGCAGCAGCCGTGCCGTCTTGCGCGCGAAAATTGAGATAAGGGAAGTGCGGGTGGAGACGGAGACGGCACCGGCAGTGGCGGCACGTGGCCGCCTGAGTCAGCACGGCGCGGTCGTGACGGCAAAAGTGACAGCGCTTCGTCGCTCCGTCTCTCTCGCACTCGTTGGGCATCCCGCAGGTGTGCGAGAGAGACGGAGCGACGAAAGCGCTCTTCGGACAAGTGCCCCCCGAGCCACGGGGAAGACCTCAATGACCACTTCCTCGGACTCACACACACACACGCACTCACACTCGTTTCCACAGCGGAAGGCAGTGACGGGGTTTCATTTTCACTCATGACTTAACTACATTTTAGCTGCCGTAAGATAACAATTATGGCACCTCTGTTATCTCCGACATGCTGAGTGATATAAATTCGTCGCTCCGCGCGCCGCCCTTTCACCTTATCGCGCCGGGCATGTTGGCAGAACTTGCGAGATTTATTGATACGAAATTAGTTTGCAAGATTGCAGAGAGGGAAATCGCCTAAAACACCCTGGAAAAGCGGATAAATCAGTCCCCATTGGCGAGCGAGGGAAGGGCAACTTTGCGCGACTGTACTTAAAACCATAGAAAACGAACCAAAGGCAGTCTTGCGCTATTTATAATCTTCCATGTGTCTCAGCTTTCACTTAAATCAATTTTATGATTTTATTTTGAACGTACACTGCATTTCCCGAGCGCAATACCGACATTCTACCTTCTGTCACTTGGCACAAACGGGCAAATCTGACCACAACAACGCGAGCGCCGCCTCTGGAGTGAGGAACGCACCCAGACAAGTGAAGTGCGTTCTGTTTATGTGATGACTAATAAAGAAAACAATAAGAATTGGATGCAGGTTGATGCAGGTTCAGGCGTGTTTAGTTGAGGCCCGAGGGATCCAGCTGATTTGGATTAGGCTCCAGAACAGTTGTACCCGAGGCAGTCGCTACGTGCTCGCGCCGTGACTTTGTTTTGGGACGTGAATCGTGCGCTCGTTTTGGCTTTTGGCACGACGCGCGAGTCGCGACGCAGGAGACTCGTCTAGCCCACAGAGCTCGCTTGCTGAGTCCGAGATAGCCATAGCTGGCCTCTGGTCGTCGCTGCTGCGTCTGCCCCTTGTTCGCCACTCCAGCCCTTCAAGTTGGCGTCGGAGGTTCGTCTGGGTCCACTCGCACCTGATGCAACACCATGTCCTCGCCCATAGACTGCAGCCCTGCCGGGGGACGTGAACGAGAACGAAGCCGAGGACGCCCCGTGGAGTACGATCCGGACGACGAGGTGTTCGTGGACGACCCCGATCTCGATCTCGGTGAGGGCGACGAGGGCGTGGAGCTCCGCGAGAAGACGTCCCCGCCGCCCCGCGTGCGCCGCGTCTCCGACGTGATCGACTCGATCGGGGACATGAGCCCCGTCCACCAGCACCTGATGGACGCCATCCAGGCCATGGACGGCAGGCGCCTCAGCGACCCGGCCGGACTGCAGGTCAGGCACGACGCAGAGCCCTCCAGGCACTCGGACAGCTTCGCCCTCAACGGCTCTGGAAGGCCCAAGTCCATCTTGGTGGACCAAGGTTACGGCAGTTCCAGCACCATGTCACCGTTCTATCTGGTGCACTCTCAACCACCTGTCCCGTTGGCTTCGACCAAGGCGAAACCTGCCAACGATACCATTGACGCCCAGCCCTACAATGTTCCATCAACGTAAGTTTCGATTCTTTGCGTGGCTCAAATCTGACATTCAATTGTCGACGTTTACATTATAGTTGATTGATTGATTTATGTTACAGAAACCCTGGTGTTCAAGCCAAAATGCCTGTGGGCAAAGAGTCTGAGGAATATAACATGTCTCATCCTCGACGTGGCAAAGCGGTGATTTTCAACCATGACACCTTCAATATTGATGGTCTGAGTCCTCGCTCAGGTTCTGAAGTTGATGTTAAGAATCTAGTTCAAACTTACGAAGGCCTTGGCTTTGAGGCTATAGTGCATCAGAACCTCACTTTTACTGAAATCAAATCTGAAATCAGCAAGTGTAAGACCATTTTATACCTCCTTTTTTTTTTGTAAAACTTGTTTGCAAACTATAGTTGTAATTGATGTTTCTTTCTCCAGTAAGCCAAGAAGACTTCACTGATGCTGATTGTCTATGCATCACTGTGCTAACTCACGGCATGGGCAGTAACTACTTGCTCGCTCAAGACCATCCGTACAATATTGACCAGCTGTGGACTCCTTTCACTGCTGATCGCTGCACGACCCTTGCTGGAAAGCCGAAGCTCTTTTTCATCCAGGTTTGCTTTGCATTAATTTTAATCTTGAAGAAGTAGAGATTTCAGTTGTCTTATCTTTATTTTCTCAATCACATTTACAGGCTTGCAGAGGTGAACGGCTGGACTCTGGTGTCACTCTTGTTTCTCACCGCCACCGCTCAGAAACAGACTCTTCATCTTCAACATCTTACAAAATTCCCACCCATGCTGACTTTCTGTTGGCTTACAGCTCTATGGAAGGTGCTACCATTGGATTTCTCGTCGTTTAATTTCTCTTAAAAATTTGAGTGCAATTAAACTAATACTGCTATCTATTTGGTTCTGTTTTGTAGGTTTCTTCTCCTGGCGTAATCCAGAAGATGGAACATGGTTCATTCAGTGCCTATGTGAGGAATTGCGAAACAATGCAGCCAAAGTGGATCTTCTGAAGCTTCTGACTAACGTCTCCCGCAAAGTGGCTCTTGATTATCAGTCGTACAATGACCTGATACCATGGCAACATGAGCAGAAGCAGGTAATTTTCAGTATTAAAGCAGTTTTTATGTTCATAATCATTTCTATTGATCAGTAGTGTTTTATGACATAATGAATTCTTGACTAACTTTTGAATTTTGTCCAATTAGGTACCTTCTGTTGTATCCATGCTGATCAGAGATGTCCATCTGCGTCCCAAAAACTAATCTGTAGCATGAATGGAGTGCACAATGTACTTCTTATTTCCATTGAAGTGATGTTGAATGTGTGATAAGGCTTTTTGTGATGAGCTGTAGAAAAATTTAAAAGCACTGCCAAGCATTCTGGTATAGTTCACTAGTGAAGGCAGTTTTACTGCCATTGTGCCAATTTTACCAGTGTCTTTCAGCTCGGCTATTTGAGCATCTCTAAGTGTGATCTCATTTGAATTGGGAACATGACATTTTTGTATGGTCAGGTCCACAATCTTTGGAGATTATTTTAAATTATGTGCTAAGGTAATGTTATGTTTGTTTACTTGCTCAATTAAGAGGGCATTCATGCTTATGTTGGCATATTACTTCTGTCTCAGTTATGATGCTTCACATAATTATTGTGAATTTGCTTGTTCTTTTATGTTTACTACAACACTTGCCACAAGTACATTTTAGCAAAAAAAAATGTAAACTAGCCTTAGCTTTGTCGCTTTTTAACTACAGATTGTTCAGATTTAACTTAATAACTTTTCTTTGAATGGAATTTGTAACTTTTATTTGTTTGGCTCAATGTTATTGTTTTATGCCAGTGTGTTTTGATCGGGGCTGCTGAGTGCAGTAATGAATTGTTTTGATACGTCAAATTTAATGCAGCTTTTGATAAGTTTTTTTAAACTTGCATTCTTGTCAATTTAAAATGTCAGCACACTATGTGTAACATTCCTCTCATGCTCTTGCGTTTTTGCATCATGTATTATGCCACAAGGCAGGTGTTGTGTTGGTTCTCTTGAGATTTCTGTCTTGCAGCATGCCCATTTCCTACTTTGCATACTTTTACATAGTGGTGCATTGGCACTGTTCAAGGTGCTTGTTTGAGGCACCATCCTTATTGATTTAATTATAGACATTGATCTCGTACTTGTGAACTGCATGAGTACCATTAGTATGTGTTCAGACTTCTTAAATTTTTTTCATTATCTTTACCAAGTTGCCATTGCATGTTGGCTCTTCATTGTTGACTTTCTACCAGCATTATCAGTTTTGAGTTATATTGTTATTGTAAGATGTTTGCCATAGTTTATGTTGGTTATGTGTGATTATTTCTTTTTAATTCCTTAGAATACATCACTTCTAAAATTGTGATGTAATACTGTGTATTTGTTTGTATTAATGTACTACTTAGTTTGCAATTTTTTATCACCTATGTGTTCAGTCAGAAAATTTGTTTTCTTGTTTTATTTTATTGATTCATCTGACTAAGAAAAAGAAACACCATTCTGGATCAATTAAAATGAATGAAAATTTATCAAATTAATAAACAAATTGTTATTATGCTGCAACTGAATTCATTGTGAGCAATGTTGCTGCAATCATAATGTACATGCACAACGAACAAAATGTTCAGTATTATGTAATTCATTCTTTTTTATCTACTGGTACTGTGGTACAAATTTGAACCATGCAGTGTGAATGCACGTCAACAGCTGAGAGCCCAAGCTTCAAAGCCCTGTGCCTTCCTATCTCTATTTTTTTTGGCAATGATTTTATACACAAGTATATATTTGTATGGTCCAATGACTTAAATCTGAAAGATTTTTTTCTTAAATTTGTACTCAAAATCTTTATATTTGTACTTTGTGTTTAAGTTATAAATAAATTGTTAAAATGTACGCTGTTTGGAATTCATTATCACCCCAAGACATTCCAGGAAAGCTCCAGTTCGAAACGCCTCTTTCAGAACAAAAAAGCAAACTCTTACCCCTAAAGGATGCCATACCTGTACCCTCTTCAAAAAGTCCCGCGCCTCGCGCTTCCCCAGTCAAACGCAACACAATCGGAGAATATAAAATTCCGCTGGGTATTGTTATAAAAGTTATCAGCAGATTTGGGATTTCGTTAAATCCAAATTTAGGACCAAAAGAATCTTTTAAAGAGAACTGTTAGAGGAAAAGCTCCCCCACCATTAAAACGTGTTTTGAAGCACCTGTCGGTTGGCAAGCGTGAACAGACTAAAAACATAAACAAAAGAAACACGAACACAACAGCAAGAAGCAAATTTTTGCAGAGTGCTGTCTGTCGCTGTGCGACATTTATTCGTTAGATTGTTGACGTTCCATTCCGTACTGCATTAGCCCTTGGGCTACTAGAACTTTTGTTGCCGTTGTCTGTCGCTGAACTCAACCTCTCAAGATGCCGCGAATCATGATAAAGGGAGGCGTGTGGCGGAACACCGAGGTAACTAGGGTTATGTCATGCATCCACACTATCAACATTTTCCTTTTTCTGTGGCCTGCTTTTGATTTCACGCCGGTTTTTATACTCCTTTTTAATGTATTTGACAATTTTTTTCCAGGATGAAATCCTCAAGGCGGCTGTGATGAAATATGGCAAAAATCAATGGTCTCGAATTGCCTCCCTGCTTCACCGAAAGTCTGCAAAACAATGCAAAGCCCGTTGGTTCGAATGGCTTGATCCAAGCATCAAGAAGACTGAATGGAGTCGTGAAGAGGATGAGAAACTCCTTCACTTGGCGAAGTTGATGCCAACTCAGTGGCGAACCATTGCTCCGATCATAGGGCGTACTGCTGCCCAATGTTTGGAAAGATACGAGTATTTGCTGTGAGTTGTTTTCCTCTGTCATCGTTATTGCATGTTTTTTGCTACCTATATTTAATTGTATGTTATTTACTATGTCATCTAGTGATCAAGCTCAGAAGAAGGAAGATGGAGAAGAAACGGAGGACCCCAGGAAACTTAAACCAGGAGAAATTGATCCAAACCCAGAAACAAAACCAGCTCGTCCTGACCCCAAGGATATGGATGAAGATGGTTAGTGATTGTTTTCTTTTCCCATTTTTCTTATCATTGTTGTTGGGCGATTTTACTCACTCCCCTCTGTTACAGAACTGGAAATGCTTTCTGAGGCAAGAGCACGTTTAGCGAACACTCAGGGTAAGAAAGCTAAAAGGAAAGCCCGAGAAAAGCAGCTGGAGGAAGCAAGAAGGCTTGCAGCTCTACAGGTAATTTGTTTCTTCCTCTTGAGTTAAAAAAAAGTCATGCATCCCTCTTTACTTGTTATATTTTTATTTTCATTGTGCTGAATTTTTCAAATATTTGTTTTGTTTGCTCTCAGAAACGCCGAGAACTAAGGGCTGCTGGTATAAAGTTAGCCCCACGTCACAGGAAAAAGAGAGGCGTGGATTATAACAGGGAGATTCCATTTGAGAAGCGCCCCGCTCCAGGTTTTTATGACATTTCAGAGGAAATTGTTGACCCAATGGCTCCAAATTTTGCCCGTCTAAGACAGCAGCACTTGGATGGAGAGCTTCGAGCCGAAAAAGAGGAAGTCAGTGGTGTTTTACTTTCTGTTTTCTACTATTTATATTGAGATTGAACATCATACTTATGCCAGTGTTTCAAAATGTTGTAGAGGGAGAGACGTAAAGATAAACAAAAACAGAAACAACGCAAGGAAAACGATGTGCCTGGGGCTATGCTAGCTGGCCAGGAACCAGCTCGCAAACGTTCTAAGCTGGTTCTTCCAGAACCTCAAATATCTGACACTGAACTTCAGCAAGTTGTGAAACTTGGCCGAGCTAGTGAAGTCGCCAGAGAAGTGGCCACTGAGTCTGGCACCGGAGCCTCTGATGCCCTTTTAGCCGACTATTCAATATCAACTTCAGCTGCCATGCGTACACCCAGAACTCCTGCTGCTGCCACAGACCGCATCCTTCAGGTATTGGGACTTGGCACATTGAGTTCTCAGTATTTAGTTGGTCGTGTACAATGGAACTAATCTTCTTTATTTATAATTTGTCTGCAGGAAGCACAGAATATGATGGCACTAACACACGTGGATACCCCATTGAAGGGTGGAACCAACACTGAGATATCAAACTCTGATTTCAGTGGTGTAACACCATCTAAAGATCTGGTTGCAACACCTAACACTGTGCTAACTACTCCATTCAGATCTGCTCATGGACAAGATGGTATGATTATTAATATATTTTTTTTTACTGTTGCGCTATCTTTGCAATGTTTCAGTTCTCTGTTGTTTTTTAAAACTATATTTATTATTTTTAAACTTAACAGGCAGTGCTACTCCAGGCTTTGGAACTCCAGGAGCACTTTCACACAGAGGAGGCACCGTTGCCACACCTACTCCATTGCGAGATAAATTCAACATCAATCCTGAGGATGGGTTCAATGTGGGAGATACCCCACAGGCTTTAAAACAATACCAGCGAGAGGTGATTTCCTGAAAACATTGTCTTGCTTACAAACCGTCCAAACTATAATGTTTTGGATTTAAAAAAAAAACTTTTGTCAATAATTTTTTTTTCCTTGGTCAATAGATGAAGGCTCAGCTTTCAGCACAACTGAGCTCGCTGCCAGCTCCTCGCAATGACTACGAAATTGTAGTGCCTGACCAAGAAGACGACGACATGGGCGAAGGGGCAGGAGCAGCGAGACTGAGTGTAGAAGACCAGGCCGACGTTGATGCCCGCCGCGAAGCAGAACTTCGCGAACAAGCCGCGAGGGAGCTGCGCTTGCGCTCACAAGTTGTACAGCGAGACTTGCCAAGGCCCGTCGAAATTAACAACGGTATTTTACGGCAATCAAACACGGATGGGCAACAAAGTGATTTGCAGAAGGTAAAATTTTGTTACATTTATTTGCTATGGAGCTGTTCTGGCATGTGGATTAACATTTTTGATGTTTCAGGCTGAAGATCTCATAAAGAAAGAGATGGTGACTATGCTGCATTATGATGCTGCATACCCAATTCCAGGACACAGTTTTACAGAAAATCCTGCCAAGCATCTTGCATATTTGGATCAGCATAAATACGAACCCTTTTCTCAGCAGGATCTAGATGAGGTAAATTAAGAAGATAAACGGCTCATTATTACTTCTGGTTAGTGATATAACATTGAATAAACTTCTTTATTTTTATTTACAGGCAAAGCAACTCCTTCAAGAAGAAATGGAAGTGGTCAAGACTGGTATGGGACATGGAGAACTTTCCCTTGAGGCATATTCACAAGTTTGGCAAGAATGCTTGGCTCAAGTTCTATACATGCCAAATCAAGGCAGGTACACACGTGCCAGTTTGGCCTCTAAGAAGGAACGTTTAGAGAGTTTGGAGAAACGGCTGGAACAAAACAGAGTGCACATGACTAAGGAGGCAAAACGTGCAGCCAAAATGGAGAAAAAACTGAAAGTGTTAACTGGTGGTTACCAGGTAAGGAATGATTGGTTTTTAATCTTTTTATATGGATATCTTAACTGCATTCTAATTTTTGGCTCTCTTTTCTCCGTTTGTATTTTAGTCAAGGGCACAGGTGCTTGTTAAACAACTTCAAGAATTGTATGAACAGCTTGAGCAGTCTGATATGGAACTATCAACATTCAGGTTCTTGCAGCAGCAGGAGATTGCTGCAATTCCAAGAAGATTAGAGGTATCTACCTCTCTATCACCATTGAACATGTTTTTAATAGATATTTTGGTTGTGTTTCTACATTCTGTTGATATTCTGTCCACAGGCAATCACTGAGGATGTCAACAGGCAAAAGGAGCGTGAACAGTCATTGCAGGAGCGGTATGGCAACTTCCTCAAGACTTATCATGAACTGAGGGAAGAGCTAGGATATAACTAGGACGAGAACTTGTGCTGTTTGTACTTTATCTTAAATTCTCTGACTTGTATCAATCTTTATGAAGTTTCAATGTAGATTTACTGTAAATAGACAACTAAATAAAAATTATAGGCCTTATAAAAAATTGCGCTCTTTTAAATTTCCCTGACACTGACTTGAATTCACAACTTCATTCGGAAAAGAAACATAATGCATCAAAATGCTGGGTGCAGCCTGCACCCAGTGACCCGTTGGCCTGTCTGTCGGCGCCGACGGCGAGTCGAGTCTCTAGGTGCACCCCGTCTCAGCCCGGCACTAACAGGGCCAACGGGGGATCTGCAGCCCCCTCCCCCTCCCCCGTCGAAGTAGAGGAGTCACCAGGGCGCCCCCTCCAGTCGGGGAATTAACGCGGTGACGTCACTGGCTGGGCCCAGGCAGGAGGCCAGCGGAATGACATCACGATTCACGCCGCCAAGGGCTGCTCCTCGGCCACCTCGGCGAGCTGCAGCGCCGCGACCACCGGCGGGGCAAGGCGACCGCGTTCGCCGCCGTGGTCGCAACCCTTGCCGCCGACACGCCGCCCACCACGCCGCCCACCACCACGGCGGCCACCACCCTCCGGCGCATCGCGGCACCGCGCGGCGCGTACGGCGCGATGCATTCGCGCGCCGCCTTCCTCCTCTCCTTCATCCCCCCCGGGATGCGAACCGGTTCGAACCGGCGAACCTGGGCGGCGGCGGCGCGGCGACGCGGCCAGCGCGGAAAGCGCTCCACGCCGCGGACGGCCAAGCCGAAGCCGAGAGGGAGCGAAAGCAAACCACCCCTGCGGCGACACGGTGCGGACCTCTCGACGCGTCCGGGGGAGTGCCTCGCCACGGCCTGGAGGACGGCGTCAACGCGGCCGCGTCGCGCACGCCTCCACCGAGGCCGAGAACGCCGAGAATCGCGAAGCGGCACACTCCTTCCGTGAGTCCATTTCATCGCTTCGTCTCTCTCGCACCTACACGCGACGCCCCGTGAGTGCGAGAGGGACAGAGCGACGAAAACGACTCGCGGAATCAGTCTGCCTGCAGGCCGTGCGCCGCGCTGCTGCGCTACCGAAGGGTCGATAGGGAAGTGGAGGCACGCGGAAGCAGGCGAAGCGAAGCGGCGTCTTGAACCGCCCTGAAGCGCCTTGCATCTCAGGCATCCATCCCTGCATAGGGCCTGCAGCCCTGCCGAGGGGCCGAGAGGAGAGACCCGGGGCCGCTTGGCCGCTCGGGAAGCGCGTTTCGTCTCGTCTCGTCTTTCTCGCAAACTTGGTCGCGACCTTGATCCCCCTGTGCCCGTGCCGGGCAGCCGGGCAGTCTCTCTGAGGTGGCGGCCGCGGAGCGCCACGAACAGTAGAGCGATTCAGGAGAGTTGTCTCGTCGCTCTGTCTCTGCCCCACTGATGGGGCTCTCCGTAAGGGTGCGAGAGAGACAGCGAGAAAGCAATCTTCGGAATCGCTCGGCAGGGCCCCGAACAGGGCCCCGCGGGACGCTGCGGACGCCACGCCGACACGCGACACGCGCCCGGCGCTCATCGCGGAGAGGAGAGGCGACCTTGAAACCGGAAGTGGCCGCTAGCCGCGCCGGGAGCGGGGGCCGGGGGTGGCGGCGCGGCGGCGGCACACACAAGGACACGCAGCCCGGAGCTTCGCCAGTTCGGCGGTGGAGTGGAAGGTGTCGCGGGGTGTCTCTGTCTCCGTCTGGCGGCCCCACAGGGCCTCGCCACACCGTCTCTCTCGCACCCCTACGGCCCGTGCGACACGCCCCACGAGCGCGAGAGAGACAAAGCGACGAAACGACTGTCCGAAATCAGACCTCTGCCCTCGCGGCCGCTCCGAATTCCAACGCCCCACCCCCATTACGGCGTGGCGGCGAGGCCCACTACGCTGTCAAACCATGTCCGACCTGTCAGCGGTAAAACGTGTGGGGCGTGGGCTTCCGCCAGGCTTCCGCGTGCCTAAGGTGCTGAAGCAAAGCTGGAGGCACACTGGAAGCACACCGATCATTTTGCGAGCGGGCCAGGCCCGGTCCGACCAAGGAAGAACGGGACTCTTTCACCCACCACCTCGATTCGCTCCCCTTTTCAGCGCCTTTCTGCGTGTCTGTCTCCTTTCTCCCTACCCCTCCGTCCACCACCGCGACCGGAAACGCTGCAAGGCGGCAGAAAGAAGGACTGGCAAGGAAGGGCCTTGCGTACGCTCTCTCGCTGCTGTGAGAGAATGTGTGTGAGTGCAAGTGCATTTGCGCGCGCGCCTGTGCCTCTGTGTGTGTGAGAGAGAGGGAGAGAGACGGGGGTAGCACGGGGTAGGCGGGAAGGCGCGGCAGAGAGAGAAGGAGGTTCTCTTTGAGGGTCGAGGGTGACTGCGAGAGAGGGGGCTGGACGACGGTGGCCAGGATGGATGGGGTGGGAAGCGGGGGAGGGGAGGGGAGGGACTGCTTATCGATCGGGGTTGCGGAGGCCGGCCGGGGCGGGCCGGGCGGGCGGACAGGGTGGATAGGGGGTGGGCGTCGAGGATCCCCTCCCGTGCCGTCGCGTCCCTCCCCAAGTCCCTCCCCGAGCCGAACCCCGAACCGACCCAGCGTCGCCACCATCACCGCCACCGCCGCGACGACCACCGCCGCCACGCGCCGCCATGCTGCTGTAGTGCCACGCCGTGGTGCTGCCGTGCCGCTGCCGCGCCGCCCGCCACCGCGCCCGCACCAGGCCCGCGCCCGCGGCCCGCGCGCCATAGCGGGTCAGTAGTCAGTGACTAGTCAGTGTGCTGGGCTGCTGGGCTGCTGGGGCTGGGGCGGCGTCTCGGGAGCACGGCGTTGTGGGACAGCACGCGCGGCGGCAGGCGGCACGGCGCGGGTCGGATCGGCACCGGACGGGAGGCGCAGGGCGCAAGGACACGCAAGGCACCAGCAGCCGGTGGCGCTGCACCGCGGAGGACAAGCTAGCCGTCGTAGACAACACTCGCTCGTCGCCATGCCGTCGTCCGGGGCCGTGGTCGCCGTGGTCGTCGTGGTGCTCGCAGCCCTGGCCTGCCTGGACACACGGGGTGAGTGGCACGCGCACGCGCACAGCACGCGCGCATCACGCGCAGGTGGGCGGCCAGGCCGGCATGGCCGTCGGCGTCGGCGGCCTCGGCGGCCTCGGCCAGACACCAACCAGCGACGGGCCGCCGCCGGGTTCCTGGTTCCTCCGAAATTAGTTCACTGGGGTACTCGCGCGAAAGGCGGGGATGGGCGGGGGATGGGCGGCAAGGGTACAGCTGGCGCTCGATAGACCAGGTGGAGGGCTGGCGGGGCTGGCGGGGCTGGCGGGGCTGGCGAAGCGAAGGCTGTGCACACTAGGCCCGGCCAGAGCAGTAGCACGGCAATCGATTGGCCCGACCACGTGGTGCTGCACCACGGTGGCACCATGGTGGACAAGGCCGCCTCCACCACGTCTAGTGCATCCATGTGCACCACCACGCTGCATGCGCTCATCCGCTCACAGGCGTTTGTCGTGATGTTGACGGACACTGGAAAGGCGATTTACTGCTACCGACATCGACCTCCGGGAGGACCTTGAGGGGGCCGAGCTGCTGGCTGCTTTCTGCTCCAGCCGTCGCGGCGTCGCACAGCCTGCCGCTGTGTTTGTGCACCTTTACGACGGCGGGGGAGTGCTGCCGGTGTCCCTGAGGTCCGACCCCGAAGGGTCGTCTGGCCGCGCGGTCTCGGTCTCACTCAAGGGTGCGACAGGGACAGAGCGACAAGTCCCTGACAGTGGAGTGACGGACTTTCGCAGCGGGTACACTGCAGTGCCCGGCGCGGACGGCGCGGAGACGGCCGGGATGTCCTTGACCGGAACATCCTCTCCAGTCGAGGGGCCGGCGGCGGGGCTGGCGGGGCGGCCGATGCGCTGATACCGGGATTATGGCTCGGATGACGTCGCCGGCGATCTGGGGCGCTGCAGAATCATTCCGAGAGTCGGTTCCGTCGCTCCACTGCGTGCGCCGCCCCGCCAGTGCCACCTGTCCAACCTGTTTTCGCAGTGGGGCGCGTTCGCAGAGCAGTGCGACGCTGCCAACTCCACGCAATGCAAATGCGAGTGCGGCGAGTGCTCCATGAACTTCCCCGTCATCCCCACCCGCCCCACAGTGCCACCCCGGGTGGCCGTGCCATGGCCGAGCCGAGGTGAGCCTTTTGTGGTGCAGTTGCCAGGCTTGCCAGGCTTGCCAGGCCTTTCATCTCTCATCTGTCACATGCAAGAACAAGAGCAAGAGCGCTGCTCCGGGGAAAGGCAGCGGAGCGGCGGCTGGGCCGGAACGGCAAAACGCCCCAACGGCCGAACGGCATCTCTCTCTCTCTCTCTCTCTCTCTCGCACTCATGGGGCTTCCCGCATGGGAGTGAGAGAGACGGGCGGCCGGAAGGGTTGGTGGGGCCGGCGTGGGAGTGCCACCATGGAAGGTAGGCAGACTCCGGGCGCCGCGGCGGCGACGGCGACACGCGTCACAGAAAGAAATCGAAGCCCAGAAGGACGAAGGACGAAGGGTGCCACTCAATGCATGGCGGTCATGACGGCCGTGACGCACGTGCGGCACCCGCCGTTTCCTCAATACGGCCTGGAACCTTGAGTCTGGAATCCGGGACCTTGAACTGGAAACCTGGAACCTTGATCGCTGGACCACTTGGACCGCTGGAGCGGGAGGCTGTAGGTTGCAGGCTTGTAGGTTGCAGGTTGCAGGCTGCAGCGTGGAGGCGGTGGTTGCAGCGGCCCGTGGCGCCCCCCCCGCCCCGCCCCGCCCCGCCCCGCCCCGCCCCGCCCCGCCCCCGCCCCCGGCGTCTCCGCCTCCGGCGCCCTCCCAGCTACTAAATGTTACATGGCCGCCTCGCCTCCCCGCCACCCTAGTGCCACCCAGCGGTGCCACCCACCGCTCCAAAGCCAAGGTCCAGCTTCCAGCGCTTCAGCGACGCTCGTGCCGATGAGGGAGCCGGGACCGAGGACCAGCCGGGCCCCTTGCGCCGCTTGCGCCAAAGGGGGCCAAGGGGGCCCCTCCCCCTCCCCCTTTCTGACGATGCATTATCTTGTCCTAGACTCCTAGAGCGCGGCCTTCGTTAATCGCGCTGTTTTTGCAGCCCGAAGTTCCTTATTCAATAATCCCTGCGAGCTCCGCCGCTCCACTGCTAGTCATTGCTACTCCTCGGGGAGCGCGCCTGGGGTCTCAGAGAGCAGACGACGCGCGGGTCGCAGGAGTCGGACCTCCCTCTCGCACGCACGCGTGTGACCCCACCCATGGATTGCTCTCCGAACGCGGTTTTCCGGCTTTGCTGGCGGTGAAGCTGTCGCTTCGTTTCTCGGTTTCTTCGCGGAAGAAAGGTGAGGTTCTCCACGCGGAAGCGAAAAGGGACTGCCCTCTGCAGACGCAGACCGGAATTCCAGAAGCCTCCCGCGGCGCGTCTGAGGGAATCCGTAAGCAGGGAAGTGGGCCGCCGGGTCGGGCACCGCCGGGCCGGGCGCCCGACGCCTGACCCGGCCGGGCAGACTGAGCGGCACGCGGCGCGTGGTCTGCGAAATCAATGCTCCGGCTCGATCACACAAACAACTCCAGTCCAACGCACGAAAAAAAATAAAAGACGGGTGGTCAATTTTAGTTCCGTTTTCTACGCGTTGAACACTAAAAGCGCCAAGTACAGGAATCTTGATCCCGACGCAGATAAAGAAGTTGGAGAATAAGTCCGGGGCAATCACGCCGCGAATTCACCCCCAATTCACACGATCCGAGCTCTCATTGTTGCGCGCCGTACAAATGGCCGAGACGCACGCGAGTCACGCGACGAGCCTCACGCACGGCACGCACGCCACGCAACCTCTCGCATCGCGTGGCCAACGCGACGTGCGAAACCCGGACGCACTTCACTTTTGCTTTTACTTTTATAGCGCCACACCGCGAGGAGAGAAAAGTCTTTGGGGTTTTCTGTAGGGTTTTTTGTTATTTTAGGTTGTTTGTCTTTGATGTGGGGTGTTACCAGAAAAACAGTGTTTATTTACACTGGACGCCCCATGAGTGCGAGAGAGACAGAGCGACGGAAACGACTCTCGGAATCAGTCTGTAGACTGCATGCGCGGAGGGCAGAGCGGCGAAGGCATCCGCGGACTCCGGCAGTGCCTTAAGCAGTGCAGTGGGAATGCTTCCGCACTTGCCCGGCGTTGCCGACGGGCTGACGGGGCTCCGGGGGCGTGCCTGAGGCCCCAGGCCTGGCGGCCCAGCCATGGCCCAGCCATGCGGCATGCCGAAGAAGGAAGGGCTGCCCTGGCTGCCCTGCAGGCTGATTCCGAGGGGAGGTACGCCGTCTGTCTCTCTCGCACCCACGCGGGACGCCCCACGAGTGCGAGAGAGAGGCACCGGGCCGCGCCGGGCCCCGCATCGATCCCTGGATGAGTTTGTCGGGCCTTGTCACGTGGTCGCGCGGCGTGGCGCGGCTTGCTCAATGGTCGCGGCCTCATTCAGGCAGTTCAAACATGTCCCGCTCACCGAGTGTTCGAAGCTCGTGTCCAGACTCGAGCTCAGATTCTTTCTCTCTGTCGCTTGGCTGTGTAGGGGAGGGTTGGCCTCTGGATGGCCTAGTCTTGGCCTAGTCTCGCTATAGCGTGCCGGCAGGCCAGCCCGCTCCAAACTTGTATGCACTGCGCCTGCTGCAGGGGAGGGGAGGGGAAGGGGTTGGCTTCAACGGCGGCACGACCACCACGGCGTTTTAATCAATCCAACACGAGGCAGCAGGCAGATTCCGAGAGTCGTTTCCGTCGTTGAATTAAATTTCCAAGAGGTGGTTTTGGTTTTACCGTGTACGTCCACACCTCCGCGAGTGCGTTTGCCATTCAGGGGGCACGAAAATGCGTCCCCTGCCGTACCGCAGTGCCCTACCGCCCCGCGGCCCCGCCGCTGGGGTGGCGGTGGAGGGGTGGAGGGGGAGGTCATCACGGCATGGCATCCGCATGGCAGAAAGGGCAAGCCGGGCAAGCCGAGTCGTTCTGAGGTGCGTCGGTGACGGTCGGTGAGCCGCGAGCAGACGCATGGCAGACGGCACCCGCCTCATTCCTCACATCGTCGCTCCGTCTCTCTCGCACGCACGGTGCGTGCCGTACGGGTGCGAGAGAGTCGGAGCGACTCCTGGGATCGGCTCGGCAGTGGTCGACCGGCCGGCCGGCCCCGGCCACTGACTGGGGTCCCGAGCTCCGTGTATGGTGTTGAATAGCCCGCCGCGAGCTGCTTGAGGGTCTTCCTTGGGTGGTGGCCGAGCCATGCCGAGGGGGGGGGGCCGCCGCCACAGGGCGCACGCCCCTCACGCCCCTCACGCCCCATGCCGTACGCGTGGGGCCACTAATGCGCTTCCCCCCCCCCCCCCCCCTCCCCGCACTGCAGTGCCCAGTGCACTCACTACCGAGGACGGTCCGCGGAAAGAAAAACCAACTTCCAGCGAGTATGTGAAGCTGCAGCTGCAGCGCAGTGAGCGGCCGGCGCGTCGGGGCGCGGAGGACGCCGTGCTGGGTAGGCATCCGGCCGGCACGCCTGCTCAACGGGAGAGCATCGCTGCCCCTGCGCGCTCCCTGCCGCGCCAGCGCGCCGCCTGCAGACTCATTCCGAGAGTCGTTCTCGTCGCTCTGTCTCCCTCGCACCTGAACGGCACGCCCCGTGAGTGCGAGAGGGACAGAGCGACGAAAACGACTTGCAGTCTCGTTCTCACCTCGTATCGAACCTGTCTGCTAACCCGTCTTCTGTCTCTTTGCAGTGGAGGCGATAATCTGCTACGACTGCAATTCGGAGTACGACCCCCGGTGCGGGGACCCGTTCGACCCGTACACGCTGGGCCAGATCGACTGCAACGAGCGGCAAGCCCTCGACCACCTGTCCGGAGCCAACGCCACCCTGTGCCGCAAGCTGGTGCCCGCGAGGTGGGCCCCCCCCTTTTCCCTTTTCTCTCTCTCTCTCCTCCCTCTCTCTCCCCTCTCTCCTCTCTCTCTCTCTCTCTCTCTCTCTCTCTCTCTCTCTCTCTCTCTCTCTCTCTCTCTCGGTGGAGGAGTCCTCCCGATACCGTCGGAATTGTCGGCTGCCCCCAATGGGGCGTTATTCGGAACGAGAGAATGAGAGAATGCCGCCGGCCGGCCAGGCGAGGGTCTATTTCCGGCTCCGGCCGAACGAAATCCAATAATCGACGAACGACCTCTCGCGATGCTGGCGGCAGTGCGAGTGGGTGGGGCGGGGCGGGGCTGAATCCAGCAGGCAGAAGCACCACGCAGCGGTTGAACCAGCGCAAGCGGTGAAACTGCAACCTGTACACGTACGTGTCTTCCAGTGTGTGAGGTGCTTGTTGTGTTGCAGTGGGGACGCGCACGCGCGTCGTCCGGACCTGCGGCTACATCGAGGACGCGGCGCGCGACGGCGTGCTGTGCACGCCGCGGTCCGGAACGCACGACGTCAACGTGCTGTACTGCTCGTGCAAGGGCAACCTCTGCAACGCGGCGCCGTCCACGACGAGGGCCTCCCTGGCGGCGCTGCTGTCGCTGCCACTGCTGCAGCTCGCCCGGTGGGTCGCCCGGTCATAACGGCCCGGCAACTTGCAGTCCGGTGCAGTCCCTCGGCCCGGACCCCAGAGTCCTGGACCCTGGACCCCGGACCCCGGCGTCTCGGACCCCAGAGTCTCGGACCCCAGGGTCTCGGACACCAGAGTCTCGGACTCCAGGGTCTCGGACTCCAAGGTCTGGGATCCTGGCGGACTGGACCGCCTCCACCACGCCACCGTATTCCGCCAGCGCTGCTGCCGCAGCTGCAGCCGTGCGCGGGGAGAGGCCGGCCTGCCGACGTGCCGACCTCCACGTCGTCCTCCGCGTCGCCCCCGCCGCCAACAAGTGCAATAATGTGATGACGAATAGCGAGCGGACGATACTGCCTTTGTTTCCATTTCGTTCTGACTTGTCTGACTTGTCGGGCTGTGAGTGCGGACAGCTCGTCTGATTCGCCATACAGGCCTCCCCCTCCACTGTCTCCCCAAATTGCTGTTTCTGGCTTCTTTCCATGGGGAGAAGGGGAAACGGGTGTACTATGCTGATGTTTTGTAATGTTTTTTGGGATCCCAGAGGCTGTTAAAATATTGGTCTAACTAAAAATGAGCTTATATGGTAGCTAAGCAAAGGTAACAAAGTTTGAAAATTTAAGATAGTGGTTTGTCAAGAAATGCTGTGAGGATAGAAGCTTCTTTTTTCATCGTAGCTCAGACACCCGTGAAAACACGTGCCATATGTATGTACGCTCGTTCAGAATGACAAATCGAAAATTTTCTTTCGATACTCGTTTTTCACGCTTGATTTATTTTCTGTTGTCTGCCAAATTAGTGTAGCGACTATTTTCAAACAAAAAACACAAGTTACTTCTTATTTGCTCAGCTTTCGTCATTTCTTCCGAAGTTTGTCATCTCGAGTATCTATTTTTATCGTAGTAGATAGCACTGTTTTGGTGACAACCTTGCCTCACTCGTTTATTTTCTCGTAGGCTCCGGAATTCGATCAAATGCGAGGTGTTTTTCTTGACGCACCAAAAAATACAATAATAGATTTTAAATTTGAAAGAAAATTGTCACTAATTTCTTGTATTTTTTGAAAGTTGTGAAGCAATGTCTTTTGATAGGTTCGCTGAAAAAAAATTAATCAAAAAGCAAAAATGTGGATTTAAGATATTTCTGCAGACGCATGCAATGTTTGATGCGGTGTGTCACGGGCTGGAAGTCGTAGTGGGCAGCCACTAGAGCGATCTAAACGTGAATCTTTGATTTTTAGAAGAAATACTTGTAAATATGAATTGCGTTTTTCTCTTGCCTCGGTCGTTGCTAAGGGCATCGCGTTGGCATCGCGGGTCTTTTTACGGTGGTCTTGTTTAAGGGTGAACAAGGACGGAAGGACAGAGCAGGGGTGAGGTGAGGGGTCCAGAAGGTCCAGAAGGCGGGGTGGGGTGGGGGTGGGGGTTGGGGGGCAGAAAGTGGGGGTGGGGAGGGGTGGGTGGGGAGAGGAGTTCGAGGTGGGGGGCGGTGGGAGCCGCTCCGACCAAGACTGTGGCATTAGTCTTAAGATTATCAGTTCCGTTCCTTTTGGGTGTCATCGCCGCCTCAAAACCACCATTATTTGTTTCCTGCTCTTAATACCTCCCTTGTTTTTTTCTAAATTTCCTCCAACCATTTTGGGCGGTGTAGGCGTAAGACGCGTCCCCTTGCAGCGTAGCGATGGAGCGGGGAGGAGCGACGCGGTGCAACCAGTGCCACAGCCACCACGTGGCACGCACTCCCTCAGTCACGCGTACTCCCCTTATTGGAAAATAAAGGCACCTAGAAGGCATAGGTGCTTTATGAAACTGCCGCAGAAAAGTGCTCTCTTTTCCACTCTCATGATATTATAAGGCCATTTGCGATGGCACCCTTTCGTTTTCTTTTTTTAGTCTTTAGTTCTTTTTGTGTAAATCGTGCGCAATGTCGAATCGGAAGCACTGCCACCTCAAGGGTGCCAACCCCTAAATACTCAAGTAAGATTCTGTTAAAAGTGCTCACTTTTGTTGTCATTGTTGTTTCGTGTTTTGCGACTTTCCACCACGGACATTTAGATGCTCTGACAGTATTAACAAGTGGCGCTGGCAAGTCGGTGTCACTCGCTTTGGCCGAGGGTTGTAACACCGGTTTGAGGAAAACAGAAACAACGATATGGTGTGAGGCTCGCAGATCGAGCAGATCGCTGAAGCGGGCACCCGTGCAACCTGTAGCCATGTAGACGTCACTTAGTCAACGGGACTCAGGTTTACGTCTTCGAGGAATTAAATTACTAAGTAGTCGCCGCTCCAAATTCGTCTTATAGCGCATTCGTCGCGCCTTGCATCGGGCGGCAGAAATAAAATGCCTTTGAATGCGTTCTCCCCTCTCGATAATTTCTGCCGGCACCAGTTGACGATCTAGTGATAGATAGTTAGAATGGTGGTCTTCAGAATCAACAATTTGTTTCACTTCTTAAAAAAAGTTAATAAAATTTCCGAAAATCGGCGCTTAAGCCACGGGGTAGTCGAAATGCCCTGTTTTTTTCTCTCCTCTCTCTGGAAAGGTTGTTTTAGAATCGAGTCAAGAGCTTCTTACGTGTTGCTATAGAGTTCCTGCGGTCTAAACCTTAGTCATAGAATGGCCAGAACCAGAGCTGGATGGGACGGGGACTTCCCCGGGCTGGCTTTGCAACCTGATGGGAGGTTAGATGGGATGGAAATGTCGCACGAGATTCCGCTGGGAGCATCTTGCTGAGTGGGGAATGGGAAGTGGGAGTGGGGAGTGGGGAGTTGTCCTGCTGGTTGGTGGTTTAAGTTATCGAGCTAATCCAGCTAATCGAGTTGCAGTGTAGTCGGACCCAGAGTCCCAAGGGACAGTCTAGCTCTGTGCACGCCTGCCTAGGTTCTCGTTTACAAATAGAATCATGATACGAGGAAACTCAAAAGAAGCAGAGACTCGTCATGCGAGCTGTCTCTGCGCCTGTATCATGACACTCATTTGATTTATTTTTAATATGTGATATAAGTTGTTCGTTTGTAATATGTAGCGTGATTTTTGTGAACGTAATGTGTACCAAAATATATCAATAAATGGTTAAGTGAGAACTGGCATACCGTTTGTTCTTTTGCTTTCCACGAACTTCTCACATTCTTCAACAGACGCTCTGAGAGCGATTGGGGTCATCAAAAGGGCTAGACCCTCGGAGGCTCCGATCACAATCATTCCTCACTGCGAAAAACTGAAAATGTACGGCACGAGATTTCACGAGATCACTGCCAGTTAGGCAATCTCTCGGAGTGCAGTACGGAGGAGTACGATGGGTTGCCTACCGCCCAGGCGTTCAGAGCACCGAAGCAGTATAACCACCCACAAACTGGCTAAAGTCGGTTTGCTTTACGACTTTACGTGCATTAGCATGGATGGCGCTTTTTCTAGTTTTGAAGAACCTCTTTAAATATAGACAATGCTCATATACGGGCTGTGAATTTTATCTATTGATAACCTTGTCACATGGCTTCCTTGCGACACGTTTGATGTTGGTGGGTTGGCAGTGCTCTTCCCGCCGGAGTGAACGTCAAGCAAAATATCCAAACTTGAATCCCGGCCCTTGTTCGATGGCCCATTTGAAATTGTTTGTGGGTCGGCTCCTGTTTAGCTGAATATTTACTGCAAAGATCCTCCAAGATGAGTGACAAGCTTATCAATGACACTGAAACCGACACACTGTCACCGTTGGAGGTGTCTGCTTTGATGAGTGAAGATATTGAAGATTTATGTCGTCTTTGTATGTCTAACGAAAAAAACAATACCGCTCTCGACATGGTTGCGATTGCAGACAAGTACCCAAACTCCAACAGATTGATATCTTCACTGTTCTTTGATGTCCTTCAGATAAATGTAAGAATTATTGTGACATAACCTTTCGAACCTTGCATAACTTTTTGTGTTCGAATGCTGAAACTAGTGCCTTTTTGCCTCAGGTAGATGACGAAGCTGCCTCAAGCATGCCCCAGAAGTCATGTATGGATTGTTTGAGTAAATTGTACGCCTATGCCCAATTTAAGGAACAATCTCATAGTGTCGATGCCAAATTACGTCAAATAGTTCTTAAAAAACGAAAATTAGCTGAGGTAACTAAGTTTTCATTAATCCGAGCCCCCTAAATTTATGAAAATAAATATCTTTCAATTTAATCTTTCCTTTCTTTTTGCAGGCACAAGCTTTGTATGGCCCCGTCTTTGCAGATCTGGATGCTTCATTCTCTTCTTCTTTTGAAACAGCTGGCGACAGAAGTCATGATATCTGCTCACCCGGCCTTCCTACAGAAGAAGATTTGAGAACACCTAATCAGGAAAAGTCATGCCTCAAGTTGCTCAAGGTTGAAGGATCATGGCATGATAATAGTTTAACAGACGATTCTGAATCGAACATAAGCGAAACTAAGATATTCAATATTCTGGAAAGCCTTCCAGATTCCGGTCTACAATGTAGTGAGGAGGAAAGCATTGCTAATGCTGCCAACTTTGTAACGGAAATTTGTTCTACCAGTAAAACATTAGACAATCCAGTCAATACTCCACACGCGAAAGGTGGCCTAAAGACCAGTAAAACTAAGTCAGCTGTTGTCAATCCTTTATCCTCTACTTGCACAACTGTCACCGGGACTCAATCAGTTACTCTTGTCGAAAATCAAACTCAAAACGATGTTGCAGATGACCCTTCGTGTCCTGATGTTATTCATGAAATTATTGTACCTGATAATAGCACAGCTGAAGAAGATTCAGATGCTGTAGATTTTGTACCTGATGTACCTGTGTTTGAGGTTCTCTCTCCTGACATAATACCCTTAGACAGTGCCATGATAAATTGTAGTTCTCGATTACCAACTCCTGAAGTGTTTGCTATTGTAGGACAACAAGATGTGAAGCACCTTGGATTCCGATGCCCTCTTTGCAAAAAGGTATTTCATTCCCGTATTCAATTTAGAAAACATGCTTCATTTCATGTTAGGTCTAAAGGTGGTGTATGCAAATATTGTGAAAAGTGGTTTCAGACTAGTAATGCCTTATATCGCCATGAACGAATTCATTCTGGAGAGAAACCATTTTTATGTATCTTATGTGACCGTTCCTTTTCTCAAAGAGAGATACTGCAGCGACACATCTTGACACACACTGACAATAAACCATTTCAATGTCAGCACTGTGATAAGAGTTATGCTCAAAAAAGTGGACTTGATAGTCATGTGAAAAACCACCATAAACCAACCCTTGAAATATCACAGTACCCATGTATTCTGTGTGATAAAGCCTTTTGCCATCCTTCAGGATTGTCTAGACATATGTTGACGCACTCTGGCAAGCAATATGTGTGTAAGTTTTGTAAGCGCAACTTCAGTGACTCTTCGGCATTGAGAAGGCATACTAAAAAACAACATGGCTCATTGCCATGAAATATGACATATATGGCAAAAGACATCCTCAGTACAAACGAAGTGTTAATTTTGGTAATATCTGTTGATTTTGAAATAAAATTTATCTAATTGCAGAAGACTGAAAAACTCCTGTTATTTTACAAGACCCCTCTGAAGCCAAATGCCATTTCACACCGTGACAAACCCTGTAGTTAAAAGTTGTTTTTTTTTTGTGTTCTTTTCAATTATCTAAAATCTTTTAGTATGAGATTTAATTTGTTGGGATTTGATTTGGATTGTTAAAAGAAATACACAAGAAATAAGGCAACTCGGTCTTATTGTTTAATACCTCATGTCAAACCAATAAAATACAATAGTTATGAGTATATCCATTACAGTCTTTAATACTCCTCGCCACCTTCTTCACCATCAACACTGTCCATGCCGACTTCCTCGTAATCCTTCTCTAAGGCGGCCAAGTCTTCACGAGCCTCTGAGAATTCTCCTTCCTCCATACCCTCTCCGACATACCAGTGAACAAATGCTCTCTTGGCGTACATCAGGTCAAACTTGTGATTGAGACGCGCCCATGCCTCAGCAATCGCTGTCGTGTTGGACAGCATGCAAACTGCCCTGGCTACCTTGGCCAGATCACCACCAGGAACAACAGTAGGGGGCTGGTAGTTGATGCCCACCTTGAACCCAGTTGGGCACCAATCAACAAACTGGATGGCTTTCTTGGTCTTGATGTTGGCAATGGCAGCATTCACATCCTTGGGTACGACATCACCACGGTACAGGAGACAGCAAGCCATGTACTTGCCATGGCGAGGATCGCACTTGACCATCTGGTTGGAGGGCTCAAAGCAGGCATTGGTCATCTCCGCAACAGAGAGCTGTTCATGGTAAGCCTTCTCAGCAGAAATAACAGGGGCATAAGTAACCAGAGGGAAGTGGATACGGGGGTAGGGGACCAAGTTGGTCTGGAACTCAGTCAGATCCACGTTGAGGGCACCATCGAATCTCAGAGAGGCAGTGATGGATGAGACAATCTGGCCGATGAGGCGGTTGAGGTTGGTGTAAGTTGGGCGGTCAATGTCCAGGTTGCGGCGGCAGAGATCATAGATGGCTTCATTGTCGACCATGAACGCACAGTCAGAGTGCTCCAGAGTGGTGTGTGTGGTGAGGATGGAGTTGTAAGGTTCAACCACAGCAGTAGAAACCTGTCAAAAAAAAGAGTTAAGGTGTTAATTCAATAAATAAATATTATGCCAGAAAAAGGAATGTACTAGATAAAACTGTGAACAAATTACCTGAGGAGCAGGGTAGACAGCAAACTCCAGTTTGCTCTTCTTGCCGTAGTCCACAGAGAGGCGTTCCATGAGGAGGGAGGTGAATCCAGAGCCAGTACCGCCGCCAAAGGAGTGGAAGATCAGGAATCCTTGCAGACCGGTGCACTGGTCAGCCAGCTTGCGGACGCGGTCCAAGACGATGTCCACAATCTCCTTGCCGATGGTGTAGTGGCCGCGGGCATAGTTGTTGGCGGCGTCCTCCTTGCCGGTGATGAGCTGCTCCGGGTGGAACAGCTGCCGGTAGGTGCCAGTTCGGACCTCGTCGACGACGGTGGGCTCCAGGTCGATGAACACGGCCCTGGGGACGTGCTTGCCGGCGCCAGTCTCGCTGAAGAAGGTGTTGAAGCTGTCGTCCCCACCGCCGACAGTCTTGTCGGAGGGCATCTGGCCGTCGGGCTGGATGCCATGCTCCAGGCAGTACAGCTCCCAGCAGGCATTGCCGATCTGGACTCCGGCCTGGCCGACGTGAACTGAGATGCACTCACGCTGTAACAAACAAAACAAGATTCGAGATTAGGATTAAATTGGATTTTTAATTAAGTGATTTTTTTGCCGGGGAGAAGGGAGGGGCGGGGGGATGAGCGCCCAGGTCATTCCCCAGTGGCTCCATCAAGGCGGAGGTGAGAATGGGAGTCAGTTCCCTGGTCATTCCCCAGTTTCAGAGTCCTACATTGCAGGACTTTACCCAGCCCCCGTTCTACCAAGCAGCGGAAATTATCGAGAGAGGAAGGATGTGGGGTGGGTACCCGCGAAATGTGAGTAGCTGGTGAATCACCGCCCCCCCCCCCTCCCCCTTCCGAGACGGCCAGCCCGAGCCGGCAACAGCGGCCCCACCGGAAGCCCTGGGAGTGACCGGCGAGCCAAGCAGCAGACTGACTCCGAGAGTCGTTTTCGTCGCTGTCTCTCTCGCACTCATGGGGGGGCCCGTATGGGTGCGAGAGAGACAGAGCGACGAAAACGACTCTCGGAGTCAGTCTGCAGGTGCCATTGCCTGCCTGCAAATTGTCGGGCCGGGCCAGAGACGAGGCGGATGTATGATGCCTTTGTCTTCCACACCTCCCCTATCAATTCGCCTTCCTGGAACCGCTGACTAACGCAAGGCGCATCTAAGCAAGCCCGGGCCGACTGCCGATTCGCGGCTTGCCGAAGGATCTGTCTCTCTCGCACTCATGGGGGCGCCCTGTGAGTGCGAGGGAGACAGAAACGACTCTTCTGAATCGCTCGGCAGATTTCTTTCACTGCCACTTCATTCCCCGTTTCTGCGGCCGGACCGATGCGTGACGAATCGCTGGCAGCGGCCAGGCCGACGCTCCGCCAGCAGACCGATTCCGAGAGTCGTCGCTCCGTCTCTCTCGCACTCGTGGGGCGTGCCTTATGGGTGCGAGAGAGACAGAGCGACGAAGACGACTCTCGGAATCAGTCTGCTGGCTCCGCCGCGCGCTGCCCTTGGCAGTGTACAATGACCTCATGCAGGCCAGCACGCCTGCGGTACCCCGGTGGTACCCACTCGTCAGAAACAGACAGTTGTCCCCGTCACTCCCTGCCGTGCCGGCCGTGGGTGCGAGAGAGCGCGCCAATGCGTCACGTCCGCGCCATTCAGGGTTCGTGGAACCGGGCACGCTGCAAACGCAGCCAGACGAGTACAGGGGGTTGTTGCGCGGCTCGGAGGGGAGGCCGGCCGGCCGGCAGATTACCAAAGACGCGGTCTCTCTCACACTCATGGGGCGGCCCGTTGAGTTGCGAGAGAGCGAGACGACGCTTTGTTCGGAGGCAGCCTCTAGCCCGAGACGATGAAGCCTGAAGCCCACAAAAGGAGCCGGCCCGCCACCAGCACACTGCTGACGGCCCAGCTGCCTGGCCTGACGGGAGGGGGATGGGGGGCAAGCAGCAAGCTCATGCAATCATCAACCCGGGGCAAAGGGACACAAAGAAGACGCCTTGGAGATCCGAATCAGAGATTTGGGCAACATCGAGGAGGGGCTCCGCAGCGGGGCGCAGGCAATCGAGCGAGAGTGGAACGGAGCCAAAGTAGCCAAGAGTTTATTCGAAACGAGTAGCGGTGACTGAACTCAAGGGGCCGCCCTGGAGCCTGTTCGGGCATGCCGTCGTCTGGAACGGCTCTGGGCCCCGCGACGGCGATAAGCCGGTTCAGGCAAACACACACACGAGTCACAAAAACACGATAAGCGACGCAAGGCAACAGCCAACCCAGAACAACAGTGAACTGCAAAGTCTGAGGCGTTTTCCCAGCGAGATCCGTAACGGATTTTGGCGGGACGAGGCGGCGGCCGGCCAGGCCCAGGAGAAGAAGACGAGTCCCGGCAACAGGTCAACACGCTCACTCATCGTCGTGCAAAAATCAAAAGATACTCACCATGTTTGATCAGATGTTTCAGTAGTGCTACACTGGAAACAGGGAGCAGCTCCTTCAAAGCAAGGCACACGTAGCAGTTGCAAAAGTAACGGTTGCACCCACTACACTGCGCTGCCCGGCTCGGACTGGAATGTGATCCGCTGTCGGTCGGCGGTCGCTGCTGCTACTGCTGCACCGCCGCTGTCGGTTCGGCCGGCTTCGGCTCGCCGTCATCAACGGTTTCCGACGCTTCGGCTCGGCTCCGGTAGGGCTCGGCTTGACGCGAGCGCGCTCGGGCGCAACAGGGCTCGACTCGTCTGCTGCTCGGCTCGCCGGGCCCGCCCCTTCGCGTTCGTCAGTCGTCACATGAATAATGCTCACTGGAAATGCTTTTTACTGGTATGATGGGAGAAGCTTATCCATTTTCTAAGCATCTAGACAGGTGAAATTTGGAATCACGCTGGCCAACGTAACACCGAGGCAGTTTTCAAGACTGTCATTCTGACACAGTGGCGGGTCCAGAGGCTGCCTTTGGGGGGGACGAGGCGGTAAAGAGACTTTTCAGTCCCCATTGCAGGTGGAAGGGGGCATAAGCCCCTCAAAATGAACTTCTTTTCTGAGTCTAAATTGTGTGTGTATGACATTGCCATGTATACTAAAATTTGTTGGCTACAATAAAAATCAAAGCCTTATAGAGGAAAGATGTATTTATTAACAACCATGTCAAACAAAAAAGAACCTAAAAAATAACACAGTAGAAACTAAGAGAAAATGAGCAAAATTAATACTCTTCTTGCTCCTCTTCTCCTTCAACTGAGTCCATGCCAACTTCTTCATAGTCCTTTTCTAATGCTGCCAAGTCCTCACGAGCTTCAGAGAATTCTCCTTCCTCCATACCTTCTCCAACATACCAGTGAACAAATGCTCGTTTGGCGTACATCAAGTCAAACTTGTGATCCAGACGAGCCCAAGCCTCAGCAATCGCTGTTGTGTTGGACAGCATGCAAACTGCCCTGGCTACCTTAGCCAGGTCACCACCAGGCACAGCTGTAGGTGGCTGATAGTTGATGCCTACTTTGAAACCAGTCGGGCACCAATCAACAAACTGAATACTCCGCTTAGTCTTAATGGCTGCAATAGCAGCATTGACATCCTTTGGAACAACATCACCACGGTACAACATACAACATGCCATATACTTTCCATGGCGGGGGTCACATTTAACCATCTGGTTGGCCGGTTCAAAGCAAGAATTGGTTATTTCAGAGACTGATATTTGCTCGTGATAAGCCCTCTCTGCAGAAATCACTGGGGCGTAGGTGACAAGGGGGAAGTGGATGCGAGGGTAGGGAACCAAGTTGGTCTGGAACTCAGTCAGATCCACATTGAGGGCACCATCGAATCTCAGAGAGGCAGTGATGGATGAAACAATCTGTCCAATCAATCGATTCAGATTTGTGTATGACGGACGTTCGATATCCAAATTGCGGCGGCAAATGTCATAGATGGCTTCATTGTCAACCATAAAAGCACAGTCCGAGTGCTCCAGAGTTGTGTGAGTGGTAAGAATTGAATTGTAAGGCTCCACAACAGCTGTAGAAATCTATAAGCACAAACAATATCCATGGATTAATTTAAAGTGTTTCAACAAAAAACAAAGCTACAAATATATTCGAGAAAACAGACCTGTGGGGCTGGGTAAATTGCAAACTCCAATTTACTCTTCTTTCCGTAGTCTACAGAAAGGCGTTCCATGAGCAGTGATGTAAACCCAGATCCAGTACCACCACCGAATGAATGGAAAATCAAGAAGCCCTGCAGTCCAGTGCATTGCTCTGATAGCTTGCGGATACGGTCCAATACAATATCCACAATCTCTTTGCCGATCGTGTAATGACCACGAGCATAATTGTTAGCTGCGTCCTCCTTGCCAGTGATCAGCTGTTCAGGGTGGAAGAGTTGTCTGTATGTCCCAGTCCTAACTTCATCTGTAAGTAAATTAAGAGGGGAAAGCAAACAATTAGTAACTTTAATCTAAATTATTGGGGTAATAAATAGACACTGCAAAAAAATTACAAACCCACGACTGTTGGTTCCAAATCGACAAACACTGCTCGTGGCACATGTTTGCCGGCACCAGTCTCCATAAAGAATGTACTGAAGCTGTCGTCGCCACCCCCAACGGTCTTGTCTGAGGGCATCTGGCCATCGGGCTGGATGCCATGCTCAAGGCAGTACAACTCCCAGCACGCATTGCCGATCTGGACACCTGCCTGGCCCACATGGACTGAGAGACACTCACGCTGGAAGGAAGAGAAGATAATATTTTAAAGCAATTCTTTTACGATCTGAACATTACATGCCGTCTAACTAATTGTAATTTCTACATGTGGTCAACAAGTTTAAAAAAATTTAAAAAAAAATGTTGTGCAAGTGGTGTGAGAAAGTTGCCACTCCCCAACTCATCTTCACAGAAAGGTGCTAACATCACAGTGCTTACTTAGGTGACAAGGATAAAACATAATAAATCCCTTGGGACACACCTTTCCAAAAAATAGTTTCCTTCCCAATTGAGAAATGGTATCGGGAAAGAAATGGCGCCGAGGTGAAACATGAAATTGTGTGCAGCCCGAAACTTGCAAGGTCCTGGCTGCATAATCTAAATCCAGCTACACTGGAGACCATATCAAATTAGAACAGTGTCATGCCGGGGGAAAACTTAGTCTCACCATATTCAAGCTTTTCTTCACCAACGAGCGAGTCAAATTCTTTGCAGAATAATGTTTCGAGGATGCAGCGCGTCGATTTAGTGCTGCAGTGCTTCAAGATCACCAACGCCAACGCCAACCCAACGAACGCGCACCCCCGTTCTTTCCGTTAGTGCTTTGCAGCAGAGTGCCTTGGCAAGGAGGCGTGACTCGCACCGCCCACCGCTGCAGCATTCCCAGCGGCCTGGTTGGCTAGCGCCTGTAAGGTAGGCCAACGCTCCACTCGTGTGTGCATCTAGATTTCTCATTTGTCCTGCAAATAACTGGTGAAAATGTCCTGCGGATAGCGTTGCTCCTTCTGCATCCTGCATTCACCGTCGCGCAAGCAGAAGCAGCCGGTGTTCCAGAACGGAGCGCTGTTGTTGATTTCACGACGATTTTCATCGAAGATTTTCTCTGATTTTAACATGCACTGACTTGTCGCACTGTTCGACATCTAAAAATCATGTACTTATTCGAAGACACAATATTCGAAAGGTTGCTGGATGCTCTTAAGGTCGGAGACAGGGTAGTAGTTACTTCTCACTTGTTCTATGAATTTAAAACGAACACTGAAAGAGTCGCCTTAGCTTATCAACTTTTGGAGGAGGAAAATCTTTTGCCTATCCTTGAAAGTGGAGGCACCAAATCTCCAAAGCTCTCCACTGATTTGAGAAATGAAGGAAACAAGGCGTTTCAGAAGAAGAACGATCTTCTTGCTTTACATTTGTACAACCGCAGCTTATGTGCTGCCCCTGTGTATTCAAAAGAATATGCCTTGGCCATCGGAAACCGTTCTGCTGTAAATTTGTCTCTGGGATTCTTCAATGCTTGTCTGAGTGACATAGAGTTGGCTCATCAAAGTAGTTATCCCAATGAGCTACGCGTCAAGCTTCTCGAGAGGCAAGTTAAATGCTTCATACAACTCGACATGGTGACTGAAGCGGAAGCAGCTTTAAAGGTTTGCAACTACCTTCTAAGTATCACAGCATGCATATGCACACCCGCTCTATTTGTTGTTTTCTTCACTATGCATTTTCGGTTGACAGACTTTGGAGACTGAAGTTCAAGGAATGGCCCAAGGGAAACGAGAACAACTGCTTTCAAGTGTGTCAACTCTCACACAAGATCTGCAGCGTATCAGAGTTAAGGCTGAAGGAGCACTTGATGATGCGCTCACATCATGTAATGAGTTTGGATGCTTTGAAAGACCTCCCCTCAGTCATGGTTCCAATGAAGAAATCAAGTGTGCATCTACTGCAATAGCTCTAAAATATTCTGAGGACAAAGGAAGGCATTTGATTGCCTCTGAAAATATAAGGCCAGGTATTATAATGTCTACAGCCATTTTTTTCTTATTTTCTTACAATGCAACCATACTGAGGAGTCAAATAAAATTATCTTTGAATCTTCTATGATACTAAGTTTGACAAGTTGATTTTCTGTCTGTTCAAGGTGATGTTCTAATTGTAGAACAGCCATTTGCATCTGTTCTTCTTCCGGCTGCATCTTCTACTCACTGTTACTTTTGTCTAAACCGCTGCCTTTCTCCTATTCCTTGTTTACACTGCACAGAGGTAAGTTTCATGACAGTGTAAGTTACAGAAGAATGTTCACATCCATATGACTGTCTTATTACTTTTTTTTTTGTATTCATTTGTTATTTTTGTAGGTGATGTTTTGCAATGAAAAGTGCAGAGTAGAGTCCTGGACACAGTTCCACTCAATTGATTGCTCTCTTTTACCTGTAATATCCAATAAAGTGGGCAAGATGGGCCTCCTTGCTCTCCGTGTGCTTCTCTTAGCATCCCAAAAGGGAAAAAAATTGAGACAGCTAATGGAAGAGGTGGAAGAAATCGAGAAAACACCCAAGACTAACCCACGCACACTTGGCTTCAATAAGGATGGCCGTTATTTGTCAACTGATTACTGGCCCATCCACTTTCTTATTGGTCACTCAGATCATCGATCCAATGCAGATATCTTCAGACGCTCTGTAACTGCAGCGTGTTTGTTGCACTGTTTGGAGACTTTTACAAAGTTTTTTGAAGCTGATCTTGATGATGAGATATATTACTTTTGTGGAGGTTTGTTGCTGCACCATTTACAGAGCCTTCCTTGCAATGCCCATGAGGTATCAGAAATGAGTGTAACTGCAGGTTCATTTGACAGCCAAGAAGTAGGCGCAGCAGCCTATGCAACTCTTAGCCTTCTGAACCACTCATGTGATCCAAATGTTGTGCGCCACAGTTATGGAGACTGGGCAGTCTTACGTGCTATCCGGCCCATCCAACAAGGTGAAGAAATTTTGGATAATTATGGCTATCATCATGCTCTCCATACTGTTGATGAGCGGCGTTCTCAATTATCCAAACAGTACTTTTTTCATTGCTCATGTGAAGCCTGTTTGGGTTCTTGGCCATCCTACAAAGACCAACCTACTACAAATCCAGTCTTTAGGTGTAATGAATGTGGCAGCCCAATTAAAAAGGGTCAAGATCCACAGTGCACTTGTGGAGCAATAATTGATATGGGAGAGTTGGAGTTAAATTTAGCCAAGTCTTCAAAACTATTTCGTGAAACATTGGCCAGTGTCTGGTCTGGGAAACACCGGAAGATCGTTCCCGATAGCCTTTTAGAGCATCTGACTCTATTGGCAAAAACTGTGAAAAGACCTTGGCGCGAATTTAGTGAATGTCAAGAGACAATAAAGCAGTGCCTCAGCCTTCAGGCTAACCATGTTACTATTGATATGTGATTAACCCTTTTGTCTTCCTGCTGTTGTTGTTTGCTTTTGGAGTGCAATTTTATACTGTTAACATAAATATCTGAAAGGGTGACTTAAATATATTTTCAGTGTTTCTTCGTTGTTAATTCATATGTAAGAGAGAAATTTCTTCTGCATGTTTGTACTTAGGTTTTTCCAATACAGTATATTATATGTTGTGTTTTCATACTGAATGATAAATCTTTATTATTTATTACAATTACTTTCATTTCAAAATTCTTTTTGTTCAATATCAATACCTCTCACTATTTCATCATTATCAGATATCAGTACATTACACACATTTAAAAAAGAAAACAAGAACAGTTTGAGGTCCTGTCATGTAACAAATCAAATCTTAAGAACAAAAGCCTAGTAAGCATTCCTCACCATAAAATATTTCCATTTAGAATATACAGGTCAAAATCAAGAGACAAGCTGTAATCTGCAGTGCGATTTGAACTGACCTAATGTCAGGCATCAGAAAAGCCACTTTAAATTTCATCTATTCAATAATAAGGCGATAACAGGACGTAAAATGTATGGCAAGAGAAGGAAACAAACAAAACAGTACAAAGTTAAATACAGCTCCAAAGAATAAGTAGGTAAATCAAAATTACCTGTACTGTTACAATGGTACTTTGAATTATTCTTTGAAACAAATTAAAAATACATTGACCAAAACAATAAAAAAAAACTTCTTTTAACTGAAGCTATGGATTCACTCTACCACAAAATAACAAAAACACCCAATATATGAATTTTTGTTAAACAGATACTTAAAATTAAAATCCAAGCACAATCTATTGCAAAACCATTCTCATCTCCTTCCTGACAAACAGGAGGTGCCAGAATGTTGTCTATGATTGTCTAGGATTAAACATAAGTAGTACGGTGGATCACAAAAAAAGGATGAATTGTTTAATACATTCAACAAAGAAAAAATGCTGGGAAGACATGTAGCCCGTTTGAGCACTAAAGGACATAATAGGTGAATACTGCACCTCTGAGTTATCATTCGGAGGTAACAATTTAAACAGTTAATAATTAATATGAATACTTCCAGATGACAACTTGCTGTTACCAGTTGAAGGCTTCTTATGTCTAAGCATTGTTTCTGTTGCCAAAGAGTCAACGAGATTCAAATGAACATGCTCTTGGTAAACAGTTTAGCTCGATATGTTGCATGCTGCATTCAGTGTCAGAAAACCTTGGTGGTGCCTCAAAATTTCACACATTTGGCTTTATCTGGCTTAGACTCTTAATTATGTTAAGAATCTGATCTTGGCTGAAAGACAGCTGTGACAGCCCAAAGCAACAAAAGACAACAACAAAAATTACTACCATAAGGAAGACTGTAATGCAAAGAATAAGCATACTGTATGCCCAATTTTCTGATGCATGAAAGAACTGAAACATATTGAAGAAAGACTTAACACCATTCATAGCACAGCCTTCTTTGTGGCTTTCTGAATCACTGTCAAGAAAATGACAATACAAGGTCTGCAAATATTGCATTCGGTCCGATTAAAATGATAATATTTTAATATCACAATAACATGACTTGGTAAAACCCAAATTGTTAACCATTGTAACATTCAATTCTATCTGCGACAAACACTTAACATGAAATCTTGAATAAATAAGTACAGTTACCACCAAAGATGAGAAATATAGTAAAAATGGTGTATCACAAAGTTGTCACAAACATCTTGAAGGATGTTGGACCTCAGATGTTAACATTAAATAATGAAAAACAATTTTAATACCATGTGGTGTCGGTGTCCACACTAGATGAAAATGTCTGAACATCTCTTGAACCATGTTAAATTCGATCCCAAAGTATGAACTACAAAATTATTGTGTCCTAATATTGTTTTCTTACAGAAAGCTGACACAAAACACTTATCTTCGGAATAACATGTAGGCCATTGTAAAAACTTACAGCAAGACTCTTTTTTCAGTGTGATAAAAAAATCAAAACAATAACAAACCTTGAAAAAGCTTTGTTTCCCCACAAAAATGTTGTGCAAATGTGCATGGGTTTCCTGTATACAGTTGGATGCATTCAATAATTTGTTGTGCACTCCCAATACAATAGTTTCAACTCAACAAAACTCTGATTAAGTACATTAGTTCCATGTTTGTTTCTTGTTTTTTCTCTCCTTTTTTCCTCCCAAAGAGTATTCTATCTTTTAAAAAAAAAAGTGCTATAATGTTGAACAACCACCTTTTCTGCTGAGATGATTACTACTTTCATTTAAATAGAGCTTTCTTATAGGTATGTGGGCATTTTCAGAAAAATTTTGTATTAATTAATTAGTCTTTAACAAGTTCTTATCACGCTTTGTAACAATTTGCTATTACTATTGCACTTGATTGCACTATTGGTATTTCACATTAAAACAGTCATATCGGCACTGTAGAGTGCAAGTCAGTTTCCAACAAGTCAATATAAAGAAAAAACAAGTGAAAAATAAAGAAATCAATGATAAAATAGACTGTTGGAAAATCTAAAAGTATCACCAATAGAAATCAGTTCTTCATTTAAAATTTAAAAACCCAATTTAAATTACCCACAGGTTCCAGGAAGTTACAAAAAAACAGAAACGAGTCTCTAAGTAGACATAAATATTTACAGGGTAACTGGACTCTGCGGCCTACATTACACAACCAATGAATAGAACTCTGAACAATGCAAGAAGTGGCCAATCAGCCAACACAACAAGGTTTTGTCAGAACCCTATGGATTGCGATATAACAAGAAAAGGTTTCAATTTTCTGTTAGAGAGCAAAAGTCAGAGACAGCTGAAGTCAACATCTAATTATGATTTTGGTTAATGGATATTGTAAAGAGAGAACTTTGAGGATGATTCTGTTTCAGCATCAGTTGAATAAGCGTGTAAAGTTTAGATCACAATCAAAACGTAACATTTAAAATTTGGTAAGTGAGCATCTACAAATCACTCCATTCCCAAAGGGAAGAGAAAGAGAGAAATTGATTTTAACAATAGTGTTTGTGGTCTGAAACAAGCTTTACACACCTCTCACTCAAAAACATCACACACTTGCTTCCATAGGTAATAAGGCCCTCACCACATAGAAATCACACTAAAACCTCACCGGTTTGGACAGAGTTTATTCTGTCACTGTACTGGTCTTTCCTTTCCCAGTGCTACGCCTTGTGAGTGATGGAAAATGTAATTTGTGCTTCTTCTTCCGACGAATGAAATCATCATCTATGAGAGCTGGATTGGAATCTGTAGAACAAGCTTCTTCATCAATCAACCGCTGTTCTGGGTTACCTTGGGGTGGGGTTGACGATGACCCATGAGATGACCCTTGTGAGGAGCCATGAGAGGAGGCATGTGAATCTTTTGACGCCTCTCTAATCAAGCGTCGAGTTGGTGCGCCAGTACTTCTGTATTGTAAAGAAGTCTCAGAATGGAAGATTTTTTGAGGACTTATCTAAAACACAAAGATATTAAATTTATTAGAGTGTAGAGATTAATGTTGGTGTGAATGCATCAGTTTGCATAACACTAACCTCTGAACCAGCAAGAGAAATATCAGCATCTTGTGATTGTGAACGGACCATACTAGGTCCTATATCCTTTCGATTGTGCCTCAACGTAGGCTGTGTCGTCTTCTGCTGCATGTCCGACCAAGTGCTGAAATAAATACATATTACAATATAATACTATTTAAAATAATTATGTTAATGCACACAAACCTAAGACACTTTTATACATTGCTACTATTACAATTGATTAGACTAGTAAATTGGTTCCAAGATTCAAAACTTTTAAGCAGTCAATACTTTATAATAAAATAAAATGAACGGCGTTGGCTGGATAGATGTATTCGGTAAAATCATATGCAACCATGCAGAGACAATTACCGATACAAACCTTTAATTACAGAAAAGTTGAGATTCATATGTTTGTGATCCTTAAGGAATGCACGACTAGAGCAGCATGCAGAGAAAGAGGACGACTTACATAAATATGAACAAAGTGCTTTGTCCAAGAGCCTTGTTTATGCTATTAGCAAACACATTTCTTAACACAATTATAGAACATCAAAATATTACTCACGATTCACCCCCGACAATAAAATGCACATTGTTTGCTCCGTCGGCTGTCTTCATGTCAGAGTGAACTTCACTGGTTGGGCTCATTGGAGACAAATCTTCCTCATTGTCCTGGCGCCCTGCTTCGCTTCCCGAGGAGTCCGCCTCTCTAACCCAAGCTTCAAGGGCACCTGCTGACAGATTACCACATGGAACTGCAAACATGGTTTCCAAAGAAGACTTGCAAAGAAGATGTGTTGTGGCAACTTTAAAGCAGTTACAATCTTCTTGATGCCCAAGGCAACCTTGATGCAAAAGCAAGGATCAGTGAAAGGCCTTCCGAAAAAGAAACAACTGTTTTGAAATTTTAATTGGATGGGGAAAAAGATGATGAGAACATGAGCTGAGAGTTTCAGGAAAAAAACTGGTGTTATGTGATGAAGTCTCCTAATCTGCATGCAGAAATTAATTGTACAAAGAGTGCGTAACAGGTAGAAAGAGTAACTGTGTGTCCTACCTAACTAGATGCAAGGCTTCCATTGCAAGCACAAACGGTAGTAAGTAAAACAAGACCAGAAAAGAAAGTTGTCAACAATCATTTAAAAGTCTGACATTTCCATGCATGTGTGGGCTTTATGCTCCAGCAAACAAAGACAACCTTCTGCAAATTTCCCTCAAATATATCATACGTCTTCTTATTTAACTTAACAAAGGCCTCCACTTTCAGTTCCTCTTTGAGAGGAAAATGTTCCACCCAGTCGTCCAAGCATGCCATGCAAATGTAAGAGTTCCATGCATACATAAGGGACACTTTTGGTCAATTCAATCTTACCAAATAAAAGACTGTAGTATAAAGGAAATTAAGATAATATTCTATGCAAAGTCAACTTTATTCACGTTTTTTAAATTACAGTTTTCAGAACCAACCTTTCTTCTGGCAAACTCTTTCACACATTAAAACTGATTCAATTGAAATGATTGGCACTGCTTTCAACAAAGGGTAATAGTATATCTATTACTTACGTTATGGAAGGGAATATGTACTATGCAACAGGCATAGGAAACTGTCGAAATTATGGTGCACACAACAAAATGTCACAAACAAATTTCTTGGTTACACAAGTGGTAAAAATTACCCATGCACAAAAACACAAACAAATTGCAAGATAATGATAAGCAGGACTTCTTTGGAATATGCTAATTAATTTAGCAGACTCTAAATTATCTGCATCCATGATTTGAAAACTACTGTTTATTTGGGCAAAGGGAAAACAAGAACAGGAGGCCTACTTGTGACCACACCATGCCAAAGTACCATGTTGGCACCAAAAAGGAAGACAGGAAGAAAACTGGAGGTACAATAGCATGAAAATGAAGAAAAAGAAAGCACTTGATGATTGCAAGTTCAATACATTTCTACAAACCGACCATAATTTATTTTATGATAGTAGAAACAGCAGATATTTGCCATAAACCTCATAGCTCAACAACTACAAGCGCATTCTTGAGACAACATTGTACTAAAATGTGGTAAAACCAGGGCAAACTGTTACCTCAAGATGCAAAATGTGATGTTAAAGTATCTGTCCATTTAAGTACTTTTGAGCATATTTGATCACTTGAAAGGATGCAAACTGAACTCTTTTCCTCCTCTAAGAGATCATTTTCCAAACAAGTTCCAGCTTTCATTTGTAGAAATGCAGGACATTAGATATTTGACCTACATGACTGTTCCCTCTTCAACAATTAATCAACAGCATTTGAAAACTAAGGAACAAATAATTTAAGAATAAAAATAAATTAAATGACTGGCAATGCAATAAGTGCAACTTATTTTCCAAGACAGATTTGCACAAAATAAATGCCCTCATAAAAAGTGGATGATTCAGCACTGACATACCGTATTTGGCTAATGTTTTGGGAGACATGACATCACCAATAAGTCATGCCCAAAATTTACTTAAATTTACAACAACTCCATACTTTGCTGATAGGGAGCATTCAAGGTTAGTGGAGCACAGAAGTTAAATAATAGCCAAATCAGCCTCTAAGTTCCATTGCCTTTTAAGTTAAACCAATAAGAACTGCAAACTTTAAGTATATGTTTCAATACATTAGATATTTTTAAAAATAATCTATATTTAATATCAAATGTATCACTTTGTAAGATACAAATCAACTAAGAGAGTCAAGGGAAGTTAATTGTCTATAAAAAAGAAACAACCAACTAGCTAGAGAGGTCTGCTATCTACTCATTGCCCATCATGACTACATTGAATTCATCCAACTACCAAAAACCAGGAAGTTATCCTTAGACCTTTCAATCATGAGCATAAAGTAAATGATAACAGTGGTTAAGTCAAAGAATGAAATGGTTGCAGAAAAAAATAAACAGAATTGTTATTTACACTCTTGCCTTCTTTAAGTATGGGCACAAATGAAAAGTTCTTTGTAAGAATAAAGCTTTGGCAAAAGATACATAATAATCAAGTAACTAATTTTTTTTATTATAAGGACAGGTAACTTAAAAGTTTTCACTAGTTTTCACCATGGTACCCATCACATGTCTTATGAGGCGTGTCTCTTGTGTGCACACACTCAAACATGGCTTGTGCACATATGAAAAGTAATTGTTCATTTCCCCAAATTCTCAACCCCTTCAACACAATACAAAACAAAAGTTTACTCAATAGATTTATCACCCTGATTAGTAAATTTTTATACCCCACTTATCAAAATGATAAAAAAACGAGAAAAGAAAACTAGCAAGAATCATATACCCTGCTATCTCAGTATCACCTAAAATGCTAACATCATGCGCATGAGCGACCATACAAGGAAAAAAACTTTTTGAGCCACCAAAGAAGAAATCAAAACTCAAAAAATGGAAAGCCAGCAACATGAATAACATTGCTGTTGCTGGATTGTTTCAAGACATAATATCGTCCTCGTATGAATTGTAAGCGATAAGATTTACTCCCCTTACATCACATAATGATCACATGTAAGTTTGCAAATAAGTTACCCTACATGAGGCATGCCTACCTAAACAAAATAAATTAAGTGTAAAAATGGCAAATAAAACTTAATCATGAAAACTGTAAAAAGCCATCATTATTACATATCCAAGCAAAAAGATTCTGGGTGCCTAGATACATAAGGCAAAAAAAATACAATGGTACTTTTTTACCCTGTCCAAAGAGAATGTGCTTTACTTAAAACATGTGACAAAAACTGCTCACAAGTCGAAAGCAGAAATCATCATGGCTTGTCACTGTCAGGCAGTACAGTGATGACTTTGTATGAATTTGAATGTAGTGATTTTGAGGATGTACATGGAGGGGACTACATGGGTTCATCCATTTGAATAGCAAAATTAACGCGTGCTCTTCTACTTTTCAAGACACAACATTGCAACACCTAAACATCCAAGGGGTCACAGCAAACTGAACTATAGGCAAAATACAAATCACACAATACTACAGCAGAATAGTCAAACTTGTGAACAACAAAAAAATAAATTAAAAGAAAAAAAAGACAGTTTAAACACACAACACACAAGAAAGCTTCGTTAATATTTTTGAGAAGGCTTCAGATGTTTCACTCCCATGATTCACCTCGAGAAGAATCATCAGTGTCAGGAGTATTATTCCCGGCATTCTTACCTGAAGATGGTGAGTACAATGAACAAGTATCATCATCCAAGTCGTCCTGGCTGCTACCCATTCGACCTACAACAGAAAGAAAGCTTGAAATAAACACAGAAAAAAATCTCAGAGTGGGATGGTGGAGAAAATGGACATGTTTTCACACTACATCAAAAGATTTGGAAAGAGGTACTCACTTCGAAGGCCAAAGCTCCTTCCATTTGACACATTGCGATATAAAACGCTTTCCAGGTATTGCAGTCCATTATTATTGATAATGTTGAAGCCACAGAGTAACTCGATTTGTTTCCAGCGATGCACTCGTTCTTGCAATTCTTGCGTAACCTCATTAAGAGCAGTTCTGGGGCAAAAATATTGATAAAAACAGATTGAGTGTGGAGTGCAAGCGTGAAGTCTTGAGAAATGAAATGTAACACTAGTTACCTAGCTTCCACAATACTTCTATCTACATCATCAATCGACCGACCATGCGTTGAAACAAATGCCCCAACAAGACTTGAACGCTTCTTGCGTAACTTTTCACACTGGGAATAAATAAACAGTAAATGGAAAGCACAAACACTATAAACGTACACGTACTTGAAAAATAAGACAAACAACTCACAGCATCTCTAGCCTGTTGCAATTGTTTTTCAGCTGCTATTTTTTTCTTTGTATATGATTTATTTTCTATTTCATGTGTTAATTGGAGCCATTGTTGTAAGCCTGGTGGAGGAGCCCAGCAACGGTCTTGAAGTTCTCCCTCCGCTCTGGCCAATTCATTACGCAAAGTCTAAAACAAGGTAAAAAAAACAGTGAGCGACAATTAAATTAACATCATGAAGCTTTTAATGGCATTTTCCCTCTCACCTCAATTTCAGTCTTTAACTGAGATACTTCAAGGTCTGAATATGATGTTCTCAGTTCAGAAGTGTTGCACTCTTGAGCAAGTCTCCTTTCCAAATTTTGTTTTTCAGTTGCTACATTTTCTTGGTCTAATCTTGCTTGTTCTAACTCTTTCTATAAATTAAAAATACAGAGATATGGTAATTTAAGTTTTACAGCTAATTCCACCACAAGGTCAGATTAATGATCTACCTGCATATTTTCCAGCTTCTGTTCTGCTTTGTGAAGACCTTCCATGTCTTTCATCATACGGCGAAGGTGGCGCTTTGAGTTCTTGTTTTGAGTATACGCATACCAGCAACCAGTCAAGGCACTTATCAGCAGGGTGACCAGGACCAGATCTTTCAAGTGATGACTCACATCTGCCGGAAAGAATTGTATTTTATGTAGTAATTGAAACCAACTTGAATCTAACTGATAGATGTGTATTTTACAAAATCATTGTCAGGTTAGAGCAGAACAAGAATTTAAATGCAGCAGCATGTTACCTTTAGGAGGCCCAAAGAGAACTACATCCATGGCCTTGAGCTGGATCTTCTGCTTGTGAATGGGATCTTTAATTCCCAAAGTAGATGTTAAATACTGCATGTTGCTCACAGCCAATCTGAAGAATAACCAGTTAGGGAAGCAATCTAAGTATATGGCACGAAGAAATTAGCAAAATTCTATTACAGTAGAATCTTATTTTATTTTATTTACCTTGGCAATAGTGCTCCTGTAACTCGATGATGAATGAATGTTGGAATGTACTGAGGAAGTTCAACATTAGAGGCCAACCATTCTGTTGTCTGTTCTACAGTCCAGTTATGAACCTGAAATAGACATTGAGATTTTTAAAGAAATACTTTCAAAGCTACTTAAATTCAATTTGTTGTACAAATGACACAACTTATTGAATTTTCATGACATGGCAAAATTAACAAATTGGAAGTGAAAGAAGTACCTCTGATCGAAGCCATGCTTCCCACAACTCTCTGACAGATATATGCATGTCATCATTGCGATGGAATGCCTTCTGTCTTTTTTCGGAGCCCTGCTCATATTTGAGCTCTTCTCTCAAAAACTAAAAATAAATTGGGTAGATAAAGCAAACTCTTCCAAATTAAGATAAAATCAACAGCTAATATATAAAATGCAAATAAATGTACATACTTCGTCAGATTCTGATAAGTCGACACTTCCATTAGCGTCGTCATCTAGTTGTCGATGCAATGATCTGATGGCCTCCAACCCACGCGATCATTCTGAGCAATTGTTAAGCATGCTATATCTTCATTGCAGTTATCTGCATAAGCTGGAAAATAAAAAAAATATAGTAAATTTGAGACGAATCAATGTGTTAATGCTTGATGAAGTATGGCATGCACTTTTGACAGCAGCAGGCATAGAATGGTAAATTTGATACAAGCAATGATTGAAACATAAAATTCCTTTAAAAAATTAATGCTATGTGAAAAGAGGTGCGCTTGTGTACGTAGTGTACAACAACAACAATGATTAATATTGAAATACCAAAAATTCAAAAGAAACTTAACCTTTCTTACATTTTTGTCATGTGTCAGAATAAATACTTACTGGCTTCCCAAACTGGCTCATTGGATGGATTTTCTCCAGATGAATGTGAGGAAGGAGAACTGGAGCTCCTTGACAAAACAGGACTGTTACTTCCCAGCGGAGAGTTCCTGTAGGAATCTGCACCGACTTGTGACGGGCTCGGTGACGGAGAAGTTGGACGCACAAGATTCAGTTGTCCGCAACACAGATCAGTACTTAGCAAGATCGCCACTAGCAAGAGCCATCGACACGTTCCACACCAAAACATTGTTTTGAACTTAAAGTACAACATTGTTGCTGGTAAGCCCAGCAGAACGAACTCTTTTTCTCTTTTTACAACTGTCTGCCTGCTACGACCGTTTCGACAGAATTCCACAGAATAGTAACATTTGCTGTTGTGATGCGCACATCCTGATATACGAAAGAATCATGTGAAGTCAGATGAAAAGCATTTCGTGGTTTTGTTGCGAAATCAGAGCAGAAGGTACGAATATTAGCAACAAAACAGTTCAAGGTTGCATGTTCGGAACTGGCAAGACAAGAACAGCAGCAGCCAGCCCAGCCTGTGCCAGGTAGAATCTTGTAAAAACAAACTACGATCGAGGGAAATCGGGGGGGCTTTGGTTACCTAGGTGTCATAATCGTGATATCATAATAATTCCTAAACTTATATTGCGAAAGACATCAACTGTTATAGTTTGACTGAACGAACATTATTATCTAACTCGTCTGCGATTTAGTGTCAAGGAAAGGAACGTAGGCGATGATTGATACTGAACACCTTTAGCGCAGCGTTTAAAGCTTCGCGCTTTCATAGAATGTGCACCACCGTTTAAAAGTTTTGAGAGCAAAGTTAATGATAACATTGTTTTTGTTGTTGGTCTTACGGCAAGTACAAAGATGAATAATGTGGCTTTGTAAAAAAAATACCGATTTTGACGTGCAGAACCCTGGTAAAATTTAGGAAACGAGTGTTGTTTTGGTCAGGCAGGTGGCTGCTCTGACTATTTTACCGCTGCGCGTTTGTTCATGCTTTTGTGGTTGTTTGTTGTTTTCAAGTTTTCGTTTATTTCAATGAGTCATTTGCATTCCGGTAGAGCGTAGAAGTAGAAGTACTTTGATCACCTGATTGAAGTGTCGATCGGACGGCAGCGTAGCCTTTCCTGGGGACTACTGTAGACGAGGTGCGTACCTCTGATCGGCTTGAAACACTCACTCGACCAACTGCTTGGAGGAAATCCGTCGTAAACAAAGGGGAATACGTGTACCGTGTTCAATACTTTATTTGCTAGTGTGTCCGACGTGCCGGACGTCTCTCTCCAGTGTTGTCGAACCACGTTTTGTTTGCTCTATGTTCCCCTCATTCAGCTTGTTCTGGTTTACTTGGTTCGAGTAAGGTTGAGGGTTGAGCCAGGTCAGTGTCCTGTGCAGCTTGCAGCATCCTTGTTGCCCATACAAGGGCCGTCTGTTGCTGTTGTCTCTGCTAGTCTTTTGTTCGTTTCGCGCTGTTCGGAAGACAACACTGGATCCAAGACATTCTTACCATTGTGTATCTGCTTTGTGTTGCAGTCATTGAACAGCTTCAGTGTCGCCATGGATTCCGCAGACACCAATATGAGGAATCCACCCAATGAAAACACACCAAATGAGAACCCACCCAATGGTGACAGTGTGGATCCACCAACACCATGGCTAAAGTGAGCTTTTCTTGTTTTGAATGTCCTTTTTTTGTGTTTCCTGTCCAGACCGTTGCCTTGTTGCTCAAAACACACTTAGTTTAAGTAATGTGCCTGCTAAAAATTTTATAGGTATCTTGTTGACAGCATTCAAAGCCGACCAGTTGTGCCACACGCCAAAATGCCGGTGGAAAGGACTGCAGTGTACTACAACATGAACCACAAGAAACGTGGAATAGCAATCATTTTGAACCATGAACATTTCAGAGTTAGTATCCATTGTTGTTTTGAATGATAAAAACAAACAAAAAAAAAAAACAAAAGAATAGTTTATTTGCTTAATCACTGATTTCTTCCTGTAATACTAATATTAATTTGTTACTTTAGGCAAATCTGAACCTGAGGTCACGTTCAGGTACCAACCTTGATTCCAAAAAACTGGAAAATACTCTTCAGGGCCTTGGGTTTGATCCGTGGTCTTATTATGACCGGTCTCTAGAGGAAGTTCATCAAATTATAGCTAAAGGTATCGTATAGTAATGATCCATACCTCTTCTTGGTGCTGTGCCATATGGTGATTATTAATAATCTTTAACCCTGTGATGTTTCCAGCCTCTACCCTGGATCACTCAGATCATGATGCCCTGATTGTTGTGGTATTGACCCATGGTGAGCAGGGAATTCTCTATGCCAATGATGGAGTCTACAAGCCAGACAGTCTTTGGCTCCCATTTACAGCAGACAAGTGCAAATCTCTAGCTGGAAAACCAAAACTATTCTTCATTCAGGTAATAATTTCCATCCTGTTAAAATAAGGTTGTTGTTTTAAGGATTGTGTTGATGTTACATGACTAACATGACGTTCCTGTTGCCCCCAGGCTTGTCAGGGCGACAAGCTTGACTCAGGAGTGATAATGAGGCCTACTGAAACAGACAGCGGCACTGGTTCATACAAGATTCCCATCCATGCTGATTTCCTAATTGCATACTCAACAATACCCGGTAAGACTTTCTTGGGGTATCTAAATTATCAGTGAGACTAAGTTTCTTTAGAGTGACCAATTTTTTTAAATTTTCAGGGTACTACTCTTGGAGAAACACCTCAAAAGGCTCCTGGTTTATGCAGGCTCTGTGTGAAGAGCTGAATGAGAACGGATTTCTTCTAGACCTTCTTACTATAATGACATTTGTTAATCAGCGTGTGGCATTTGACTTTGAGTCTAATACACCAGATAATCCTGGAATGCATCAGCAGAAGCAAATACCATGTATTACATACATGCTGACTCGACTAGTGAAATTTACTCGCAAACAGAACTAAGTTGCTAAGTCTAAATAATTATTGGTGCTTGTGTCAGCTTATGACTTAAGGCTTTTAAGACTGTTCATAGCATTTTTGCACCAATAATTTATTTTTGTTTGATGCTGGCAGACCATTACTTAGGCCAATTGAAGCTGGTGGAGGTGTTGAAAAAATGTTCGATAGGACCAATTGCCCTTAGTTTTATCACTTTATTACTTTTTCTGTCTTCTAAATTGTTTCAATTTTAGCAGGTGTTACCCATATAGCTAAAGTGTGTTTGATTTAGTTCAGCTGAGAATGCTAGCTATTACCATCATGTTCCTCCTCTGCATTGTGTTTTTTAAAATATTTTTTTGAACATCAGTATTGTAAATTTAAGTATAATCACCATAATTTATTTTTCGCTTGAGAATTTTAGAGTGCTGAATTTGCATTTATTTTTTACTTTTGATACATTTTGTATTTGAATGTGATATGATAAGGCTGTCCTTTGGGTTGTCAATCATGTTGGAAAGGAATTATTCACAAGAATGGATTGATTGCTTTTGTACAAATCATGAAATCCTGAATGTTTGCACTGCCTGTCTCTGTACTTGTTGGTCTAAGACAATTCGGGATCTTTCAATAAAAAAAAAAACATAAAATGTGTGGTTTATTATCATTATTCCAAACAAAATACACATCTCTGAAACAACAATGGACCCCAGAAATGATAACACGCCTTGGCGGCAACGTTTTGGACGCGTTTCGAGTGCTGCGCGTATTCAAATCGCAGTGGGCGCATTGAAAGCTAAAATAAGCAAACAATAATAAAATTCAATAATTTTTTGAAAATAAAAATAGGTTGGCCGATTGGGAAGATAATTCTTGGCTGACGCCGACCCTCGATCAGCCGGGAGTCCCGCCCCGCCAGTCCAACCGATCCTTCTTCGCGCACCTTCCGTCCCGCGCCTTGCCAGTGCGCCCGCGAAGTCGAGGATAGGCAACCCGCTCACCAGGAGCGCGTAGAGCAGCGCGAACAGTGCGCGACCAGACGATGGTTTTGAATGGAATCGTGCCAAACGCTTAATCGAAACTTATACGCGCTTCAGTCAGAAAATGAGAATGAAAGAGAAAGGCAAAAAAAGGATGTCCAGTCTGGTACACTGTATGCGTCGGTTACTTTGTTGTGGGGTATTCCCCGTCCTTGCCGGTCGTTGGCGTGGCAGTTTGACCTCAGTCTGATCATCATGATCATCATGGTGATTCTGACTCGAAGCAACAGCAGCAGGTTGCGGGTCGGCCGGGTCGGCACGCTTGCAACAATAACTGTCGCGGGGCCTCGGCCACCTCGCCTCGCCCCGGCCGGCGGGGCGCGAACGCGAAGCGCGAAGTGGCGTTGGCGTGGCGGCGGCAACGGCCTAGGCGGGCCGCGGGGTGCGCAGGCCGGGGGTGGGGGTTGGCGGCGTGGTGGGGGCGGCGCGGCGCGGGGGTGGCGGCGGCGGCGCGGCTCCGGCTGCTGCTGCCGGCTCTGTCTGTATATTGTTGGCGTCCTCCGAGGCCGCCGAGTGGAGCCGAGCCGAGCCGCGTGCTGCTGGTGCTGTGCGACGTGTATCGCAGTCCGGAGTCCGGGAGTCCGGCGTCACGCGACCGCTGTCCCCGCAGTCCTCCGCGCCACCGCAGCCATTCCAGCCCCCAGCGGCCTCCCCGTGGCGGGACCCGCCTCCAGCGCCGCCCCCAGCGCCGCCCCTAGCGCCGCCCCCGCCCCCGCCGGTAGCGCGCCGCCCGCCGCGCCCGCCGCGCCCGCCGCCAGCAACAACGCCGGCCTCGTGTACAGCCTGGTGGGCGTGTACCCCTGCGCCGTCTGGAAGCCCAAGGCGCCCAGGCCCACCGCCGGCAGGACCGCGCCGTACCCGTGCCGCTGCAGGGTGCCCGACGCCCCCGCCGCACCCCTCGCCCCGGTGGCCGCGGTGGCCCCGGTCCCCTCGCTGCCCGTCGTCGCGCCGGTCCCCGTGCCCGTGCAGCCCGTGCAGACCGCCCAGCCCGTGCCCCTCGCGGCACCCCCGGCGGCCAGCCTGCCGACGCCGCCCGCGCACCTGCAGGGCGCCCTGCCTTTGCCGGGCAGCCCCATGCTCTTCGTGCCCTTCACCGTGCCCAGCTACGGCGGGCACGGCGCCACGCACGGCGCCACGCACGGCGCCTCCATCGCGGCGCCCATGGCGGCGCCCATGGCAGCCCTCGGCGCACCGTCGGCGGCCAAGGTGAGCCCTGCGACACACCGACACCGCGACACCGAGACACCGGCCGGCGCGGCCTGCCTGCCGCTACCCACGTGGCGCGCGCCGAGCCCGGCCCCCGATCGCGTTTCAGGTTTCAGCTTCCAGGTTTGGACCGTCTGGACGTGGAGAGGCCGCGTGTTTTTCTTACCGTTCTCGCTGTTGACTCTGTCGGCGCTCGTCGTCGGCTTCACGCACGACGCCCTCAAGGCCCACAAGGAGAGCATTCGTGGTGTATCGACCCGGCTGCATGGCGCAACCGTGGTGGAACCAACACGGGTTCATCGGACACCGGCGTGGTCTCGGATTTGTCGTCCCACACGCAGCCGACGACGCCGACACTAGCCGACGCCCCGCCAGTGGGCCGTGCCGCCGCGCCGCCGTTGCCCCCGCCGGTCTTCTTTCCCGGGGACAACACAACCCTTCTGCTTTTAGAGACAACACTACATCCCCCCAACCGCAGCGCGCAGCCACCCCACCCCTCCCCACCCCGCGCCGCGCCGGCACACGCCGAGCAAACACGGCGAACCAACCGCATGCCGCCACACTGCCACAGGCCGCCAGTCGAACCGGCTTTCCGGCTAGGGCTTTCCGGCCTGGGGCTTCCAGCCAGGGGCATTTCAGCCTGGGACTTTCAGGTTGACCGCTTTCTGGCGTATGGATTTCCAGGTGGCATCGACGTTGCGGTTTAGTGCTTTCAAGGTGGAATTTCCCCATTTATTTTTCAGCGCGGCTAAAGGGCAAAGGTGCTCCAAGACCAAAACGCGTCTAGAGTTTAGGCCGCCGGCGCTGGTCTTCTGGCCCACTGCACGGTGCGGTGGCCTCAGGCTCGCCTCAGGCGACCCCGGCCGGGGCCCCAGGTGTGGCTGCCACGGTCACAGCGAGGCGAGGTGTTTCTCCGGAGAAATCGCCCGTCCGCCGTGCCTGGCTCGAGGCCTGGCTCTAGACTCGGCCCGGCGCCGCCGCAGGATTCTGTTTTGATCCAAGTTGAGACGAAAGCGGGGACGAAACTTGAGCCGCTGCGCGATAACAAAGATAGTTTGGTTCAAGTTTGTCGCGCGGACGGACACGTGGATGGGAGCGAGTCGGGACGAATTCAAAACGACCAGACGATCGGTATAACACCCCTGACCGCTGCGTTCGGAAGTCGCCTAGGGACACGGGGTTGCACCGGTTCTGGCGCCTCACACTGGAAGAAAGTTCAGCTGGTCGGTGACGCCGTCCAGGACCCCGTCGAGGACGCCGTCGACGAGGGCGCCGTCGAGGCCCCCGCCTCCCGGCCACGCCAATGTTAAGCCGATTAGCCGCTTGTCGCGCCCGCCTGGCCTGGCCGCGTGGGCCCCGTGGGTGGCGGAGGGGCGCGGCGGGGCGGCGGCCTGGTGGCTGATGAGGCAGTGGGCCCGCCGCACCGCGCAGCACCGCGCCGCACGCAGTGCCTCGTGGGGCTGAATTAACTATCAGATGCACACCCCCGCCGCCTCACCCCGCCCTGCCGCACCCCACTCCCTGCGCCTTGTGTATGAATTATTTGTCCGAAGGGCGGGCCGGAGCCTGTGCTCTGTGCTGCTGGGGGAACCCTTTGGTCTTCGACGCCGGGGCTGGCGGGGCTGGCGGGGCTGGCGGGGCTGGCCGTCCGGGGCAGCAGACCGACTCGCCAGAAGACCTCCACTTTTACGTGCCGCTCTGACGCTGCTGGTGTGCTGGCATGGTGCTGCTGCGCGCTGCCCGTGCGCGGCCTGCGGCGTTCAAGGACCGGGGGACAAAACAGATCCAGACGACAGTTCGGCCCTTCCACCCCGAGAGCCCCGCCGGCCTCGCCGGCCTCGGCAGCGGCATGTGTCGGCACAGTGTGGGCACGGGCATGTGCCGTACCGTCGCCCTGCTGGCTCCGCGAAAATACCGGCTGCCGCTCTCCGCGAAGGACAGCCACAGCCTCGGCGGCCTCGGCGTGGAGGGACGGTCCCCGTCGGTCCTTTTATTTCATTTTTTATCGACGGCCCCTCGCCGGGCGCGCCGGGCGGAGGGAGGACGCTGTACGCTACGCTGTAGGTGCGCTGGAGGCTGACGGGGCGGGGGAGGCACGGTGGGGCTTTAAGCAAGGTGCCGGAGCTCGGGGCTCGGGTGACGTTATCCTTGCCGATGTCCTTCTCCAGCAGAGGGAGGGAGGGAGGGGTGGGGGCGGAAGTACCAGCCGGCGAGGGGGAGGGTGAGAGAGACGGGCGTGGATGAACACACACACACACACACACACACGCACATTCCGAAGCGGAAAATGGGGCTGCTTGAGGCTGTTCAGGCTGCAAGCCGTCGCCCAGAAGCGTCGAAGCGGCAACGAGAGGGAGGGGGGGGGGCACGACCACGCGGCCGTGGCGCAACGGCGCAGCAGGCAGAGCAAGCGAAGCGACTGAGTTTCCAGAACAAACCGTGTTCTTGGGGGAGAGGCTGCGAGGCTGCCAGCGGACGAGACGAACAGAATCCAGACAGGCGGACAGACGGACAGACAGACAGACGGACAGACAGATGGATAGACGCCGTTCGAGACGGCTCGGAGTAGTACTGCCAGAGAGTTCGGTTTGATAAGGCAGCAGCAGACTTAATGTGGTGAAGGTAATTTTGGACGGCCGGGGCACCTTTCGGCAGCCAGTAGTCGGCAGGCTGATTCCGAACAGTGCTTCCGTCGCTCTGTCTCTTGCCTCACAGTGTGAGAGAGACAGAGCGCCTGGAGGGCAGGCAGTCCCGGCCACACGCGCGAGCGCGGGTTGCCTAGCCCGAAGGATTTGTCCGTCTCTGTCGCGCTCACGGGACCGTTCTCCGCGACACCCTGTGCGGGAGGTCTGTGCGACGCCCTCTGCGACACCCGGTCCGCGTCGGCCCGAGCCCTGCCCGAGCCCTGGGCGGCCCTTGGTCGATGCTGATTGGTCGGGATCCCCTTGGTGAGCAGCGGCTCGAGCACCAGCTGCTAATAGGTCCACAGCCCTCGGATCCCTCGGGAACGTCCGAAAGTGCACCGCCGTCCGTCGGCCCTGCTGCCGTGGACCGACAATCAGTGGAAAAGAGAGAGAGACAGAGAGAAAAGAGAGCGAAAAACAACTCGGCAAGCCGTCCTTTTTTTTTCAGGCAGGCGGCGGAGCGGGCGCGAAGCAGGCTCAGTCAATCTGTTCTGTTCCGGCTCTTCCAACTGGCCGTGCCTCGCCTGGCCGTGCCTCGCCGCGCGGCATTGCCCGCATTGTCCCTCCTTCTCTCTCCCACTTCCACGACTAACTACCTGAGCTGCCGCTAGCTGCCGTCACACCCGCGATGCACGCTCCTCGTTAGAGCGTGTACTCGGCGACAAAAAAAGGAGGGGGAAAACGAAGATTGGAACTCGAGCGCTGAAACCGAAAGTTAAG